TGGAGTCAGTTGGTAAAACTATACTGACTCCAGTTGAATTTAAACTTTATGTAAAAAGCCTTACATTATAGAATTTTTATTGTTATTTATTCTACTGTATATTTACAATTTACACAATTTTTGTCGATAATTCTAATAGAAAATATTGAAGAATGATATGACATAAAAATCACAATATCTTTATACTTTGATATAAACCATTTATAATGATAGAGGAGTCTGAGTTGCCAAAATAGTTGGAGTCAAATGTTTTGTGTTTCAACTCCACATCCTCACTCTAATATTACTGGTTTTAGGCAATGATGAGTTCTATCTAAAACCCTACAGCCTCTTAGCACTACCTAAATTTTAAGCCTATCCATGGCAATGCTGTGTCTGGCTCAGAACAATAAAACTTGATTGTTCCGGAAAAAAAAGCATTAAGGAAAACTTCCTTTGGATTATTTTCTACTCATCAGAATAATGGGATCAGAAACCATGCAATAATTTGAAAAGTTGCCTTTGTCAGCCTGGCAACCTGAATATAACATCACTATTTGCACCTTGTCAGTAGATACTCACACAGAAATGAGGACAAGCAAGTCAAATAACATTTTCAGGTGAGTGAGAAAACTTTTTGAAATGTCAAGTGGCCAACAAAACCTCTGGACAATACAAATGGAACAAGGAAACTGGCAATTTGCTCTTTTGAAACTCTCTTCACTCAGGCACTGATCACTGCTGCCAAGTTTCTTCATATACTACTCTTCATTCTTTACTATTACTACAATTGATGTTCTGACAGGTCAGAACATCAACAACTATGTTTGAACTTTCACTGGATCCCTTTTCCAAGGACATTTTTAATTTTATCATTTGTGTAGGTTCTGCTTTCACACAAATATTTTTTCACTACACATTAATTTTTAACTAGATTTAACCCATGAAAATTTCATGGTTTTTCTATTTTAATAAATCTTAATTCTTAAGTTAATGATTGAGTAAACTCATGGTGAGTTCTATGACAATAAAATGTCTAGAAATTCCCCTATTGCATCATTAAATATTTGAGCTTAACAACTTCAACTTCACACTAAATGGAATAGTTTATTATTTATGAGGTATTGGGAGGGTGTAACATTCGTGGAAGCTAATGAAGGAATGGACAAGCACAATTATAATCAGATTATGTGCTCAAAAGAATATTTTGAGTAAGAGTTTTTGCATAATTCTTTTCTTTTCGCATAAATTCATTGTAAATAAACAAATTCTTCCTGTTCAGTTTCACACCATGTTTGAGTCCTTCTTTCTTGCGTGCCTAATAAACCAAGTAATTATTTTTTTTTATCTATATGGATTAATTGCAATACTTCAAATCCAAGAGAGGCCTCAGCATATGCCCCTCACATTCCTAAAATAAGAAAAAAAATGAAAAGAGAAAAAAAAAAAATGATGTAATACAAGGGAGGTAAGTCATTGTTTAGTATGCAGAAATCATTTTAAATGAACAAAACTCATTCTGCTTGCAGATATGTCTATTCCCTGCTGACTACCACAGTAAGTTTTTGTTGATTTAGTTGGTTATGGACAAGCACAATTATAATCAGATTATCTGCTCAAAAGAATATTTTGAGTAAGAGTTTTTGCATAATTCTTTTCTTTTCACATAAATTCTTTTACCCTTTTTTGACAGACCTTTCTAAAAAAAAATTTTCCATTCAAACTAATGGCCTCATTTTTGTTTTTGTTATCACTGTCCTTGTCTTTGTAATTATTGTAAGTGGATTCATCTTTGTTGTTATTGTCACTGTCCTCACCTCTGTTGCTGCTGTTATTGACTTCATCTTTGTCACTCTTGTCACAGTCCCCATCTTTGTCTCTGTTATCAGTGTCCCCATCTTTGTCTCTGTTATCACAGTTGTTGCAGAAATTATCTTTTTCTAAACTACATTTAAACAATCACACATGGTCATGCTGCTTGAAAGTAACAAGTGATGTCACTGGTTAACAAAAAAGCAATACAGTGAGTCCCTGCCTATTTGCGTTTCAGCATTCATGGCTTAACACACTCGTGGATTTTTCTTTAGAACATATGTACTTGTTATTTGCGGAAACCCTGAATATTCGTGTTTTCTTGAAGAACATGTACAAATTATTCGCTGAGAATTCCCTTGATTCTTGTATTTTTTCGATAGAATATATTTAAAATATTCTTATATTATCTTCCTGTTATCTAAGTGACTTAAAACATATAAAAGTCTATTTTTATGGTAAGAATTAGCAGAATTGTACATCTTCATTATAAAAAAACAAACGCAAAAAACATGCAAATTGCTTGGGTTTTGTTCTTTGTTAGAAGCTGTGGCTGGGGTCTTAAAAGTGGCTTACGCTAAGTCTGGGGGCATCATCACAGTTCTGTTTGTAGAAAATATTTTAAACTATATTTTAGGTTTTATACATATTTTATTCACTATTTTCAATGGTTGTATTGATCTATGCGTAATTAAAAACGGTTATTGTACGTATGAAAGAAAATTTATGCTAAGTGTATGCCCATCAATACTATTTTTCAAAAATGGTTTTAAAAGGGTCTGAAATGTTTCTAAAGTGTTTAGAATGAAAGTTTAAGGAAAATGGGGTTTTAACAATCAAAATAGGTACTGATAAGCACTTTTAGGGGAGTTACAAGTACTTGCGGATTCTTACTATTCGCAGCTAGTTCTGGTCACTAACCCCCGTGAATACCGGGGACTTACTGGTATGGTTTGTGTATAAAGTTTCTGTACTTGAAATATACAATAGTTTAAGTCTCACTTTTCAGTAAGTTGAAATATGTGCTGGTTATGAAAGCTGTATTTTGAACTATGTCCATGTAATGTCTTCCTACAGTCATAAACCGATGAAAAATGGGGCAGAGCATTATGTCCAGTGTCTGGGTTGAGAAAAAAAGAGGAAGAAAAGGGCTCACTGCACCTTATCCTCTTCTGCAAATATTTCTCATTGGTTCCATGGTAACTTAATATAATGTCTATAAACACATGGAAATAAATGTGACATGAAGATTTTAATTTCCACTAAACTCCACACAGACTTATAATTTCTTTTTTGCTTACATGAAAAATTTGAAATTTTGCTTTGTGTATATATATATATATATATATATATATATATATTAAGAAATGGACAAAGTCCGACATTTTATTTATTAAAGACATTCTTATGTTTAACGTTCTTTTTTATAGATACAAGTATTTAAGTAATGCTCTGTTAATAATAAACAGTATTAAAGGACGAATATTTTCTATGAAAATTTCTCGGACATTCAGGCGTAAATGTTATTTAATACTGTTTATTATAAACAGACATTTATAAATACTTGTATCTATAAAAAAACGTTAAATATAAAATGTCTTTAATATATATATATATATATATATATATATATATATATATATATATATATATATATATATATATACTTGAAAAAATTAGGAGATCAGCTGGTCACACTACCTTGGTTTCAAACCTTTAGTCTGTTCAGGTGATCTGGGTTAAATAATTTCCTAACACTTTTAGAAAATTATTTAATCTGGATCACCTGAACATACCGAAAAGTTGAAACCAAGGTAGCGTGATCAGCTGATCTCCTAATTTTTTCAAATTTAAAAGGTCTGCATGTTAAATTTTTAATTTTTATTTTATTTTCTTTATGCATTTTGAGCACTTTTTAATACTACTGTTTCCTGGTCTAATTTAAATCTGACCAACTCTTTTATAATATATATATATATATATATATATATATATATATATATGTGACATTTGGAAAAATGTTCATGAAAATATGTTTTGAAAATAATATCCGATAATGCATTTCACCTCTAATGGCTTCATCAGATGGATAACAAAAAATGTGTTGTGCATGTATGCATTTGTGCTTAAAATAATTAAATCTTATATTATTTTTCCCAAGCTGGTGTTGCTCGAAACTAAAAAAGAAAGAAAATGAGTGACTTTTAAAAAAATCATTTAACATTTTTTATATATCCCCACTTTTAAGTGTCCAAGTTTTGAGATGGAAATTCTTAAATGATTTTTTTAAAATTGACTCATTTTCTTTCTCTTTTAATTTCTAGCAATGCCAGCTTGGGAAAAATAATAAAGTTGGCTCCCTGTGCTGCGCCAGGAAATTTTTCTCCCCGGAATCGATCCTTCAGATCTATAAATCAACAATTTGCCCTTGCATTGAGTATTGCTGCCATATATGGTCTGGAGCCCCTTCTGTTTGCCTCGGGGTTCTTGATAAGCTCCAGAGGCGGATATGCAATATAATTGGCCCTGTTCTGGTATCTTGTCTACAGTCGCTCTCTCACGGATGTGCCGTCGCCTCTCTCTGTCTTTTTTACAAATACTTTCATGGTAATTGCTCCGAGGAGTTGCATTTGCTGGTTCCCAGACTTCATGAATTCAAGCGCCCTACGAGGCTGGCATCCCACTCTCACCCTTTCATTGTTGAAACTACTAAATGTAGCCGTCTATTCATGTCTCGCACCTCTCGCCTGTGGAACTCCCTTCCTTATTCCAATTTCCCTGAGAGCTATAATTTCCAACTATTCAAATGTAATATCAATCGACATCTCCAGTTGCCTTGATCTATCCACTATCTTTCTCCTCATCCTTTCCTCTATCACTCCTATCTGATCTTGCTTCAAATCTTCTCTAGCCCCTTGCGTCCTAGTGGCTTCCCGCCTTGCTTGTGGTGAAACGCTTAAGAAAAAAAATTATTTTAAACACAAACAAATTCATACACACACAACATATATTTTGTTATACATCTGATGAAGCCATTAGAGACAAAATCCATTATTGGATATTATTTTCAAAATATATTTTCATGAACATTTTTCCAAATGTCAGTAACTTATAACATTGTTGGGATTACATACCCAATTTTCTTATACATATATACACATAAATATATATGTATTTTTTTATTTTCTCAAATTGCAGATAATTAAAAAATGGATGCTACGATAATCTCATTAGCAGGTGAAAAGGATCAACAAGGACTTTACGAAGTCCTCCAGAAGTTGACAAGAGATGAGGTTGGTATATCATATATGGTAATAAAAGGAATGACTATTTCTGTATGTTTCTTTTTCTCAGTCTATAATATCTATCACACTAAATCAGATATATTAGAAAAATTGAAGGCCAAATACCCAAAATAAGGATAATATACAAATTGGAAAGAAATGTCAACATAAGGACCACAACCTCAATGTATAAAGTTTGGAAATTTCTTTACTCTTCACAGAGATTACATATTAAACAGAAAACTAAAGATGTTAAAAAAGAATAGCTCTCAAAGTTCAAAAGGAACTCACGGCTCTTTGGGGACTGAAGTGGTATTTTTTAAATTGAATATAAAGATTGCACAAATTGTTCTGTGTGTGAGTTGCTCAGCAAATAGGATTTGTTGTCTTTGTTTTTGAGAATGTTGTAGAGTAGTTTTCACAGTGGATGACTTGTATTTCAATAAGTCGTTCTAAATTAGATTTGACGTACAAAACGTTAGGAACTTGAAATAACTAGTTAATGACGCAGCAATCTAGTTGTGATGGTTGATACTTCAATGTCCGACATCGACTGACTCACTCAACACCACTGAGCTCAACTGGCCACTGCTACTACTACTTATTATCTGTGAGAGAGTCTATTACAATAGAATAGGTATTATGGTATAACAGAGAATTATCTTCTGGAAAATAGAAAAAAAGTTTTGTTGAAACTGTGTTTCTTTTGAATGTCTCTGAAGTTGTTTGATGACAATGCTAAACAGTGGAGGTAAATTTGTGAAAACAACAATGCTCCTTAAGATGTTTGACTTTCCAATGCATTGCTCTGAAGTATGCTTTTGCCAATATTCTCAGACTGCTGCTTTCATTGGTTGATATTTAATAGGAAAAGGTAGGCTCCAAAGACTTGTGAAAGTTTTACAAAAAGTTATTTTAGTGGATACTAGTGTTTGAGTAGAAGACCCATTTCATGTGCAAGTGAAATTACTGCACAAACCATTAGTTGTTTAAAAAAAATGGTGTGTTTATATATATATATATATATATATATATATATATATATATATATATATATATATATAGGTTAAAATTAAAAAAATATAGGATTAGAAATAAAAATCTATTGTTTGTTTGTTTGTTTATATATATATATATATATATATATATATATATATATATATATATAAAAAAATATAGTTTTAAGGTGTGCTATATTTGTGGGATAAAGTGCTCAATATCAGAGATAAAGCATATGTAAATATAAAAGTGAACATTGAAGTCAACAGTCAGAGGGGACAGGCTGTTTCATGCTAGGCGCAATCGTCAGCCCTAACGATTAAATCTAGCATGAAACAGCCTGTTGCCTATGACTGTTGACTTCAATGTTCACTTTATATTTATATATAAAATATATATATATATGTATGTATGTGTGTATATATATATATATATATATATATATATATATATATATATATATATATGGTGGCCTATCCCATCGTATTTGATGTATGAGGGTCAAGCAGCTCAGTTTCCTAGGGACCAACAGCCAAGACACCAAAACATATTTGATTATAGTGGTGAAGGCTTTGTGCAGAACCAACCACACTTTTTGAAGGGCTGAATACAGAGCCCTGGTGCACTACGTGCCACAATGTCCCCAAACGACCCTCTGCAGGTTTTGAATTCAGAGTTGTCTTTCTCCTAGAGCAGTTGTCATCCAAGTAAGTGAATATAATGGATTCCTCAATCCGAACCGCTATCCACTACTCCACCGTGCCTACTTACACACACACACATATATATATATAAAAACAAACAATGGATTTTTTTATTTTTAATCGCTTTGAATCTTATTAAAGAAAAATGTGCCTTCTGGCAGCATTTTACTTTAGTAAGATTTCTTGAATATTCAGGTTAATGGATGAAATGAAATATTTTAAAATAAGTAGAGTGTCTACTCAAAAAAATCCACCAAAAATAACATTTAAAGTGATAAAAATGTCAGATAAATAAAAAGATATCTGTAAAAAGACAATGTCAATAAAAACAATAAGGAAAACTTAGCTGGCACTTTAAGGTAAATTATGGTGTATGCTAAGTGATATAACTTAATGATTAATAAACAAAAGTGAGTAAATGTGATTGTTGAATTTTTTTTATATATATATATATATATATATATTGTTACGTGTTGGAAATTGTAACAAGGGAAAAAAAATTGATTTACCAAAACACAGCAAAATCACAAACAAATATTTAATTTACTAAAACACAACATAAAATATATACAAGATAATTGTGGCATATAAAAACAAAATACAGAGTTTACAGGCAAAGTGTTACGAGGGAGAAGAAAGGGGAGTCAAGTCTTTACCACGTTAGGGTTAGCGAAGTAATGTAAGTGCTAACTGGAAATCCACAAATGTGAGTATATATTGAATAATTGGTAGTTTGGTCAGTGAAAATAGTCAAAACTCTGTTTATCAGATTTGTTCCATGTGGTTCTCTTTTGGGGTTTTTGTTGGTCGGCAACTTTTCATAGAGATTCTTTCGGCTGGATATAATAATCCCCGAACCAAAAAGCCGGAGTTCATAATCGCAGAAATTTCTTTTCTCCAACTGACAACTCTTTTCCAAAAACCTATTTTTATAGATGTTTCTCGAATTATCTAGATTTTTCTCGAATATACTGGAATGATCTAGAATCTTCCAAACGTTCTATTTCTAATTTCTCTATTTTACAACTACTTCATGAATGAAAACTTTTTTGTATTAACAAGTAGGACTCAGTAGAATCCCTTACTATAGAAATCCATCCTCGTAACAATATATATATATATATATATATATGTTTATTTTAATAGCTATTCTCGATTGGTATAAAAAAAAATCAGTATAATACAATTTGCAAATAAAAAATATATTTAAACAAACATGATTACGAGATGACATTAGAAAAAAGAGGATACAAAACCAAACTAATATATGTGAACACAGATAATTCTTTCAATATATGCAATGGGAGGAAAAATAAGACCAGAAAAATATCATGGTTTAACCCACCATACAATTTAGCTGTAACCACCAAAATAGGAAAGGAATTCTTTAAAATAGTAAAAAAGAATTTCCCCCTATCCAATGCTTTACCCAAAATTTTCAATAGGAATACAGTCAAATTGAGCTACAGTTGTATGCCTAATTGAATTAACAAATATAATGTTAAAATGGCTAAAAATAAACAAAATACTAATTCCCCTAAATGTAACTGCAGAAATAAGGTGTCCTGCCCGCTTAAGAGCCAGTGTCAGCATGAATGTGTAGTTTACAAAGTAGAAGTATACAGAAATAAACCTAGTGGTAGTCGTGAGAACAAAAAAGTTTATATTGGTTCTACTCAAGGAACTTTTAAAAAAAGATACAATAATCACATAAGCAGTTTCAAATATGAAAGACATAGTACCAGCCTATCTAACCACATGGAATATAAAAAAAGAAGGAATCAACCCAATTTTAAAATGAGAGATAAAGAAATGTTATAGATATAAAGCCGGCAATAGGTATTGCCTCTTACGCATGGAGGAGAAACTAACCATAGATACTTTTAGTAAACCGGATTTGTTACTTAACCAAACATCAGAAATCCTTAATGGGTGTAAACATAAGAAAACATGGTTACTGGAATAAAAGAATAGTAATTAATTTTTAATTTTTTCTTTTTTTTTCTTTCTTTTTTAACGTTGCATGATTTTAAGCTAATTTTAGTTTTTAATGTTTGTTTTTACCAATAAATATGTTCTTTTGTCACATCCTCTTCAGACAGTTCATCCTGAAGATCCATTTAGGGGAAACCTAGGTAGGTAGTTTCTGGCTCTCTAGAATTTTATATATATATATATATATATATATAAATAATATGTGTGTGTATGTGGAATAAAAATTTAATTTAAACTATACTATATTTATGGGTAAACATGATCAATATCAGGGATCAGAGTAAATATAAAAGTGTCAACATCAGTACCCACTTTTATATTTATATATTTATTTAATTTATATGTATGTATTATGAGTTTTTTTCTTAAGATTTGTACCATTCAAAAGAATATGGCATCAGGGTTTTAATATATGATATGGCTGAACCTGGTTTGTTGGGCAGTCCTAAGAAACAAATTGACTAAAACATTTATAACTTTTAAGATTTAAAAGAAAAAATAGAGCTCTTGATAATGTTAATAGGAATATTAGCCATTTCCCTATAAGGAAATATTTAGCATTCATTGACTGAGCAGTCAGTGCTACTTTTAGCTGAAATTCATAACATATTTCTTGTGAAACTGTTATGTAGTGGTTTCACAGTGGAGGCTTGTATTTGTACTAAGTCAGTCCTAAAATAGGTTTGATGTACAAAACGTTAGGAACTTGCTATAATAGGTTATGACGCAGTAATCTAGTGGTGGCTGATACTTTAATATCCGACTAACGGTCGTCCGACATCGACTGACTGACCAACTCACTGCCAACTGCTACTCTTGCTAGTCCTACTTATTATAGGTGGGAGAGTCTATTAACAATAGAATAGGTGTGTTTCACTATAACAGAAACAATTTTTTCAGAAAAATAAGTTTCTCAAGTCCATGATTAACTCTTTTACTACTATTGAGAGGGTTTTTTTTCCTTACCTTTTGTTTAAAGTAGTGTGGAATGTAAATATCTTGATTATATCATAATTTTCTCTCTAACATCCATCTTAGTCATTACCACAGTTAAAAGTTCTCAAGTGATGTAATTTCTGTAATTGGTACAATTCTTTATTTGTGATGGTGATTATGTTGTTGCTAAGACCTAAACCCACTGAGATTAAGTGTTACATAGGCATCTTTTAAACCTATAAAAATCACCTTAATCAAGAATAGTATAATTTTTAGAAGTCATTATCGGTAAGATAGAAAGGCCACTTTGTTTGGATTTTGCAAACAAGCAGTAGTTATCATTTATGGTTAGGTGAACTGAATAACTAATTTACAAATTGAAAACACCCCCTGTACCCATCAGTCTACTCTCTACACTGCTACCTGTCATGAATTTCAACCTGTATAAGCTTTGGTATGCAGACACCTGGCTAACCTAAATATGTGGTTTGCCTTTTTTTCCTTTTTCTTCAAAAAAGAGAAGTGTGGAAAAATTGGATTGTATGTTTGGAGTATGGATAGGGTGTAGATGAGAACTTACTCTCATAACCCAGACTGACATATGAATTCAGCTCTAGGGTAAAATCATGAAAATAAGAATAAACAAGGGAGAAGGAAAAGTAAATTTGGATTTTAAAAGATCTTGAGGGGTGAGGAAATGTTTGACCAGAGGGTTATATCATTCAGGGTGGAGATTGATTTGACAGTATTCAAGTGCCAGATGGAAGACAAATGCCAAAAAAAAGAACGTGAATTTTTAATTCAAAGGAAACTTTGAAAAAACATCATAAATAATACAATAGATAGAAAAAAAAGACAACATTTTAAAATGTTTATGGGGAAAATAGTTGACCTACAGATTATATCAGTCAAGCTAAATTGGGTTGACTGCACAAGTGAAATGGTGATGCCAAAAATATTAGAATTCTTCATTCAAAGGGAAAATTTTGATACAAAAATGTTATTTATTGTTTTTAATCATTTCACTCTAAGCAAGGCATTAAAATCACTATGATGCATTGGCTTACTGAGTGAAGAAAACTGATATTTTACTGAGGAGAAAGGACAATAAAAAAAATAGAATTTAAAGAGTTAGAAGATGAAGATTGACAACATTTAAATTTTTTTAGATTGTAGTTGACATGAAAGCAGAAAACTGGAAGGAAGTTCCATAGGCAAGAGAGAAGAAACTATTAGAATAGAACTTATGGTTACATTTAGTAATTTTAACAGTAAAATGATGATATCTACCTTGAAGTCTTGTGGTTCCAAAGGTACAGTGACTTTATGAATTTAAGAGTAGTCCTAGATTGGCAAAAAATTTGAGGCAATGTGACAGAATGGTGGGAAATTCAGGTGACATCATGGACTAATGATTAATTTCCTTTATCTAGAATCTCGACATAAGGAGACTCTTTTTGTGATTTGAACAGTTGCTGTTTACTTGATAGAGAAATCTACATTTCTTGAGACATCCCTGATTATCTGGATACCGAGGGACAGGAGTTAAAAAATATGTTTAAATAATTAAAAATTCTGGATAATTGACTAACTAAATTATGAAAAAAGAAAAATAATTATTTATAATATTTATATGCAGAGTATTGCTTTCAACTTTGTTTTTGTCACAATGTTTCAACCTTTGTACCCTTTGGTCTTCATCAGGTGTATGTCAAACTGGGTAACTTACAAGAATTCCAAACTGAACCCTTTATTAAATCTATGGGTTCATAATCAGTTCAGTTCAGAATTCAATTTGAGAACATTTCAATTTTAAAGTGTAACATCACAAAGTATAACAAAATGAGACTTGTGTCAAAAAGTAAAACCACACATCAGTTAGAAAATGCTATCATCATTGTCACATCAGTCAGGAAATGCTACCATCATTGTTCATTTCATGTCTGGATAATCGAGGTAGTACTGTTGTGGAGCAAATGAGTTGAATTAACATCAGTCAGCCAGAAGTGATAACACTGTTTCAGGCATCAGAATATAGAAATTTTAGAACTCTCTACTCAGAATCAAGAAAAGACGATGGGAATGAAGAAAGAGGGCTCAGAAAACTTAACTCTCACAGGGCGTGTTAAGGGCAAGAGAAATAGAAAGTGAGCTACATCTGTGTGAATGGATGATAAAGCATGAGTGTGTGTGGGCTTAGCAAAAGAAGAAAAACTGCTAAGAGCCACAAGAGAAATGAAGCTGTGGAGAGCCATGATCGTCTATCTCCTGAAGGGACATGGAACATAGAAGAAGAGAGAAACAAAAAAGATATACTGAAGAGAAACCAACCTTTGTAAGTGAAGTGCAGAACAGGGACTGGGAGGGGTGCTTAGGAGACAAACATTGCTTAAAGGAAGGAGGAGAGAAAGTTGGAGATCATGCATGTCCTGAAGGGTCATGGCACATAAAAGAAGATTTGGTTCCTAAGCCACTTTTCTCTTTTATTCCATAATTACAGAGTGTAAATCCTTCTTATATTCAACAAATTAAAACACTTACATAGCAACTTGACATTGATTGTCTTGTGTTCATACTTCCATGTATGTGTACTCACTAGAAATTCTGGGGGCAGGACCAGATTAAGCTCGTGTGGGGCCTGTAGTATATGTTACGAAGGGTCACTAATTAAAAAAAAAAACACAAATATTAAATCATAAATTATTTACTAGCATAGTGAACTGCTATGTGCTGTGTCCATTCAGGATGTGGCCGGTTATAGCTCTTCACTGTATCCTCTCCTTTGTATCTCTTAGTAAATTTTGTCTTTTTGCTATCTCTCCTTATATGCTGCTTTCCTCCGTCCATCTTGTCTTCAGTATATCCTGCCAGTGTCATTTTCTAAGCCCTCCTATCTTATGTGTCCTAGAAATTTCAATTGTCTCTTTCTGATGTTAAGTATAAGTGTCATTTTTGTTTTCATTTTCTCTAACATTCTATTGTTGCTCACATGTTCGGTCCTTGGTATTCTCAGCATCCTTCTGTAGAGTAACTGTAGAGTAATTTCTGTTGCTACAAGTCTCTTCTTCATCTGTGAGAAGATTGTTGAGCATTAACTGCTATATAAAAGGGCGGATATTATGTAACAGTTCGTTACTCTTTTCTTTGTTTCTAAGAAAATTTTTCTGTTTCTTACTTTTTATCAGTATAATAAACAAACCCAGATAAAATATGAGGCAAATGATTTTAATGAGCTGTTATGTAATATTAGCCCACCTAAATATATGAGGCAATGAATGCCGGACAATCACCTCAAAGATGAAAAGGAGACTTGAGGTAGCAATTGTTCTACAGAAGGGTACTGAGAATACAGTGGATGAAGCCTGTGAATAATGAAAAAGTTTTCAGGAAAATGGAAACAAAAAAGGCCGCTTATATTTAGAGTAATAAAGAGACAGCTGAGAATTCTAGGACATATTGAGGAGAGGGGGCTTGGAGAATTAATCCTCAAAGGACATACTAACCCTTTAGCATTGAACATGCTCAAACCCACTTTGTAAATATTGGTTCTTAAAGTTTCACTCTATTGTGTGACTTCCTGTGTTATTTGCAGTGATGTCATATATTATGGTAGAGTATACACGAGACGGATTACAGTGAGTTGAACATTGAGAGCAGATATTTACGGGGCAGTTTTGGGCAGGTTAAAGGCAAAAAGTACAGAAGGAAACAGCAAATAACTTACCTAACAAGTCTGTAATTGAATGGCAGAACAAGGCCTGTGAAGGATTGTGAAAAGACAAACCTTACAAAGAGCTACAAAGGATAGGAAGTTGTGGAGAGACATGATTGCCCACGTCCTGAAGGGACATGGCACATAAAAGGAGGAGATTTTTATTTATTTAATTTTTTTGGTAGGAGTATATCATATTCAATTTAAATGAAGTCATAAATAATAATTGGAAATATATAATCTTCCCTCTTTATACTTATTTATGTAGTTATACTTGTATAATAAACATTATAGCAGCTTTGTTACATTGAGACCAGTTCTCCTGTGATCACCAAAGTTAAGGAATGTTGAGCCTGTTCAGTACCTAGATGGGTGACCACTTGGGAATACCATGTGCTGTAGGTTTGGATGTGCTGGTGGTTCAATGTACAGGATGTCCTTAAAGTCTGGATGCATAGGAAATCTCATGAACTATATTTTTTTACCTCCATGATTTAAACATTGTTTTGTCTAAAGAAGAAAGAAATGACTTCTTTTTTCAGGGTATTCTAAAGGAGAAGGTGTACTCAATGAAAATCACAGATTCAACACACTTGATTGTAAATATAAAGAGTGAATGTGCCAAAATTGATGGTAATGTGGAGTTATTACATTGAATTCACATGAATCTTGCAAAGCGTATCAGCCTTTGCATCACTAATAATGGAAATCATATTGAAGATGTTATTTGTTGATATTCCATTTCAATAAAATGTTGAAAATTTAATTTCTTAAAAATATGCATTTTTGCCTAGAGTGCTCAGACTTTAAGGACACAACCTGTATAACAGAATTAGAAATCAGAGAATCATGTTTGAATTCCAGTGGGGTTTGTTACATTTACTTGCTTGCAAATACTCTTGTGAAAGGTATGACTCCACATCTTCTCCCCACCTCTAGCTATGGGTGAAATAGTAGGATTTGTATCTTAAAATCTTTATTCTATCCAAAAAATTGTTAATGCAATATTCACTTTGTAAAAAAAAAAAAAAAAAAAAAATGAATTATTCTTACAAAAATGTGTTTTGGCTTTAGATAATTTGCAGCAGGTTGATAAGCCATAAATAATAACTCAGTCAAACAATGGATGTTGATTTCAATCCAAGTACATATAACTGTAGAACACTTGCCCCTCTCCTTTTTATAGGCAAAAGCACAAAAGTGCATGCTGGGATTTTTTGACAGTTTGACTCAATCTCGATCTGCCATATCTAGAAGATAGAATGCTACATTTGCTTGTCTGAACTTGCTTTTGTGTGTCAACCCCAATTCTTAGTTTGTGAACTTTTTGCCTTATTACACTTAATTTGCCTTGCATATATTGTTTGCTTGATATCATTTCATTTTTGTCCAGTTCTTTTTTCTTTTTATTGCAAACTTAATTCTGTTGGACAGTTCTGTTAATTTTTTTTGCATTTGACCATTGCTACTCACTCCACAATGAAATTGTTTTGTGAATGGTTCAAGTTGGATAAAATCATTTGCTTGTCACATATTAATGAACTATGTTAACAGTAAAAACCTTGATTAATGATTGATTTGTCGCATCTACTATTTGTAATGTGTTATTTCAGATTTATATATTCTTTTATTTATTTCTTTTTTCTTTACAGATAGAAAAAATGTTGGATAACCGCATTATTGAAGAAAAGGATGATCCTGTAGTCCTTGTGAGAGCTTTGTTGTTTGGTCAGTTGGCAATTTATTAGTAACAAAATTATATTTACATTCATTGGTTGTAAGGAAAATTAATGACAAAAGTAGAAAAAAATTTTTCGGATTTCATCGGACTAAAGTAATATTTCTGTTGATGTAATGACAAACAGAAAAGGATGTTAAAATTTTAAACATTTTTTTTTTATTAAAGTGATTTCAATATATAGCCAAGCCAATTTAGTTTCTTTTTGTTTTATTTATATTTTTATCACTTTTGTCATTAAGTATCTTGCCAAGAAAGGTGGACGCAAATTCACTGTGGATGATCTAGCAATTAAAGCACTTTCTATACACTTTCGTCTTAGTAAATTGCTTTCTCTCTTAATTAAAGTAGGATTTTTTAAATTGAAATTATGGTCAGATTTATTACAGTGAGCATCTAATGCGCTGAGTATGTTGTTTTCGAAAAGATCCCTTTTGTGTTCATCTAATGTTTTAGAAACCTCAAGGAATTTGAATAAAATTTGTTTGTGAGCATGTATAGGTACATCACTGAAAACGTTACTTTAGTTTGATGAAGTCCTAAAAGACACAATGTGTCACACAAAATGTTTTTCCACTTTCTCATTTATTTTCCTAACATTCTTCTGGTATATAAAAATTTATATATCCTTTTCCCTATCTTTCATCGACTCTGTAAACGTGATTCAATTTTTATCATGTTTGTCTTTTCAAACTCTCTCACTGTATAATTTTTCTTTTTGCTTATGTCCATATCACATTGAAACACCAGTTTCCGTACAATCATCAAAGTTAAGCAATGTTGAGCCTGGTTAGTATCTAGGTGGGTGACCACTTGAGAATACCAGATGCTGTAAGCTTTGATTTTCATGTTGTCTAATAGATAATGGCACAGAATTGTTAATTGGAGAACTGAGTTCCAATTCCTGATGGGTTTGTCATATTCATTTATGTGCAAATGCCCTTGGGGAAAAGTGTGAATCCACTTCTTCTACCCATGGCTATGGGTTAATTAACAAAACTTGTATCAATAAAACCAATATTATCTCCGAAAAAAAAAAAAAAATTCTTACAATCTAAAACCAAATGGTCGATAAACCGTAGAAAATAAATTGATCAGTCTGTATTTTTGTTTGGCTTCATTTTTTAATCCGTGACATTTATGAACTATGTTTATGTAACAATGACTGTAGCTATTTACTTTGTCTAATGAAACACCCATGGGTTGTGTAGATTTTCTGTTGAAAATTAAAAAAAAACTAAAAAAAAACTGACACCCAAGCTGCCATGTCTAGCTCGTTCATATAGAACTCAGGAGGACATGAAAAATTTTATCTAACCGATCATGGGTATCTCTCAAATATATATATTTGAGTGTAAACATAGAATGCATCCCTTGCCCAGGCTTTCCACCAGCCAGTTCATGATTACCCCACATTGCATTTTGATTCTAGATCTCGTCTGTGTCTGTCCTGGGTAAGATGAAAAACTACATCCAACAGCAAGGCCTTTGATCAGGAGGTTTTGAGGAGCGTGGAACCACCTTTTAATTGCTGCTGTTCCCAGGTCCAACCTGACCCGGGGTGGTAGCACCTGTTAGGGGCCCAGCTATGGGCAAATAGTTAACTCCCACAATGGGGTTAAAACATTATGAAAGTGTAAAAATGGGTTTTAATACCAGAAATACTTTATAAAAAATTATTACCAGCAATAAATTTTTGAAAAAAAAATTACCAGCTATACATTTAAAAAAAAAAAAAAAAAAAAAAATCACTAGTAATAAAAATATTGTCGGCATTAAATAACCAATTGAGGTTGACATGCTGTAAAACAAAACAAACCAAACTATATATTTTTGAAGAAAATAATTATTACCAGTGATACATTTTTGAAAGAAAAAATATTACCAGTAATAAAAATCTTGATGGCATTAAATAACACATTGTGGTTGATATGCTGTAAAACAAAACAAATCAAACAAAACCTCATCTGTGTTTGCCAAAAACTGGGGAAATGCATGCTGCATGCTCACATGGTAACATGATGAAAGACAAATACCATGTCAAGAAATGAATGTAAACCCTGTTTCCCATATTGTAGTGGGTGTTTTACTCGGGGCTTCGCCTGATACTTTAGGCAATTTCTTATATGTCAGCTCTTTCCCTTACTAATTCTTCGCCCATCTACTCATCCCGATGTAGTGTATGACAATATGAATCGAGGAGCACAGGAACCACATAATGGACACATCTCTCTTCCACCAAGGTTGGAGCAGGACTATCCCCAATCCCAAACATGACTGTTAATTTAGACTAGCTCTCGGATATACCCTATTTCTGGTTTTGTTGCCACTTGATCTTCAAAAATCTCTCATTCAACCTTTTACTTCCCATTCCCTTTTGGTTAAAGTGGATGCCGCTTAGAAGACTGAACTGTTCCATCAAACAGAAACACTTTTGATAAAACCACCTCTTCCCTTCCTATGTAGGTGTGTCCATAGTATCACATGAGGGTTAAGGGGCACGTTTTCATTGTGTTCATTCTTGTTTGAGTTTTGCAGCTGGTACACTTTGTGATCTATGTAAATCCTTCCACTTACTATTTAGCAAAACCTTCAGTATTTTGTTGAGTGACAAAATCATAAGCAAGTTTGTGGAGCGAGTAGCCATGGTTAAATGCAAAATGAGTAACAGAACTGTCCGACAAACAGAATTGACAAAGTTTGCAATAAGCAATAACAAGGAAAAGAAAAGAACAGGTCAAGAAATAATATAAACCAAGCAAACAATATAAACCAGGCAAATTAGCAGTAATAAGGCTAAGCTACAGTAATATAGCAAAAAGTTCACAAACTAAGAATTGGAGTTGACACACAAAAGCAAATTCAGACAAGTGAACATAGAGTTTTGACTTCCAGACAAGACAGATCAAGACTGAGTCAGATGAAACCAAGAACTGTCCTATTTTATTGGCTAGGAAAAAATCCCAGCATGCATTGTGTGCTTCTGCCTATAAATTGGTGGGGAGGAAGTGTTTTGCTGTCATTCCAGTATAGATTGGAATCAAAGTGAAAGTATTTTGGTACATAATAGGACTATTAGGGAAATGCAATTTGATGAGAATGAAATAGTAGATTATATGTATATTTTTTTTTCTTAAGTGGAGACTCCATATCATAGCTTAGATGTGCCACACAGCTGAAGGTATGGGACACTCAGTGAGTATCGAACTCACTACTCAGCCATAATTGTTCTATCAAGACAAGCTTGCTAACCATTATATTGCCTCAGGGTACCCTCCATATTTATTTATACTGGACATTAAATTGCTTGATTTTTTTTTTGATTTAATCATGTTCATTCCATGCAAGGCAATAAAGCCACTAAGACACATGGGGTTACTGGGTGTAGAAGAATTAGAAACAGGAACATTACTAATGAGTGAGAATAAAAACTGTAATGAGGAGGACAGTAGATAGCAGTTAACATTGCATTTAAATTTTCATTTTTGTTGGCTGGAAAGCATGGAGCTGGAAGGGAGTTCCACAAATGAGAAGTGTGAGAAAAGTAAATGTTAGCTTAGAATTTACAGGTTATATTTAGCCAGCTCAACTGTAAATTGATTTTCATTCTTTGTGTATTTAAACATTTATTAATAGTAGTAAGTATTAATTGGTGATATTGAAAAGTTCTCAGCTTCACCATCTTTCCAAAATTAGTTTTAAGATTTTTGATTATTATACAGTACTTTGTTGATTATCCATACCTTGATTATCAGCATATGAAATGAAGAGAAAACTTGAAATCTTCCAAATATTTTTCATTTATCCAAACCCATTCTTATGTTACATCTTAGACAAGCCTTGTGAGAATTTAGAAAACTATATTCAATGTTTGATAAAAACTGACAAAAGCTGATTTCCCTTTCAACCAGAACCTAACCTTATAAAGACATCTACTTTTATCCATCTCCAGTTGTGACAGAAAAAAAAGTGATGCCACCTGGAAAACAGGCAAAAAAAAAAGTGAGGCCACCTGGAAACAGGCAAAAATCGACGTCATTTTTTTTCATCAAAAAAAGATTTTTAAAATGGGCAAAACCTTGAAGAAAGTACTTGAAATTGTTATTTGATGATATAAATATTAAATTTCTTTCAGAAAATGACTGTTTTTTTTTTTTTGGATAGTTAGGTATACAATTATCTAAAATTTTGAATTCAAGATAATTTTTCTTTTTTTTTTCAACCCATCCCAAGGTGTCCAAATAATCAAGGAAGTTTATTGTTTGTTGTATCACAGTATTAATGTTGTCACTGTTTATTATATTTTAAACCAACTTTTAATCTAAAACTTTTCAGGCTACTACTTCAAAGAGGAAGAGAGAGCTGAGAAATGGTTGCATGTTTATCAGCATTGTGTAAAATGTATACAAAAACAACAAAATCAATCAGACATTAAACTTAAGTTGATTGACTTTCTAATGTGGCAGGTAGGATATTTTTAATTATTTTTATAAGTACTCATTTAAAGGACGCCAATGTTGGCCATTATGCTCAATAACCAAGTCAACTCTTCTAGAATTTATTATAATTAATTGCAAATAAAGGGAGAATATTCTCTAATCATTAGGTAGTCTCCCCTTATTTGTAGTCTAACTACATTTAAAAATTGAAGTGAACTTTACCTGTGTTTCTATTAAAGCCTCATCTGAATCATTTTTTAAACAGATAATGATACTCAAAAAATAATGATAGGTTTACTTTGTAATATATTCCTTCTACAAAATAAAGATTATTTTATGCAGAGGTTTGTAATCTTTTTCAATGTTGATGTGATTTTCTTTTTAGATCTTGTAAAACATACACACACGAAGAAGAATAGAAAATTTGAATAATTATTACACATCCCACACTATTAAGTTGTGAATAGAAATTCAAATTAGAACATTTTAATGGTATTGATCTAATAAAAATCTCACTATGTTGTGCTGTTTTTGCTGTATTACAATAACAAATAACCATATATTGGAACATTATAGATTATCGATTATACACTGTCATATACAAATCATTGTTTTTTACAATAAAATTAGTTTCAATCAAATAATATTGGTAAATTTTTCAGTATATATTTATACATATCATATGCATTTCATCTTATAATATCTGTTTTTATGAGAAATATTTTCAATAATGTATTTGGTATTGTGAGATTTTATTATGCAACTCTAAGTGTCCATCATATATAGATATATAATTATATACTTATTTATTTTTTAATTTTGAGTTATTTAAAGATTTCAAATTTAATTTAAAGTTTTATTTAAAGATTTAATTTAATTTCAGTTATTTAAAGAATGTCATGGGTAATAAAAAATGTATAACCTCAAAACAGAAGCAAGATATTGTAAAGTGACTGAGTGATGGCAATAGGTATATAAAGATTGCCATGGGTCAAAAAAACAAACTCAAAAGAAAAACAAGACATTGTAAAGTTATTAACACTAGGATGGCCAGCTCTTTTGACATCTTTATTTACATTACGCTGTGAAGCAGCCATCTTTAATATATTCAATATTCAAATCAGGAATAACAAGTCTGAAAAGAAATTCACAAATATTAGTATACCTCACACTGAAAGAAAGATGATTATATATATATATATATATATATATATATATATATATATATATATATATATAAAATTGTGTGTGTGTGTATAGATAAATAGATAGATAGGGGACATAAACACAAGTATTATTGCTTGTGAGAAATTTTTCAATGCATTTACCCTATAAATAGCCTAGGTGTCAAAAACAACACCTCGGCCATTCAAGGTAAAACCTCAAATATCAGCTATTCCACTGAATATTTTTTAAGAATTAAGTCTGTTAAGCATCTTTTAAAAATTCAATAATTGTCCATAAGCCTCAGCATCGAACCAAAACTAGTTATTCCATAGGAATTTGTTGAAAATTTGAAGGTGTCGAAAACGACACCTCGGCCATCCTAGTGTTAAGCAATGGGCATACAAAATTGGAAAAAGTTGAGCAGAGATTGCTTACAGTCACGAAATAACTTGAAAACATTGGCAAGAAAAGAGTAAGGAAAAAATTTGCTTTAAGAATGTTACAAGAAAGATTTGAGATAAATTTAAGTGGTAATAAACAAGAAAGGGGATTGATCTGTAAAAGAATATTTGAAGAAGCTGATGTTGTAAAACAGGTGAGTGACTCATTCCATCTTCTTGGACTAATTATTTCTGCTGACATGAAGTGGAAAGATTATAGTGAATCAATTGTTACATTTGCTGTTAGGGAAGATGGTTCACTTGTGTTGTGCGTGACCATTTGTCTATGCATTGAATATTGCTTTCACATCTGGTCTCATATTTCTGCTATGTATTTAGAGATTCTTGATCAAATACAAAGAAAAAAATAACACGAAGAACATGAAGAAATTATTTGCAAAAACTGAACCAAAAAATATATTGGATTTTCTAAAAAGAATTGGTCTCTTCTCAAAGATGTAGACTGATGTATAAACAACATATCCTACCTTTTACCATTTTGCAAATAAATTGTCCTTATCAAATGGAAATTCTTGACTTAAACAAAAATACCTAGGATTATTTTGCAGTGTACAAGCAAATAAGCTCTAGCTTGCTAAAAATGTTCCATACAAAATAGGCATTTAAAATTCATATATTTGGTATATATATATAAACTGGATTTGGCCTTAAATAACCCACTGTGGTTGATATGCCATAAAACCCAAACAAACAAACAAACCAAAGAAAAATCTACAATGATGTCAGTTTTGACCTGGCATCTTGACTTCAGTCATTTTCCCACCATTGTAACATAGCTTTCCTGTGCTTTTTCCATAAATGTTTTCATGGAAATTGTTCTGATGAGCTTTCCTTTAATTTAAGCACAGTACTAGATTGGCAATTAGGTCTCCTCGTTTTACAGTTAAAATTTCTAGATGTAACTGTAAGTTATATGCTAAGTTATTTTTTCCCACTTCTTGATTGTGACTTAATTCCTGTTCTTTTGTTGTTCTTTCTCCTTAATAATGTTTTTCTCATATTCTTTCACACTCAGTAACTCCTTGCTTCTTAGTGACTTTTTTTCCTTGCTTGGGGTGAAATGATTAAAAAAAATAAATAGATAAATAATTTGTGGAAGACACAGCTGTTGTTTTCACAGTAGTAGTTGCATGAGTTTCTAAAGCAAATTGTGATGTATTTGCTTATGAATATTAAAGGAAAAGAATTCTTGGTTTAAGTCTGTGATTTAAAATCAAAATTCATTACAGTACTTTCTTTTGCCTAATACAAAAAATTTGGAGCAAAAATCAAAGGCAAAAAGGAGGAGTTGTATTATACCGAAGTACACATTTTCAGAAATTTTTACTCAGCTTAAAAAATCTTTTATTTGAAACAGCAGGATTGCAAATACATGCAGCACAATAGATAAGAAAACATAAAGTAGGTAGGTGTTGATAAGATTTGTTTACAAAAGGTATTTGATATGTTAACAATATTTATTTCTCTCTTCATTCTTAACCTTTAGGACTCTGTATTACTAATATTACACTAATATTACTTCCCTTTCCACTGCATTCTTTTTTTTTCTGTTGTTTTCTGTTGCCATAGCAGGATATGACAACACAACTATGAAGTTCAAACACACTATTGTTCAGAGATCAATCACCTTCAGTGGCAGAATAAACTTTTTGCACAGCAAATGAAGTCACGGAGAGATAAAGTTTAATGAAAGACAATATTTTTCATAGTTTATTAATATATAGAAATATAATAAAGTCATATAAAACCAAAAAGTATGATAGATTAATTAACATCTTAAAATGTATTATTGGGTTTATCTAGTTAGCACATTTCCCCAAAAATTTTTGAAAAGGAAATTAGGAGAAGAAATGTACAATGGCTAAATATCCAGTTCATTTTGATTTAATATCATGAAAAATTGGGATTATAATGGATGATATGGTACACAATTTAAAAAAAAAAAATAATTACATAGGGATGACTGTATTACAAGGTCGTATTGTATTCAAGGATGTAATTTATTTCCTGTTTTTAGCTTCAGAAACATGTGGTTGTATTATACTCAAGTCATATTATACACACAAAAATATGGTACATATTGCTTGAGGTAAGAATATACTAATAAAAAAACACATAACAAACATATTACTTTTGTAATTTTCAATTCATCTTTTGTAAAAAAAAAAGTATGATTCTGTCTTATTTGTGATTATGTAATAAGATTTTTATAGATATTTCATTACTAACAAAAAATATCTTTCTAGGTAGAAAAGTTACCAAATCAGTGTTTGGTTTCTCTGGCTAAATACTTTGTGGAGACTATCAAAACTGGACAAATACAAAATGACAAGTGAGTTTTTTTTTTTTTAATTTTTTTACTGTTTTTGCTTTTCTTGAACTTCCAACCTCATTAATTAGTCATAAATATCATACAGTTAGTTACTTGGTTAATTGTTGATTGTTATTGTTTACAAGATGATATTGTCTTTATTTATGTTTGATTTTTAAAATGTCTAAAAATGTGGATGTGGGCAAAAGACATATTTCACTTAGATACAACACTTGTGACTTGATGAAGAAACTTGTCTGATTATAATAGTGTTAATAAGAAAGTTTCAAATTAAATAAATTTGTTATTAAAAATTATTAAAAAAAAATTTTTAATAATTAAAATAATTTTTAATAATTTTTATAATTTAAAAAAAAACAAACCATCAGCCATGAAAATGGTAGATTAGCGAGAGTCATTTTGTCTGTGGGGAAGGGGTTGAGGGGTGGAAAAGAGTTCATTGCCCACAAGACGATGTAAACACTTTTTAAATTTTGTTGAGATGAGACAGTGAGGATTAGGTTGCTCCAGCCAAGACATAGCAGCAATACTCTAATTTTTTTTTTGATCTGGCACAGCAGGAGGAGTCAGACAAAATAAAAAAAAGCACTGTGTCAAAAAGATGTTTTTCTCCTGACACCACCATAAATGTATAGTCCTTCAGTCATATTTATTGTTTTAAAAACTATTTTTAAAATTTTAATGAAACCACTGGATGTGTACAATTTTTTTTGTCACTTTAATTAACCAAGACTACCTCAGATTACCTCGTTTTAATTTTCCAAAGCAGTCAATTCACTATTATATGTTTATCCCAAACTTAACCCTCCTCGAAAATGTTCTGTTTTATTTATGGTTGGATGTCATTATAGTGGTGCTCTCTAAATATTAAAAATATTAAATTAAAATTACAGGCATTCTGTAATTACGAAAACTTTGTTGACACACAGAATAAGGAATAGCAAAAATATTGAGTGTTTGTAGTTTTGCCTAAAATCTAAAATTTAAAGAATGTTTAGTTCAAGGGAAGATATGCTCTCAGCATATTTTGGTGATGGGGTGAGAGAGCATACAAAAGAAATGCCTGGGAAATGCATCTTTTCAAAATTTGTTTATTTAAATTTTCTAGTTTTGTAGTTCAGAGACATTTAATTTTATAATCTGTGTGAACTGGGTTACTCAACCTGAAAGCATTTCTAACTTGCAGGATCATGTACTGCTTTTATTAAAACCTGTCATGATAATGTGCAGATTTGGTTGTGATGCATATAGAGTAATTAGCATTGGTTGAATGTAATTGGTAAAAATGCCTAACAAATAGAACTGACAATGTTTCCAATAAATAATAACAAAAGAACAAAAAGAATAGGCAAAAATAATATGAAGCAAATAATATATATATATATATATATATATATATATATAATAAATCTGTGGGTAAGTGATCCAAGTAGATCCTAATAATATAAAATATTAAAACTGATCCACAAAAAGAGCTCAGTATATTTACATGGCCATCAAAACAGGTTACAATAGAGTTTCATTTCTATGTAATTCATATGATATGATATATATATATATATATATATATATATATATATATATATATATATATATATATATATATATTACTCAAACATTATTTTTATCGGATACCTCTTATTTGTGTAGATACTCCATTTATTTATTAGACAGTATATTTATTTATTTATTTTTGTCTACTGGCCTGAATATTTGAGAAATCTTAGAGAAAAATATGTACTCTCTGACACAATTCGAACCTGCGTTTCCCTAGGGGAAACCATCATTGGATCTGATGTACTTTGAACCTCTTGACCATGAAGTGTGTCAATGGTCAAGCAAAGTTGAATAATCCTTTTAAACACAGATTATATTTCAGTTTCATATCCTAAAATAAACAAAGCAATTTCTAAAGAAAGGGATGATTTTTTTTATTTATTTATTAATCCAACAGATTCTATTACTTAAACATTATTTTTAATGGATACTCATACTTAAGTAGACACCCTGTTTCTTGGTGTCTGTCTGTTTACTTGTTTGATTTTATCTGTATTAGAGACATTTGGCATGTTAGGATTTTAAATCAGGGATTTTTGGTTGTCGGGGGGTGGACTATTATACATCCTACAAACCTGTGTGTGTGTATATATATATATATATATATATATATATATATATATATATATATATAATATCCTCATTAACACCACAAAATGTTCTTGAATTGTTTGATGGCCATACTTTTTTAAACTGAAGACTCTTTTCATAGAAAAGACCTTTCCATTTGAAAAATTTTGTCCTTCTGGGCATATTTATTTAATCTCAAAGGAAATTCTACATACTTATGTGCAGATAAGGCAATGGTTAGCATCGTGGAATTTGCAAGCCAAGTTCAAATTCTGGAGTAGCTTGCTGCATTCACTTTCACACAAATGCCCTTGGGAATGGCTTGAATCTATCGGCCCTTTCTCCTAGCTATAGCACATTAGACTGGGTTCTAGGGAGGACAAGTAGTCTGGGAGAGGGACAACTGAATTCAAAGCGAGCCTGAAGTGCAATGGGCTCCACCAGACTATCTTGCCCTAGACACACCCAATGTTGCTATGGCTTCAGTACATGTAGTGTACTCATGACCATAACTGACTATTTGTTTTCACATTTATTTTTTATTAATTGGTAAAAGATTAATGTTGTATTGCATTAGTTCTTAGGATGTTGTAAATATAAAATTATTCTTGTAAATAAACAATCTAATAAATAGTATTTAACATAAAATAAATAGTATTGTTGTGCATTCTCATGAACAAAAAATGTATAAGTTCACTTTCATCTTTTTTTTTGTCTTCCTGAATCCTGTTCTTTTTTTTGTCCTTTTCCTCATTTCTCAGTAAAGTCTAGCAGCATTAATGCTTTGCTTGGGGATGAAATGATTAAAAAAGTTAAAGAAAGGCATAATACATGCTGAGGGAAATGATCTAACTATAATCTATTTATGATTTTTCTTTTCAGAATTCTAGAATTATTTCCAAAGTTGTTGTCTGTAATTTCATCTCAGGAGAAAGTCCAGGTGGATGATATCAGTTGGCTGAAAGGATCAGACTACAAAAGTCAGATTCTTAACAGCATTTGTTCTTGCAGGTACAAATTTTTATTTTTATTTTTCTCATGATAGAAACTCACAGAAGGTTGATAAACTGTAAAAAACCACAAGTTAATCAATTCTCATCTATACATATATAAAGAGCAGTTGTCTGTATGTATGTATGTGTGTGTGTGTCTGGCTAAAACTAAAAAATTACGATAATTAAGTACAAAATAAATATATATCAGTATTGCCCAACCCACCTTTTTTGCCAAAAAATTATCATGTATGATTTGTATTTGTGAAGATATTTTAAAATTAAAAATGTGTAATAAGTGCATTAGAATGCATTCAAAATTCTCAGAATAAAAAAGTAAAAATGAACAGGAATAATTATTATTTCTGTTCATTTTTACATTTAATTCTGCTGATAATTTCAAAATGCTATATGTATTTTTTAAATTTCTATTTTCTTGAATTTATTTCCATATTTATAGTAAATAAAAGTGTAACTTTAAAAAAATGAATATTAAAACAACAAAATAAATTTAAAAGAAGAAGAATATTAAATACAATTATTTTAAAAAATGTTTAATATTTATTTATTCAAATATTCTAAACAAAAATTGTAAAAACACTGCCAAATAAATTCCAATAAATATTTGGTGTGGAATTTTCAGTAGCTTTAATACAATCAGATACACACATATACATCATCTTTTTTGATATTTTTAATTGGGAAATTTTTAATTATTTATTTTTAATAACAGGTTGACTTTAAATACACACTTTTTGTTTTTATGTTTTTGTTGTAGGGATAGTAAGTAAATATTACATTCATTATGTTAAAGTATACATATAATTTTATTTTTACAATATGTTGATAATACATTCTAGGTGTGACTTGAGCAGAGGAAAATATTAAAATCATATTTATAATACTGGTGTTAATTTGATACACAATATGTTTATTTTGTTACATAGTGAAATGTCTATTTCTAATAATTATTTTTTGATTTAAAAAATATTAAGATTTGTACATTAATGAATTCCCTACAACTACCTGGCATACCACCTTAAAATCTCATGAAAAAGCAATATTCAGTCAGGTTTTGTTGAATTATTTTTTTATTAATAAAACTTTTGCTAAATTATTTAAATTAATTTCCTTATTTATGATGATGTGGAGAGCCATGGTCGCCTATGTTCTAGGAAGGGACACTGCAACTAGAAGATCCACTTATTATGAACCTTGCAACTTTTTTTTATACTTCATGCTGACCTCTTTGACATTTTTATGAAAATAGAAGACACTAACATTACTGACTTATTTTGATCTACTCAAACTAAGAATTTGCAAGAAATATTTGAAATACAAAATCTGAAGGAGTAGTTTATATGGATAGGAGAAGAAGATAATGGTTAACTCTAGACTTGAATAGGTTAAGATTGTAGTGATTGGAGAAACATCCTCTTGGGAGTGTGTTCCACAGAGTAGTGGTTTTCAGGGAGAAGCTGTTTGAGTGGAACTTCCTTCTTGCTAATGGAATACAGAGGGAATGTTTGCTACAATGTAAGTGGCATGGTGGGTCCTATCTGTGAAGGGTAGACCTGGCGGAACCAAGGAATGTAATTCATTCAAGCACTTTCCATGGAGGTAGCAACAGAGCAGTGAGAGAGAGGTTGGAGAATGGAAAATAATTCTTCTCCCACAAGGACTCGGAGACAATTTTGAATTCTATCAAGATGGAAAGTGATTGCATATATATGTCGGTTATTTATACTATTTACATCATTTGTACTGTTGTCCTCATCTTTATTGCTATAATCTGAGTAGGTATATGGTTCATTGCTGCTTTCGGTAACTATTAGCCCTTTGTTAGTACCAGGGATGTTTGAGCATCATGTTTTTTTTTCTTAATATTTAGCAATTGGGAAGTCAAATTTTCATGATCCTAAAGTTCACTTTCTGAATACCTTTATCAAGTAACTCCATGGAGGTTCTGATTTTAGTCACAATATTTGTGTGAATAACTGTAAAGTAAAGACTAATAATTATGGTAGAAACTATTGGAAAGATAAGTAACTTTTTTTGTTTATTGCTTAGAATGGGAAAGACTATTGGAGAGAAGTCAGATTGATCATAAACTGTTTAAAAGTTCATACTGTAAATAAAATGAAACATATTTTTGTATATTGGAATTTTTGAAATTTATAAATTTCTTTTATTACTCATTAACTTTAGACTATATGAAGAAATGGATGCTGATCATTAAAGCTTTTCATACCACACTCCAAAAGAATCTACCAATAGAAGACTGATTCTGCTTTTCTTCCCCGTAGCCAATGTGCTGATTTTGATGACATAGGTATTCATAGTTGGATAAGAATGATTTTAAACAGAAAAATATCCTTTACCAAGTGTTCCAAGACATAGGACTGAAGATAAGCCTTTCCAAAACAGAAACTATGATCTGCAATTGGAATGAAAGCAGTGATGCCATCTACCCTAAATCCATCATAAAAATTCAGGATGTGGAATCAGCAAATATTAAACAAATATCTTGGCATATTGATCAGTTATAACAAATTTAGTATAGGAATAAAAGGAAATGGAACACAGAATAGACTGTGCCAGAGGAAGTTTTGCCCACCACCATGAATTCCTACAAAATCAAAACATCAACCTCTAAACTTGAGTTATGTTCTTAAATATCCTCATCAAATCAAGACTTTCAGATGGATGTCATGCATGGTGCCAAACCTGTTTAAAAATCTCTAAACTCTTAGCTGTATGCAACTGCTTTCTAAGATCAATGGTTAAAAATGGTTTTGTGTGAATGAAGCCTGAAGGTTTTGGTAAAGATCGTCCTTCTTTGAATATTATGGACTATTGCTACAGAATTACACAACAAAGAACTGTATCAAATGACAGAAACCACATCACTTGAGGACTATCAACAACAACAGCAACAACAACTGAAATGGATAGTGCATACAACTCTAGGAAATAACGAAAATGTTGACATTCCACATTACTTCTTATTTTATAGGAAAGAAACCCCCACCAATACTGGAAAGAGCGATAACAGCCACTGGACTAGAGAAGCTTATTTTTCTGAAAAATTGTTCTCATGGAATCGTTTTATAAATTTCAACTGAATCAATGATTATCAAATGATTTCTTTTAGGAAAATGGCTAATATTACCATTATTTTTCATATAAAACCAATTTTAACTTCAAAGATGATATAAAATTATTTAAAACATATTTTTATTTCTTAAAAAAATAAGAAAAGAATAAAAGAATAGGAATTAAGAAAACAGAAGATAACAATTGCTGTTGCATATTAATTTTTAAAGATCAAAGTTGACTAGAAAGCAAATAGCGGGAAGAGCATTTTACATGAAAGAAGTTCAAGAGAAGAAACTGTTAGCATAGAACTTATGTTTTCATCTAGCAATTTCAAATGTAATATGATGAGACCTAGCTGCCACTCTAGTACTGAGCTTATATATGTAAAGTCAAGGTACCAAAGAGGAAAGCTCATTAGAACAATTACCATGAAAATATTTAAAATAGTCTTTGTTTTGTCAACTCATAATTTTTGTTTTCTTTTGTGTGTTAACAGGTGGGAAACTTGCATCATTATCAGACTTGTGGACATGTTTCGTGATGTTCCCATGTCAAGTGAAGAACTGGAGTTTGTCATTGATAAAACAATTCGTCTTCTTCCAGAACTTGACTTATGTGATCTTCCCGCTTTGACTCTCAATCTCTTACTGCTGTCAGTCAAGGTGAGTCAATAAATATTTGCCTAATTTTCTTTTTCCTTCAATCATTTCATCCCAAGCAAGGCAAAAAAGCCACTAAGATGCAAGGGCTTACTGAGTTTGAAAGAATATAAGAAAAAAATATTATTAAGGGGAGAGAGAATGATAAAAGGAATAAAGAAGACAAAAGATAATTATTGACATTGCATTTAAATTTTCAAAGAAAATCGAAATTGACTGGAAAGCAAGAAGCTGGAAGAGAGTTCCGCTAGTGAAAAGTGCAAGATAAGAAATTATTAGCTTAGAATTATGGTTACATCTTGTTATATTTTCGTAAAGAAAATAAAAGAAAAGAAAATAGGAAACTATCTTTACTGTCCACGTCAAATAGGAAACTATCTTTACTGTCCATGTGACTTTTTCACACGTCCCCATTCCTCTTTAAAAGCTGCGTTCTTCTTCCTTTGTTGATTGCTGCTGTGAATTAAGTTCAGTAAAGCCTTAGTGAAAGGTTACTAGCTTTCTTCTCTGAGCAACGTAACACATCTATAAATTAAAACTGTAAAATTATGAGACTTAGCTGCTAATCTAGTAATAATAGTAATCTAATATGAAAAACCTACATTTGAATTATCAAGTTGTGTGTATGATGATAAATTACATCCAGCAGCAGATGCCTCTGATTAGGAGATTGGAAATTTTTAGGACTGTGGAACCTAAATGCCATTCTAGTACTGTGCTTCAATTCGTAAAGTCAAAGTACCACATCTTAATTGCTGTTGTTCCCAGGTTCACTAAGACCTAGGATGATAGCACCTGTTAGGGTCCCAGCTATGGGTAAATAGTGAACACCTGACAAACAAAACAAAACCTGATGAAAGTATAAAAATACATTTTTATAGTAACAATACCATCAATACATTTTTATATACCAATATTACCTATTTATATCAGGTCATCCCATAAGTTCTGTCCGAATTTTGAATAAAGAAAACAAGTGACTAAATGTTACATTTAATTACAGATTCAATCAACAATGTATTTTTCCCTGATTATCTATGACTTCCTTCCATCTATTAAGAAGCTTACTAATTCCATTACTGTAAAATTTTTTTGGCTTTGATTCGGAGAACTCACAAATGTCAGTTTTAACCTCTTCCTGTGTTACAAAAGCTGTTTCTTCCAAATGATTCTGTAAGCTATAAAACAAATGATAGTCTGAAGGAGCAAGATCAGGAGAATAAGGTGGATGAGGAATTTTCTCCCAACCAAGTTCTTCGATCTTTTGTGACATGATTCTTGCTGTGTTGGGTCACGCATTGTCCTGATGAAACATCACCTCTTTTTGATTCACTAGAGCAGGTCTTTTTTTCCTCAAAGCTTGGTTCAAATGCTCTAATTGCTGACAGTATATTTGAGCATTAATTGTTACATTAGGTGGTAAGAATTCAAAGTGGATTATTCCTTGGCAATCGCACCAGATTGAAAGAAGAACCTTTTGCCCATGAAGTTCCCTTCTCGGCTGTGGCTGGGGTCCTTCCCCTTTACCAAGCCACTGTCTATGACGCTTAACATTTCGATAAAAGATCCATTTTTCGTCACAAGTCTATCCAAAAAAAGGTGAAACAAGTTGGCGAGAAGGGAGAGAAGAGCAGATGTCAACTCGGGATTTGAGGTTGTTTTCAGACAATTCATGAGGCACCCATTTTCCAAGTTTAGGAACTTTTCCAAGTTGTTGAAGATGACAATGAACAGTTGTATGGTTTAAACTGAGAACCACTGCCAATTCCTCAACTGATAAAGCAGGATTTTCTTCAAGGGTTGCTTCAAGAAGCTTTTCATCAAACTCAACTGGACGTCCGGTTCGATCTTCATCTTCAAGGGTGAAAACTCCACCTCTGAATTTTGCAAACCATCTTCTGCAGGTTCTTTCATTCACACATTCCTCTCCATAAACTGAGTGAATGTTTCTAGCCGCTTCGGCTACTGAGTTTCCTTTCTTGAACTCATAAAGCATTATGTGCCTCAAATGATTCTTGGGTACTTCCATGTTAGCAGCAGGGTTTCAATCAAACAAAATTTAATTTTATTGTTCTCTGAAATAAAATTTGATCAGTTTAAATGCATCTAAACATAAAAATAATGTTCAGCTCCATTAGATATTATAAAATACTCTTTAAATTGCGTTCATTTTAACAAAAAGTTAAAATTCGGACAGAACATGGGATGACCTGATAGTAAAACTGCCAACAATACATCAATCATGAAAGAACTCTTTCATGACATTAATCCATATAATATCCTACAATTTCTTAAAGAAACCAAACTGTATTTGGAAATATAATTTCAACAAAACTACAATATAAAACACACATATCACCACCTCTAGTAATTATGTTCACACAAACATATACACTACAGTTCAAAAGTTTGTGGAAACCCCTGGTAATTTTTTAAATTGGCCCCTAAAGTAGTTTCTTTTTACTTTAAATAAGAGAAAATCATTATACATGGTTACAAAAAGTGAGACATGATTTTTATTAGAAATTTTATTATGACCAAAAGGAAAAAAGCATTTTATGATTAAATTTTGCTCTTGTCAAAATATCCTCCTTTAGTCCTGATTACTGCAGCACAAATTTTTGGTATTCATTGCAAAGGTTTCTCAAAGTATAAATTTAATAATTGACTCCATTCTTTTTTTCAATGACACTAAGAGCTCTTTTTCATTTTTTTTTTTTTTTTTTTCACTCTTCTGTTAAGTTCATCCCATACTAGTTCTGGGGGGTGGCTTCAAACATTTGATCTGTAGTGTACATATATAAAAGATGTGTATCTACCATGTATTCAGTTGTGAAAGCAGAATAACATATATCATATTTTTATTACTTCAAACCGCCCAAGAAAATTAAATTTCTTCATTAAATGATCCATAGGAAGTTGATATGCCGTTCTTGGTCGCATCAGAGATTATAGATTATGCAAATCTCAGGCAAAATTTGATGCATTTTTTTGATAAAAAATAAACTGGCTAAAAACTTGAACAAAATGTTTGAAGATTTTATTTGATGATATGAATGTCAAAATTTCTTTCAGAAACTGACTTTCTTCATTTTTTTTTTTCGATAATTTAGTTATTCAGGTATCTGGAATTTTCAATTATCCAAACATATTTTTCAATCCCAGACCCAAGGTGCCAAGATAAGTGCAGAAAAATTCTAACATAGCTTATATCTTTGTAAAGGCACAACTAGGGCCCTTGTTCAGTTTTTTACTGACTGGTCAAATCACCTCATGTGCTTAGAGTTCAGTTTCTGGCAAAAACTGGGAAAGGGCCCAGTGTATGTTCAGAAAGGAACAAAAATAAAAAAAAACTCCATAATGAGAAAGGAAAACATTTCCCAGTTTATTGAGTAGATTATTCACAGTTCAACTGACATTTATAAAAAAATCTTGATCTAAAAAGGATTCATCCATAGTAATGTAAATTAGTGCAGTGTAGTAAAATAAAATTAATTTTTCCTGTAAAATTTTTAAAAAAAATATTTAAGAATAGGATTTCATTTTATTTGCTATATGATTAACAGTGGGATTGTAAGCAGACATTTGGTATTTTTGGAACAAATGATATGTGATATATCCAGTCTGAAAGTAGGCTGTCTCAGGATTTCAGAATTCATCTAACTTTATCTTAACTTCAACTATTTGTCATGCTTTTTGTATTTAGTGCTTCAGTTTTTGATTTATTGCTTTGCAAAATCATTTTGATTTCTTTATTAAATAATAACCATATCAGTTGTTTTAACAAACACTGTTGCAACCTAAAGATTATAACTGTCACTTAATCCTGAACCAGCAAGAAACTTTTCAAAAATAATTCAAGTAGATTGTTGTCAAAAAGTTTAATTGATATTTCAGTCTGCTATGTCAGGTTTTGCACGCTATTTTTAATTTGATTTTTAAAAAAAAAATTAATCAAAATTTCTAGTTTTTTTCTGTTTTTAACATGTCTAATACTGTACTAATACATCTTTACAGAACTTACATTGCCTACAGATAGTGTATGTACCAATGAAATTAGTCACTTGTTAAATGAAATGCCCATACCCTGATGAAAATAACAAAAACAAAAAAAAATTTTTAAATTACACTAAAACCATAATTTCTAGCTCTTTCATCTTGAACTTGGCAGGACAAGATCTGATCAATCATAGACGTCTTGGATGTGTAGATGTAAATTCTTACATTTGAATGCAGATTTTCATTGCTTGTGTGGATACATACTTGTTTGTAATTTGCGACCATTGAATTTAGCAACCTGCATGAATTTTTTGTAACTAAACATCTTCAAGGAACAATGAAATGTTGGTCTTTCATGGTTATGTTATAAACTAAATAGCACTTAGTGCTATTTCTAAACCAATGTAGACATATAGCAGCCTATAATAGGACCTATTGGTGATGTATTTTAATTATATTGTGCGTTGTGGTTGTTAGTTTAGACTGTACTTCTGAATATCTACTAGAAAAAAAAAATTGGAACTTGATGCTTGCAATTGTGAATATTTATGGAACAATAATATTAAAACCAAAAAAACAAGAAGACCAACTTGAAAGTGTATTATTGAGAAATTCCTCCTTTTCATGAACAAGTGACAACAACTTCAATATGAAGGTTAACAATGTAAACAAAGATAGCGAAGGAAATAAATAACAAAAATACTCAGTGTTTATAGAAATAAGGAAGAAACTTTATATAATAAATGCAAATGATAGTATGTCACACTTTTCAATTAAAGGGACACAACTCTCTAACTTTCAATAGCTCATGTTACAGAAATTTTTGATTCCCAAATTTTTATTACTGCAATTGTTTTCACCAATTTTTGTTATGTGATTTTTTGTGACTAATTTTTGTTTACACAATAACAATTTTTATAACTTGGAAATAAATTTGGGTATAATGAAAATTAATTGTGAAATCCAGTGAAAGTCACCCATGAAATAAAAATAATTGTTTGTACAGAAAGTAAGGACCTACCTACATCAAATTGTTGTTAAATTAAGTGGTGGCAGAAGAATGATTGTTGAACTTTTAAAAGGTAAGCTTAAATATTAATGCAATACTTAAATGCAGTGATCAATTTTGACTTCTGTAGTTTATTGTTGCCTATCGCATACGGCAGCAGTATGCCTCACAAAAAGAAATATCTGCCAACAGAGGACCAGATTACAATCAAAAGAACCAAGGCTGCAGCGAGGGAAAGAAAGTCCTGTGCAAATGAAAATCCTGATCAAATGGCAGCCAAAAGAGCTTGCAATGCCAAGAATATACAAAGACAGGGACTCTTGAACTCCTGAACAAGCCAAAGGTCCAATCAAGAACCCTCCACAGGAGCTAGTTTAAATGCTGCCTGGTAGGATGACTTTTAAGCTAGTTTCTAATATAAACAACTATTAGATGTGGACAAGACATATTTGAATGATACTTGAATTGCACACATAGTTGGTTTAAGTGCTATGGGATTATTCCCAGCCATTTAACATGTAGATAAAACAGTTGTTTGTACTTAGTAGTGTAATTTAAATGATATCTCAGCACTTTTCACCAGAGCTGTTCTTTTTTTTTTTTTTTCATGTGACCACTAAGGGTTTTATAACAGGTTTGACTTACTCTGCCAGATATGTAAAAATTAATAATTGTGGCTCACACAAGAAGTTGCCTTGAAAAGTGCTAAAGCTGCTTTCTTTGCAAAATATCTATGGTTGTTGAAGTAGCATTTCACTGTGGAGAACTCTTTCATTCTGTTCTGTAGATGTTGGTTGTCATGGAGATGTTGAATTCAATGAAACTTCTTTAGTTGAGGGAGGAAGGGATGATGACATCACTCTTCCTTCTGGTTAAAGGTGCACACCAAATGCCCCGGTCAAAATAAATTTCATTGATAGGTGCAAACTCACTCTTTTATTAGCATCTCCAAGGCATGGCTAAACTCATTTGAGTCAATTTCATACACATAAGAAGACCCTATATGTGCAAAATGAATTGAGCCGTTATGCTTTCTTTCCTTTTCCTGCTAGCATATAAAAAATCATTACTAAAGCAGATGTTAATACACGTTTGTGATAAAAAGAATAAAAAAAAATAAAAGCATTAAATTAGCAGACAACCTGTTTACTAATAGTTTGAAACTTGGATACATTTTTTAAATTTTAAAATAAAATACAGTGTATTTAAAAAAATAAGTGTACATTGGAAAAATTAATAAAATATGTTTTTTATTATTTTAATTTCCAACATATCTTATCAAAACCAAAATTGTGGAACCCATGAGAAATTGCCATAAGCATCTTTATAGTCATTTATTTCCAATAAACAGCAATTTCATATTTTTCATCACAACAGGCCAGCACAATCAGGCTATAGTGTTTTAACATAGCTATAATTTATAAGGTGTCTTAAAGCCCAGGTGAATAAGTTGTGGAATGTCCTGCTCTTTTTTTATATGGAAAACCTTTAAAAATATCTGCCCTTCTAGACATATGTTGGATGCAAAGAACTGACATAGAATTTCTGTTTTCGGAAGGTGAAAGTGCTGCAAACATTCACAGAAGGTTAGTGAATGTTTATGGAATGTCTGTACTTGATACAAGCACAGTCAGAAGAAGGTTAGTAGAGTTAATTGCAACTCTAGAAAGAAAGGAGAAAATAATCTTGGTGACAAGCTCTACACTGGCAGGCCAGCTGCAGTTGTGGATGATGTTAAGGCCAATCAGGTTGATGCTCTCATTATGGCTGACAGGAGAATTGGTATGACAAAACTTTGCGAAAGCCATATTCTTAAATATCCTTGTCAGATTGAGCCTTTCATATGGGTCTTGTGCATGGCGCCAAATCTGTTCAGAAATATCTAAACTGTCAGCTGTATACAACTGCTTTCTCAGATCAATGTTTAAAAATGGCTTTGAGAAAATGTAGGTCTTAGTGAGGCCTATCCTTCTTCAAACCTTGTGGACTGGCACTACAGAATCACAAAGAAAGTACTGTACCAATTAAGAGAAACCATATCACTTGAAGAATTTCAAAATCAGCAACAATTAAAATAGCACATGTAACTGGAAGAGAAAATAATGACATAAGATGTTGATGTTCCACATTATTTCAAACAAAAGGTTAGGAAGGTAACCCCATAAATACTAAAAATAGTGATAACAGTAAATAAACTTGAGAAATGACTTTTCCTGAAAAATTGTTTTAAATGAAAGATTTTATAAATTTCAGCTAAAAGTAACACTGGTTGCATTTTCATTGAATGCTGACTGTTTCTACATAAGGAAACAGTTAATATGACCATTAATTTGGAGGGGAAATATAAAATTATTTCTCTCCTGCTTATTATCAACTAGCAGTAAAGCCCGGTGTTGCCCGGGGATGTAACAGTAAGAGATAGATCAAGTATCAACCATCATAAAGACTGAAAAATAAAATTGACAAAGATTATTGTTTAAGGTTGACGGACACGCATGTCTTAATTAGTTTTTATTTTTTTTTACAAATTGGTCAAACCCAAACTCAAACAAAAACATTGTTTTCAATCGTTATGAGTCTACCGATTGAATAGAATTTTATTATAAACAATTGTCTTGTAAATGGAATTTTTAAAGCATTCTGAATGTAAAAATAAAGAAAAAAGTGTGCAAGACAATAAGAAACACTACCTGCCAAAAAAAAGTGAAGTTTTGTTGAAATTGGTAGGAAATCCGATCCCATATATAAATGAACACACACACACAACCTGGGTTTTATAAGTATAACTCGATATGAGTTGTCCCCCTTTCATTCTCGTGATGCCTCTTAATCGTGTTTTCAAATTGATTTTGTGCAAAAACAATTGTGTTTTTCCAATTTTTGGCGCTGTCAGAATCACTGCAAGGTAATTTTACGTAGTCCTGTGAAGTTTTGTTGAAATCAGTTGAAAAATGTAGGAAATCCGATCCAATATATAAACGTACAGACACACACACACACACACTACCTGGGTTTTATAATAAGTATATGATTTTCCTTTCTGTTTCACTCCTTATATTGTCTCTTTAGGGTCACAAATTGAAAGTTCTGGAAGGCATCATGGATTTCTTCATTGAAAGAGATTCAACTGTTCGAAAACAAACAAGGGAATCGTAAGTCTACATTTTGTTTTAATCTTTGAAATAATTTTTTTCTCATATTGGAGAATTCACCACCTTTCTAGTCAGAATGTTTTGTCTGGTTATTCAATTTCTTGCAAGTAACTTTTCATTGACTGATGACCGGTAATTATATACAGAACATTTGCTTGGTTGGTGGGGACTTAAAATACACTGACTGCATCCCCTGTAGAAATGTTAGACCTCCCACCCCACCTAAAAAAGTTGGGACTCTCTTTCCAGGTATATAATTGCAGTCACAACTATGAATGGGACCTGTATCTACCATTGCTATACTAGTGTAAGTCAAACAAATTAGTTATATATATATTTAATACAGATATAACATTTGTCACTTAGCTGATTGATATTGTATGAAGCACTCTGATTCCAGAGTTTTGTGGACCAACCTTTTTGTAATTGTTTGGTCCACTTGTCAGGAGGTACCAGCAATTGTCTGCCAATTTCCTCATTTTCATTCTTTTTATATTAAGTTAAAAAATAATTTTTCATTGATTTTAGGTTGATTTTTTTTTCTTTGTGTGTATATGCATGCCTGTACAAATGTTTATGTGCCCATGTGTAAAATATTGTAGTTATTTCTTTGTTTCATAATTTTCTTGTCTTATACTCTCTATTTCTTTTCCTTCTTTTTTCTCTCTTTATACACACATATATATATATATATATATATATATTAAAAAAAAGAGAGAAACCGTAAACGTTTTTGGTTGTAATGTGGATTTTAAAAAAAATTATATTATGCTTTATTTTCCATAATTTTGCTACACGTGTTTCCGGTCTCGTGACCTTCATCAGGCAAAGCGTGGAGATTTCTACATATTATTAAAAATAATTAATTTTTTTTCTTATGTTTTTCGATGTTAGATATTCTCCATATGAGACATTCTCTTTTTTGTGTGTTTTTAACGTGTGTGTATATGTGTTGTGCCTCCTTGTTGCATGCTTACTTCGGACAGCCAGATAAACTCCTTATGGCAATGAAAACTCTGAAGATAAAGTCCTGTTCAGTAGCAAGTTTATTGAAAGCCAAAAGGGAGAAGCTAGAAAAAGAAATAAATACAACAAAACATTACAATAGATATTATCAAGTATTAATTATAACCAAACTCCACAGCATTAAAAATCAATTGCATTTAAATCAAGTGGTGCAATGTCAATTGAACATTTTTACCATTTACTTTCTTCAGAAAGTTTGTTTTATTTAGCAGACTGTTTTGACTCATTGTTATATTAAAACTCATCTCTTCTTCTGAAGTTTTTGGGTGAAGGCAGCATGTTTTTCAGTATTCCTGATTCTATTGAAGAAATAAAGCTGACCAGTACAATTGGAACTAATACAGTCCCAGATCGTGACATTTTCACCATAATTCTTAACTGTTCACACCAAACACTTTTACTTGTTTGTATGCCTCTTAATGATGATGCCAAACATTCATTCTGCCTCCTGATGCATCTGGCTAGCACATGGGCATACCAGACATCCAGATAAAGGCCTTATGGCAATCAAAACTCTGAAAACAATGTCCTGTTCATTAGCAGGTTTATTGAAAGCCAAAAGGGTGAAACTAGAAAAAGAAACAAATATAAACTTGAGACTAGTTTAGTCTGAATAACAAATGAAAAGGTGAAAAAGATAGAAGAATATGACAAAGGCTGCCAGAGGTTGAACATAGCAGTGAGGCTGTGGGTCTAAGTGGATAAAGGAGGTAGCAAGTAGTTTGCTTATATGAATATATTATAAAGTTTGCAGTGAGAAGTTATCAGAAAGTTACAGTATGAGAACAGTGTGTAAACAGTCAACATGTGGTGAAAGTGTTTCTACTTGGAGAAATATAACAGAAAAAATAAATTTGTACAATAGTCGCTACCTTAAATAAATGTTTAAATAATATGATAATAAAGGAGATCGAAGCAAAGAGAAAAAGGTTAGGAAGTTACCTACCAACTGGCAATGTTACCTTAGCAAATAGATTAAGGAAGATAAGAAAGTAGGGAGTGCATCCTTTAAGCCTGTGCTTTATTGAGCAGGTTCTGGTAATTACAATGGGCTAATCAGGAAGTAGTAAAAAAATAGTGGCAAAACAAAAAGTACGAAACAAAGGGAAAATAAAACAGAAATGCTGTACTGTGGTAACAATATATATATATATATATATATATATATATATATATATATATATGGTAACAATATATATGTATATATATATATATATTATAAATTAATTGATTTAAAATATGTTTTTTTCCACTACACAGTTCTAACCCTGTTTCAAAAATAGAAGCTAAAAGCCCCGAATTTAATTTTGCAATTAAATTAAAAGCATTAGTTCCATTTCATCCTCAAGCGAATTTTGGAGTAACTTTTAATACAAATGATATTGGTTTGTACAGAGACGATGGGCTTATGGTTATTAGAAACTCAACGAACTTCAAAATAGATAGAATTAGAAAGTTATTATGTAAAGAATTTATAAGCATGGGCTTAAAAATTACGAATAGTACTAAATTAAAAAAAGTAGACTTCCTAGATATAACATTAAATCTAAATAAAAATACATACACACCTTATAAAAAACCCAACACCAATCCTTTATATATACATCCTAAATCAAATCACCCCCCCCCATCTATAATTAAACATATTCCGTTATCTATCATAAACGAATTAGTACAAATTCAGCAAATGACAAGATTTTCGATGAGCATATCAATTCCTATAATGAGGCTCTAAAAGTTAGTGGCTACAAAAACCCAAAACTAACTTATATAAAAAATGAAAATGGAAAGCATAGAAAAAACAGATGTAGAAAGATTATTTGGTATACTCCCCCATATAACCAAATGGTAAAGAACAAATTAGGACATAAATTCCTTACATTAATAGTCAAGAATTTTCCTAGCGAAAGTAAACTAAGTACTATTTTCAATAAAAACACACTAAAATTGAGTTATAGCTGTACAAAAAACTTAGAAAAAAAATCATTAAGAACCATAATGCTAATATCTTAAATAAACACTAATACCAAAACCAAAAAGAATTTAGACAATGGAAAAATTAAGATAAAAACTGATGGAAATAAACAAAAACTATGTAACTGTAGAAAACCTCAAAATTGCCCACTACAAAATAAATGTCGCACTGAATCATTAGTATACCAATGCAATATCTCTTCGATTGAAAGTCCTGATAACATAAAAATATATATAGGTTGCACTAGCCATGAATTCAAAAAAAGATTCAGCCAACATCAAACTTCATTTAGAATAAATAGATATAAAAATCAGACACCTCTCTCAAAATATTTCTGGCATCTAAAAGAATCAAATAAAACACCAACAGTAAAATGGAAGTTAATAAGAAAAGCTGGAATTTGTAGGTCATTAAACGACCCTTGTCCTCTATGCATACACGAGAAACTATATATTACTAAGTTTATAAAAAATAAAAATTTACTGAATCAGAGAAATGAAATAGCTATTATATGCAGTCATTGTCAAAAATTTTCCTTAAATAATATTTAAAAAAAAAAAAAAAAAGGAATAAGTCTATTGGAATAACAGTGAAAATATTTTAAACTTGTATTTAAAATTTAAAAATTTAAAATTGTAGTTAAAACAAATTCAAACCTAAGCATTTTTTAAAAATTGTAGTTAAATAAAATGTATGCTAACCGAAACACCTCTATAATAAATGTACTACAGGCGCTTAAATGAATCCAATAAAACACCTACTGAAAAATGAAATTATAACAAAAAGCTAGATAATGTAGGCCTGTGAACGACCCATGTCCTTTGTACATACATATGAAACTCTAGTACTTAGGTTATATATATTTAAAATAAATAAATAAATAAATTAATTAATAAATAAATAAAGTTTACTAAATCTGTGAAATGACTTAGCTAGTTTTGTAGTAAGTGCCATAAATATTACTTAAATAATATTTAATTATAAAAGTTTAAAAATCGTAATTTACGTATACTTTGATATGGAAAAATAATTTTACTTACTATGAGTAATTTTCCTTCTGTTATAAAGTAATATAGTCTATTAAAACTAACAATGAAAATATTTTAAAATTTTAAAGTTGTAATTTTAAAATTGTAATTAAAATTGTAGTTAAATAAAATGGATTCTAACCTAAACTTCTTTTAATTAGTACTACACACACTTAAAAGAATCCAATAAAAACACCTATAGTAAAATAAAATTAATATGAAATGCCATAAGATGTAAGCTTTTGAATGACCCATGTCCTTTGTACTTACATGAGAAACAATATATTACTAGGTTTATATATAAAATAAAAGTTTACTAAATCAGTGAAATTAAGTAACCATTTTTGCCGTCATAGTCATAAATTTTTCATAAAAAAAAAAATGTAACCTCATATACATACTTAAACTTGATGTTAAAATAATCCTACATAATATAGTGGATTCTAATACATTTAACTGTTCTTAAAAAGAATATAGTATAATAAAAATTAAAAATGATAATATTTCAAATCGTAGTTAAATAAAAAAATATTATGATCTGAACACCCCCGAAAATCTTTAAATTTATAAATGGAAAAAAAAATGCCGTAAGAATTTTTTTTTTACCGTTAACAATAATTTAAAAAAAAAATCCAGACGACATGCATTCAACGGATGTCAGTTTTTCATTGAAAAAATACATCCCTACCTCTTACCAAATTGTAGCTAATAACTGATACAATGATACTGACATAAGGAAAACCTAGACTTCCCTTGTCCAATTGAAGTAGATTTATCTGTAACCATGGAAACGGGATTTTAGCTGTGTCTTTAAAACCGGTAATTTTTAAAATTACTCAAAATTAAACGAAGATGAAATGGAACTAATGCTTTTAATTTAATTGCAAAATTAAATTCGATTTTTAGCTTCTATTTTTTGAAACATGGTTAGAACTGTGTAGCGGAAAAACCATATTTTAAATCAATTAATTTATAATATTAATGCTCTGTAAAACAATACAAACACACTCAGATTATAATACATAAGCACCCAGACATATTTAGATATATACACACACAAAAAAGTGACGAGACAGGAAACTTCTCCATGGCCCTTTATGAAAAAAAAAAACAAACACATGCATACATACACAATTAAATGTGCATGCATTTTCCATACACATCGACACTGATAAATACATGTACACCAATCATATACTTGGAGATATATATATATATATATATATACATACACATTTAAATTACTATTAAACTTTAAAATCTGTTTTTATCTAAATTGCTAAAGCTATACCACCCCTCTTCTTCCTCCGAAAACCCTAAGTACATCTCTTTTCTCTTTATTTCCACTGTTTTTTCTTTTTCCTTTTTTTCCCCTTTTCCTTTTCCCATATCATTTCCGTTGAATTGACTGATTAAATTGGTCAATATCTGATCCTTGCCCCCTCCTTCCTCAAGATTAAGTATTGTAATAAAAAGAAGTATAAAAATAAATTTTAAAACTCTCCCTTTGCTCTCTAAATTTGACCATGTCTCTCACACCATCCCTTACTACCTTCTCTGTCAACTTATATAAGCTTAATACTGCCCGTCAATAGTGTAAATTTTAATTTCATTTTTCATTTCACCTTTTGAAAGTGATGTCTGAAGATCCAGAGAAAAATAAAAGTCTCTGGTGAAATAATTTATTACAATGGAGCCTTAAAGTGACTTGTTTTTCTTTAAATTATATATATATATATATATATATAGTACAACTTCCTCTTCCATGTGTTCTTGTGTCTATTATGAAGGTACTAATTAGAATTATTTGTGAAATAATAAAAAAAATGTAGTACCCATGACAGTTTAATGCAGTGGTTCTCAAACTTTTTGAAGTTGGAGTGCATTTGAAATCCTATGAATAATTGTGGGTGCACTATATACAAATTTTGGAAAAATGTGTTGAAGTCAAATATTGCAGAAAATAAATAATGCAATACAAAATATAAAATGAAACATACCTTAAGTTTATGCATTCTTGTGTTTATGAGAAACACAAGCCTGATGAGTCTTAGCAATTACTTCAATGTTTGGGTGTATATTTGATAGGCAAACTTTCATTTTCTTGTCAATAGACTCACTTTTTGCATTTAATTGTGGTGAGAGTAGAAAAGCCTAATTCACATAAATATGAACAAAATATAATGAAGTAAATATATTTATGTTTTATATCTGGACACATATTTCTCTGGAATGTCGGGACACACCAGACATCTTTATGGTTGCACCAGCACATACAGGTGAACCATTTGAGAACCACTGGTTTAATGGCTTTGCAAATTTCTGATGAATCATAAATCTCAAGTTAATGATTGAATAAGCTCCTTGCAACTACCACAACTACAAAATACCAGTGGACATTCTCCTATCAAATTGTTAAATATTTGAGCTTAATAACAAAATATTGCAATAACAATTATGAATATGAATGTAGGCCATTATTTAAAGAAGTAAGAGGGTACAAAAAAGGTTTTTAATTTCATTGAAGCAGACATTAAACACATGACTCTTATCACTGCCTCTATTTTCTTACTTTCTTTTACCAGTGACCAGTGTCTCTTGATATGTCTTTTGCATCTTTTCGCATGATCAATATAGAATGGTTCATTATTTATGAGGTACTGGCAGAGTGTAATATGCGTGCTAAATAACTAAGTTATGAAGGAACAAGCAGAATTATAATTAAAATAGTTAATCTCGAAACTTCAAACATCATTCTTGTGTTTTCTTTTATAGGGAAAGCATGGATGTAGCTGTTGAATCAGTTGATAAAGCCACTCTTCGTAGCACAGAAGGCACTGTAATCTTGCATATTATTTATGCTGTCAAGCATGATAATGATTTGGTTAAAGAGTTCATCAGATTCCTCAAGGTAACACTTTTTCGGTTTATAAATGATCTGTTGTTATTTTGTAAAAGCTTCCAGTTTGTAATTGCGTAAGACAAGAATATTTGTAAATATTTTTTTTGAAAACAAGATTACAAAATCTCTAAGTGATTTTAAAGAAAATTTTACTTTCTCCCTCCAAAAGTGTTTTCGAAAACTTCTTATATATTGATTAGCACTCTAAGAATATTTTGTTGGAAAATAGTAAGTAAAAAAAAAAAATTAGCTTTTTAAAAAAATTTAGAAACAATTTTTTTTCTTTGTTTGTAATTGTTCAATTTAAAAAAATAAAAAATTACTAAAACATTTTTTCAATTTTTTTGTTGCCTTGTTCAAGAAAACACATTTTAGCCAGGGAATCTTTTTCCCTAGAAATTCCAACAACTTACGATTATATCTCCTATTACTGCGAACACTATGGTGTTGAATAAAAATTGGATAATGAAGAATGTAGTTACAGCTAACAAAATGGACATATTAAAATAGTATATGAGAAAAATATGACACAAAAATCAAGAAGAAGAAAGAATAATAATAAGATAATAAAATAGATCATCATAAAGACGTGAATCAGAACCATTGACTTCTTTATGATTGATTTTTATTATCCTTACTCTTTTCCTCGGTTGTGTTTTTGTTTTTTTTTCTTGTATACAATTTTAATATGTCCATTTTAATATGTCCATTTTGTTTGCAGTAATAAAGTTTTGTACCCCTCATAGATTATTAAAGAATGTAGTTATATCACTGTGTGTTGGCTTTTGTAGCCCAATTGCTAAGGTGTTGTCCATGTTGGTCGAGCTCCCAAGAAAAGGGATGGAAATTCAGATCTTATGAAAAGCTTATTCTTTATTTCTGATCCATGTTTCTTGCTTATTTGTAGAATTTTATTTTGGTAAAAAGCAGTTAAAACATTGTGAAATAAAAACTTGTTAAAAAATGAATAATGACCTGTCGGAATCCTTCTACTTGGGCTTTTGTTAAAAATCAAAATTCAGAGTATCAGGTTTTCAATGCAAATAAAATGTTTTTTTTTGTGGGATAGTTTGTAATTTGGCCATTTAGAATAATTCCATGACTTTCATTGAAAGAATAAAATCCAGTAGGAAAAGACAACATGGTATCATCAAATAACCTTAATATAATGGCAAGAATACAAGAAGTTGGTATTGAGTGATTAATATCTTTTTGTTTGGTTGTTAATAGAGTTCTGAAATAGAATATAAATTGTATTGCATGCATATGTGACAATGGGGAAATGTGGTTACATGTATGTTTGTGTGAAAGAATCAGTATGTGTATGCATACATAAAAGTAACGAGGATAAAGGAGATAGAATAAGGTAGAATTTAGTTCTTACTGTGGACGGTGGTGCCGTAGTCTGAAGTGGTCTCTTTGTAGTTTGGTCAGTGTTTTTGCATGTGAACGTGAATTAGGTTTTGAATATCAGCAACTGGACTGACGTGGATCTTGATGGCATTTGTATGTCCTGTTTTGTTGGGGCCAGACTTTGTGATCTTGTACCTTTTTTCCTAAAAATATCAGGACTGGAATTATATTATTAAATCTATTCCTAATTGATCCTAAAAAGTCATGTGGTATGTCTATTACTCTGTCCGTGTGATATTTTGATGGCATCTACCTAAATTATAATGACTAATAAAACAACCTTTCTGATTTGTATTCTGTGGGTTTGTATTGTACAGTTTAATTGTTGTGTTTTAAAATGTAAGCACTTTATTGCATGTTATTAGTTTATAAATATTTTGTAGGCGTCTTTTAATGTTTATGTAGCTATTGTTGGCTGAAAATGCTTTTCATGTTTAAGATTAATAAGTTTATAATTAACATAATATAATTAGTATTATTGTGTGAAATATGGTGTATATTTTATTCAATATTTTAGTGGACATGATAGACTACTGATTGTTATTTTTTGTTCTTCAACAGTGAAAATTGTTGATTATGAAAAGGTATTATGACTTGTATTAAGTTATTTTTGAGAGGTCTCAAATCCCAAATTTTGTTCCATTATAGAAATGATGGTTTATAAATGAAAACTGAATAAATTTGTTTAAATAAAATTATTTTTTAAAACTTTTATTTAATAGTCCTTTCATGAATTTTTAGGTGCAAATAAAATCTCCAAGCAACAAAGTTTGCACCCCATTCGTCCTTGCAATGGCACTCTGTGTGGGTCAAGTCTTCAGATTCAAAGACCAAGTAAGATCACTTTTGTTTCTTGTTAGACGTCCACAAAGCATGAGGAATCTACATTGTTTTAACTGCTATTTATTTTTTTCTTGACAATCTTATCTCTCTTTATTCTATATGTCATTAAGTTAAATAAATGTTTTTTAAACAATGCTGATAGCAGATATGGAATGGAAATTACAAAACCTCCTACAGAAGGTAGTGAAGGAGAGCAAGAAGAAGGGACTAACCATAAACTGCAAGAAGACAGAATGCATGGTCATCAGCAAAAAGAGGAGCCCAAAATGCAAATTACAGGTCAGGGACACTAAAATCAAATATCTGGGAGGTGTTCTGACAGAGGACGGAAAGTGCAACACTGAGATCTGAAAATATATTGGGATGGCCAAAGATGCATTCCCAAAGCTAAACAGAGTATTATGAGACAGGAAAGTTTTGTTGGATACAACGAAAATAGTACTGAACTACTATATGCTATCTTTCCTCCTGTATGGGCATCCTGGGTATGATGATGAACTACATCTGGCAGCAAGGCCTCTTCTGATCAGGAGATTTTGAGAAACATGGAACCACCTCTTAAATGCTGGTGTTCTCATGTTCCCAGGGCCACCCTGAACTGGGGTGGTAGCACCAGCTATGGACAAATAGTTAATCCCAAACTGGAATAAAAACACTATGAAAGTGTAAAAATAGGTTTTAATACCAGCAGTTCATTTTTGAAAAAATAATTACCAGCAATACATTTTTGGAGAAAAAAAAATATTACCAGCAATAAAAATCTTGTTGGCATTAAATAACCCATTGAGGTTGATATGCTGTAAAACAAAACAAAACAAACCTATATGGCAGCAAATGCTGTACAATATTCTCAAAGACGAAGAAGAACTGAAGTGTGATTCTACAGAAGGATGCTAAGGATACCATAGGCCACACATGTGAGAAATGATGAGGTTTTGGAGAGAATGGAAACAAAAACATCAGGAAGAGGCAGCTGAAATTTCTGGGATGTGTAATGAAAAAGGAGTGTTTGGAAAATTTGATATTCACAGGATGGATAGAAAGATGGGCAAGGGGAAGCAACTCGTGATATGATTAACAGACTTAAACAAGTGGATAGCAGAACAGGGTTTGGGAGAAATAACAAAAAGACAAAAAAAGAGCTACAAGGGACAGGAGGATGTGGATAGCCATGATCGCCTACGTCCTGAAGGGGCACAGCACATAAAAGAAGAAAATGCTAGTGTTAAAGCCTTTCAACTGGAAATTCTGTTTTTGAATAACCTTGATCAAATAAATCAAAGAAAAATATTTACTATTAGCTCAAATTAGCACTTTACTCTATTTTAAAAAAATAATTTGATATATTTTTAAAGATTATTTAAAACAATTTTTTTTAATTTGTATATAATATTTTTTAACGTATTTGACTCGTGCATAATATTTTTTAACCTATTTGACTCATGCATAATATTTTTTAACCTATTTGACTCATGTATAATATTTTTTAACCTATTTGACTCATGCATAATATTTTTTAACCTATTTGACTCATGCATAATATTTTTTAACCTATTTGACTCATGCATAATATTTTTTAACCTATTTGACTCATGTATAATATTTTTTAACTTGCTTGATTCATGTATAATATTTCTTAACTATTTTGATTCATATTGCTTAACCTATTTCAATGTAATAAAGCCACTAAGACAAAGGGTTACTGAGTGTGAAAGAATATCAGAAAAAGAAAAACATTAAGGAGAGAAAACAATAAAAGACAGAAGATAACGATTGACATTGCATTTAAATTTTATAGCGAAGAAAACAGCGACTTACCTTATCAAACCAAGCAACAGCGTGTTGCGCATGTCCTATGACGGAGAAGAGAATTACCAAAAGGACAGACACATATTCCGCATGACATGTTGAAGACGGAATATTTAGGTGAAAAAAAAACAAGTACGTCGCAGGAGTCTCTATAAAAGAATTTTGATATGTAAATTACTTGACGTCCTCTCCCAGCTGTCGACAAATGGAAAAAATGCTTGGCCAATAAAAGCAGTTGTTCTCGAATCGGTGATGAATTAGGGTATTTTAGCGACTGTGTTCATCGGAGAGTGAGTTATTTTTCTGACTGGTTACGTGCATGGTGATTTGCGAGATAGTACCTGCGACTCGAGTTTTCGGCATTTCATTCCGCCCCCAATATTTGAGTCTGGACCTACAGTGATTTGTTCTCTGCAGTGTGGATTTAATCTGCGACTAACATTTCCTTTGTTTTCAGAACGCTTACAAATTTTTGATGATCAAAGTTGATTGAAATCAAAAAGCTGTAAGAGATTTCCATAAGCAAGAAATATGAAAGAAACTGTTAGCATAGAACTTAGGGTTACATTTAGCAATTTCAACTATAAAATGATGACACTTAGCTGCGAATCTAGTACACTGCTTAAATTCATAAAATTGAAGTACAAAGGAGAAAAGCACATCAGAACAATTAGCATGAAAATATTTATAGAAAAAGCATAGGAAAGTTATGTTACAAATTTTATATTATCATTCTACTTGTTACATTAACATTTGGGCCCTATTTAAATTAACTAGTCTACTTGTAATTTGGCAACTAGGTATCACTCTTTTATTGTTGAACTAGCTAGATATGATGGTATGTTCTATTTTAATAATTTCTTTTCTTGCACTTCTCGCCTGTGGAACTCCCTACTAATTTCTGGCATCCGGTCAACTACAATCTTCAAAAATTGAAATGCAACACTAATTGCCATCTTCTCTCTTCCTGAATTCTTTTTTTTTTATTGTCCTTTCTCCTCACTAAAGTCTTCTCATTCTCTTTCCCTCACAGTAACCCCATGTGTCCTATTGGCATTAACACCTTTTTTTTTTTTATTGTCCTTTAGCCTCACTAAAGTCTTCTCATTCTCTTTCCCTCACAGTAACCCTATGTGTCCTAGTGGCATTAACACCTTTTTTTTTATTGTCCTTTCTCCTCACTAAAGTCTTCTCATTCTCTTTCCCTCACAGTAACCCCATGTGTCCTAGTGGCATTAACACCTTTTTTTTTTTATTGTCCTTTAGCCTCACTAAAGTCTTCTCATTCTCTTTCCCTCACAGTAACCCTATGTGTCCTCGTGGCATTAACACCTTTTTTTTATTGTCCTTTCTCCTCACTAAAGTCTTCTCATTCTCTTTCCCTCACAGTAACCCTATGTGTCCTAGTGGCATTAACACCTTTTTTTTTTATTGTCCTTTCTCCTCACTAAAGTCTTCTCATTCTCTTTCCATCACAGTAACCCCATGTGTCCTAGTGGCATTAACACCTTTTTTTTCTTTATTGTCCTTTCTCCTCACTAAAGTCTTCTCATTCTCTTTCCCTCACAGTAACCCCATGTGTCCTAGTGGCATTACCAACTTTTTTTTTTATTGTCCTTTCTCCTCACTAAAGTCTTCTCATTCTCTTTCCTTCACAGTAACCCCATGTGTCCTAGTGGTATTAACACCTTGTTTTTTTTCTCAGATTTTTACTTTACTACGAAATATCATCCTGAAGACTTTCCAAGATGCTGAGAGACAATCTCAGAATGCTATGCTACAATTTCCAGATGCTTCTGTACCTGAAGATCTGATTCTAGAAACAGTAGAGAACAGGTAAATCTATTCTTTGACTATTTTGGATCAAAAACCAGATATTTGCTGATATTTGATTTTTAAAATTTATTGGAAATTATTGAGGTTTAACATGTGTAAAAACAGAAATCAGGTGCTACTTTTGACTCACCTGACTTGTAATAAATACAGAAAAATTTAATAACCTCTTGAAACTGTGATATTACCTGAGATACAACTACCAACCATGGAAATTATTCTGACTTTCAGAGGAATTTCAAATGTTATCTTTAAATTTTATTTGAACCAGGTGTTTCTGGTCATTAGTTGTTGGGGATAAAGACAATAAAAGTGAATTATCTACCCTTGGCTTTCCACCTGGAGGAACCAAAAATAAGGAATTATCTACCCCTTGGTCCTTGTTGATAGAGATCGCCATGTTAAATAAAGATAAAGCCACAAAATAATAGGAGTAGATAAGTTTACCTATTATCTGGTTCACGGACCTCCCCAGTCTTTTGAACAGGTGTAGAAGGTTTATCCCTTGTTTCCTGTTTAGGATTGGGTTTCAGGTTCCTTCTAAAGGTTTTTTCATTTTCTTTCACTGTCAGTTGCATCTTGGTGACATTATCACCTTTCTTGAGGTGAATTAAAACAAAAAAAAATACATGCTCCTAAGTCTGGTGTTCCTGGGTATGAAGTTAAACTACATCCAGCAGTAAGGCCTCTGGTTGGGAGGTTTTGAGGAGCGTTGATTCAGCTCTTAATTGCTGTTGTTCCCAGGTCCACCCTGCCCTGGGGTTGTAGCCCTGTTAGGGTCCCAGCTATTGGCAAATAGTTAACCCCCAAACTGGCGTTAAAACATGATGAAAATTTAAAAATAGATTTTTATAGTAAAAATGCCAACAATACATTTAAAAAAAAAAATATTACCAGCAATACATTTTTATAAAAGTAATTATTAATACTCCCAAGAAAAATAAATTTCAACATTAAATGACTCATAAGTAGTTGAAATGCCACTAAACAGACAAATCTATTCTAAAAATTTTGTTGGCATTAAATAACCCATTGAGGTTGATATGCCGTAAAACAAAATAAACCCAAAACTTAACTCTGATGTTTTGAGTCTTCATTCTCCAAATAACATTTAACTGTTTCCTATCCAAACCCCACAATCTATACAAATAAAATGTAATTCTCTTAATGACCAAATATACATGATAGGTTGAGGGCCACCCTCAAGATTTTGAAGAATTGCCTAAAAATTGAAAGTTGCAAGCCTTTTTTCATAACTAATTTAGGAGCTCACTTCAGGCCAGAGGGACTTTCTCTTCTTTAAAGGTTTTTTATCTAATTATAATGAAATTAACCCATTACTGTATAAAGTTTCCTTAAAATTTTAGCTCTTTTTGTCTAATCTAACTTGGTTAATCGTTATGTTAAGGCTGGCAGATTTAAAATTTTAGGTTCTCATCTCTAAAAAAGCTGGGGACCATGCACTAATTGGTTACTTAGTTTCAGCATCCTACTTTAATAGGTGCATCCTGGGTAAGACATTAAACTACATCCGCATCCTGGGTAAGATGTTAAACTACGTCCAGCAGCAAGGCCTCTGATCAGGAGGTTTTGAGGAGCGTGGAACCACCTCTTAATTGCTGGTGTTCCCAGGTCCACCCTGACCTGGGGTGGTAGCACCTGTTAGGGTCCCAGCTATGGGCAAATAGTTAACTATTACCATTAATACTTTATTGAAAAAAATTATTTCCAGCAATACAATTTTGAAGGAAATATATTACCAGAAACAAATTTTTAACAAAACAAAATATTACCAGCAATAAAAAATGTTAAATAAACCATTGAGGTTGATATACCATAAAACAAAATAAACCAAACCAATCTAAACCAAAGAATACATAGTCTATTCATACGAATCTATCCTAAAAATGTTGTCGGCATTAAATAACCCATTGAGGTTGATATGCCGTTAAACAAAATAAACCAAAACAAACCTAGTTTAGTAGGTGTTAATTAAAGCAATGTAGTTATGAAAGTTATAAATTTTAAATCCAGAGGGTGTCCTCAAACTTTTGGCCTATTGTATAATTTTATTAAGACAATGATCATATCAGGTTTCTAAGGGCTAAAGTGCGTAAATTAAACAAATCAAACCAGTTGCATAGATTTTAATTTTTGCTATAGCTTATGAGTTTATCATTCTTCATTCATGTCATTCATTCAGTATTAACTGCATGTGGAACTCATTTTTTTTTTTATTTTTAGTGCTTATGGCTGGGATAACGTCATTCAAGGTTTGGTGCGTCTTGGTTTCGTTTTAATGGATTCATTTGGCCCCAAAGGTTCCTTTGGTCGAGTTGAAGGGATAACTTTAATACAGCCTGTTACTCATCAAAGAGCTTGTCATCTGGGATCACAAATACTTGCCAAAGCTTTTAAGGTAAATGAACACTTTATATTTTGATCTGAGTTCATATTCTTTGAACAGGTTAAAAATAATAATTGACTGGCTTTATCTGTTGATTGAGATTATACATGTAAAAATAAGTAAAACATGGAAGAACTGAATGTCATAAAATATATTGTTTCTGGTAATATTATAAAGCTAATTATAAATATTAATAATATATTTAATAGATATTTTAGGTGCATGGTCAAGTGGTTATAATGTTCACTTTCTGACCATAAGACCCGTGTTCAAATCTTAACATGGTTGATTTGTCAGGGAGGTGACTTCTCAATGTTATCAGCCTGGAGAAGCAGTCCCAGCATGCAGCAGCGTTGGAAAGTGTCTGAAAAATTATTTATATCTGCTGGTCATTGGGGTTTTGTGGGTAGGAAGTTTAGCTATTTCCAATTTATTGTGTTATCCTATGGTTATAAGACAAGTGAGATAGTTATAGTTTAAATTATTCTAGAGAGTAGAAATAATTATAATATAAATTATTTTAGAGTAGAAATAATTATCGGCCACAATGTGGTTATTTTATAGCTATTGCATAGGTCGTTTGTTAAGTTTTAATTCATTATTTATTATTGATTACTTGCTTACAAAGCAATATAATATACCAAGACACTGTAAAAACAACTAATAATGAAAAAAATGAGTAACTGAAGGACTGAAGCTTTACCAATAGTAAATATATGAACAGTACAACCCTTTCTAAATACATATGGGAACATTATAACAAAAATCATAATACACAAAAAATAAGGAAAAGACCAAGAAAAAGAATGTTACCACTTGTTGTTCACTCATATATATATATATATATATATATATATATATATATATATATACTAATAATGAATTTATTCCTCATTATTTGGTACAAGAGTTGTATTTCCTTGCATATAAATTATAGAATAAATTGTATTCATGATGCTTGCAATTCATGAAAATTGAATAACCTATCTGATAAAGGTTGTGAATGTTTTGAATTTTCTGTTTACTGGTTTCTAGTTCTGGAAAAACATCCTCTCTTACTGTATAGATAGGCATAGAATGGACCAACTGAAATAGCACAAAGGAATCCAGTCATCTGAACAACTCTTGAAACGTTTGGAATATACTTTAACTGCTTCTTCTATGGGCAATGTCTCTTCAGGACGTGGGTGATCATGATTTTCCACAAAATTCTGTAGCTCTTAGCAATGGTTGTCATTTTGTTATTTCACCAAATCTCTGTTCTGACAACCATTTACTCAAGCTAGTTAGGTCATTCACTGCATTCCTCTGTCCTCTTGCCTTCAATAAGTCTCATGAGTGCTAAATTTACCAAGCCATCTTTCCTTGTTATGTGCCCGGATATTTCAATATTCTCTTTCAGATTCTAAATATAAGTGTCTTTTCATTTCCATTTTCTCTAAAACTTTATTGTTGCTCACATGTTCAGCCTATGGTATTCTCAGCATCCTTTTGTAGAACTACATTTCTATTGCATCAAATCTCTTTTTCATCATCTGTGAGGAGATTGTTCGATATTCACTGCCAAATGTGAGGACCGATATTACATAACAGTCCAATACTCTTTTCTTTGTTTCTAACAAAATTTTCATGTTTATACTTTGCTTAACTTTTGGAAGATGTCTTTTGCAATTCCAATACGTTTTTGGATTTCAGTGTCACATTTTCCATTCTCTGTTAAAATACTTCCCCAATATTTAAATTTTTGTACTTGCTTGAATTTGTTGTCTCCAATTCATAGTTCATATCTTGGGTTGTTCCTTTTATTGACCACCATACTTTCTATTTTCTTACAATTGATGCTTAGTCCTTTCTTCTCACTTTCTTTTACTACCTTCTGTAGGAGTTCCTGTAGTTTACTTTTCATGTCTGCTATCAACACTGTGTCATCTGCACATCTAATATTGTTAAGATTGTGACTGTCAATAATGAATCCATTAGGCTGTCTAATTCTCTCAGAATCACATTACTGTAAAGGTTGACTAGGTCTGGTGAGCAGATGCTTGTTTTACATCCCTTTCTATTTTTGTCTATTTACTGAATACATTTTTTATCTGTATGTAGGTGGTTTGCTTCCAGTATAAATTCTGGATTGTTCTAATATTCTTCCCAAATAAATCAAGTCTGCATAGCATTTCAAACAGTTCTTTGTGGCATACTTTATCTAACACTTTTGCATAATCTATAAAACATAGGTATACTTCCTTTTACATTTGTATTGCTCTTCTAGATATCATCTTGAGCATAAATATTGCATTCCTTGTTCCAGTGTCTTTAATGAAACCATCCTGTTTTCATCTTATTTCCACTCTAATTCCATTTTATTCATCAGAATTCAGATATTAAGTTTTGTCATGTGGTTCATTAGGCTGATATTCCAATGGAGTCTGCATTCTTTTGTACCTCGCTAATAATAGAGAATAACAATGTAATTAGTCTATTAATCACCTGAAAGACTCTTCCTGTCTCTTATCAGTATGGCTGATGCTAATCTCCATTAGAATGACACATTGTGCCTTCTTGGTCTAACATTCTTTGCAGATATGAAGTGGAAAGACAATATTGAATCCATTGCCAGGTCTGCTGCTAAGAAAATCAATTTGTTGCGATGCAATTTTTCTTTCCAGAATATACCTTGCATATTTTTAAGTCTACTATTCGTTCATGCTTTGAATATTACTATCACAAGTTGTGCAGTGCTATGGCTGTATATTTAGAGATTCTTGAAAAAATCTAAAGAAGAATCAGCAATATTATTGGTCCCAATCTGGTGTCTTGGCTTCAATCACTTTCCCATTGCTATAAGGTTGCCTCCCTTTGCCTTTTCTATACATACTTTCATGGTAATTGTACAGATAATTGTAATTATTTTATTATTTCATGATAATTGTACAGTAATTGCATAGATAAATGCCTTGCTGTCTCTTGCTTTCCTGCCTGTTGGATGTCATCATCTGTTGTTCTTAAGAACTCTGGTTAACCATCCAACCTTTCCAACTATCGGCCTATTTGCCTTCTACCTCTTTTTGGAAACTCCTAGAGGTCCTAATCAATGCCAAATTGGTTCATCATCTCTCATCACAGGGCCTTTTTTCTGACAAGCAATATGGATTTTGCATATACTGACCTAAAACATAAAATCAAGAAAATAATGATGCAAAAATGGCAACAACTATGGGACAAAAATACCCACAATAAGCTCTACCAAATAGAACCCATTTTAAAAGAAAGGAAACTGAATCTTAATAATACAAGAAGAAAAGAAACCACCCTTACTCGGCTATGCATTGGACACACTAGACTGACTCACTCCTTCATACTAGGAGGGGAACCTTCTCCTAAATGTCCCTGTGGAAACCAATACACAGTAAAACATATACTGATAGAATGCACAAACCTTACACACATTCAAAGAAAGTTCTACAACATTAAGAGTACAAAGGAACTATTTACAAAAATTGATCCAAGTCATATAATAAACTTCCTGAAAAGAATTGGTCTTTTCTCAAGGATGTACTCTGATGTGTAATTAATATATACTACCTTTTAACATTGTGCAAACAAATTGTCTGTACTAAATGGAAATCCTTGTCCTAGACAGTAATACCTGGAATTTTTGCAGTGTGCAAGCAAATAAGCTCTAGCTTATATAGCTTATAGATGTTTACAAGTCCTATATATTTAATATATATATATATATATATATATATATATATATATATAAACTAAATTTGGCATTAAATGACCTACAGTAGTTGATATGCCCATAAAACCCAACCAACCGACCAACCAATATGGATTTCACTTCTCTGGTCAACTGCTGATGTACTGACAATAATTACGGAAAGAATCTATCATGCTGTAGATAAAAATGATGAAGCCCTGACTGTAGCATCGGACATCTCAAAAGCCTTTGACAGGGTTTGGCATACATGTCTTCTCCACAAGCTGAAAAGTTAAGGTATCTCTGGACACATTTTTGAACTGATCCAGTCTTTCCTATCAAATCATGAAATGGAAGTTATCCTGAACGGCCATTCGTTTAAATCCTTTCATACTAATGTGAATATCCCCCAGGGCTTCGTCTTTGGTCCTGCCATTTTTAATTCTCATTAATGACCTTTCTGATAACATCAGCTTTCAACTTAGTATCTATGCTGAAAACAACCATTCCTGCCTAGATAGTAAAGCTGATCAGTCCAACAAGGTCAAAATGGCAGACAATGTCCAAAATGACCTCAAGTCTGTCATTAACTGGGGCAAAAGATGGCTTGTTAATTTTAACACCTGAAGAACTAAACTTCTCACCATCATCTGGGAGAGCCCTCTTTTCCTTCTACCAGCATGGCTGATGCTAACCTCCAGGAAAGTGAATCGTTGTGCCTTCTCTGGCTAATGTTCTCAGCTGACATGAAGTGGAAAGACTATATTGAATCCATTGCTGGTCAGCTGCTAAGAAAGTAGTTTCACTGTGTTGTTTCTTCTCTTACACTTCTCGCTTCTGGAACTGCTTTCCATCTTCATGCTTTCCAGCCAACATTGATCGTGAAAAATTTAAATGCTATGTCAATCCTTATCTATTGTCTTGATTACTCTTCTATTCTTCTTGTTCACTTATGTTTCTCTTTTTTCTTTTCTTATTCATGTCTCATGTCTTAGTCGGTTTTACGGCCTTGCATGGGGTGATATGATTTTAAGAAAAAAATTAAAAGTAATAAATGATGAAGTGCTCTGTACTATTAATTTCATTCACTTTCAGTAAACCCTTGCGTCTTGGCTTGAGGTGAAACGATTAAAAAAGAAGAAAGAAATCCAAGAAAATCATACACTTCTTTTCAAATTCATTTACAATTTGCAATTGATCTCATTCACCTGATTTGCTTTTTCAGGCCCATCATGATGTTGTCAGAGAAAATATTTTGAATGAGATTTTCACACGTATTGGCACATCAGAGTCTCAACCTATTAACCATTTCCTGGGTGAGAGATGTTTTTTGTTTTTTGTCTTATTTTCAATCTTTTTTTTATCTTCTTTCACCATCTTTGGTATTACCACCATTATAATTAAATCTACTATGTGACTTACATATTTTATGTCAGAATTTCTGGTATGAAAAGTTACCATTTTTTAGATTTGTTACACTTGAACAAATATCCTCATCTTTATTGTTGATATCATAGTACTAAAATTCTTCTTATTAAAATTAATTTTTCTTATGAGCAGTACTAATAAAAAATGAGATGAAATATGCCTAAGCATGGACAGCAGAATGAGAACAATCTACCATTTTAGATTAAATAAAGAGTTCAGTTTTAAATTTCCTGAGTGTTACTGGGATCAACAGACACCTGAAGAAGGCCAGAGAGTTTAATGCAAGTTCAACAGTAAAATGGTGAGACCTAATTGCCAATCTAGTAGCATGTTTAAATTCATGTAGTCGACACACCAGGGGTAAAAAGCTCATCAGAACAATTGTTATGAAAATATTTGTAGGAAAGACAGGGAAGCCATGTCATGAGAAAGCCGAGATGCCAGGTCATGATCGATTACATTACAGACCCTCTTTGAATTTTCTCAAGAATCTTGAGATATACAGCAGGAGCTCTGTAGCAGATATGGCAGCAGTATCCAATGTACAGACAAATGGTAGATTCTAACGAGAAAAATTTTCTGCACAACACAGTAACCCTACTTTCCTAGTGACTATATTGAATTAATTGCTATGTCTACATGTAGCAACTGATTCCATGTAGTCGCTCCACTTCATATCAGTGGAAAATGTGAGCCCAAGAGGGTGTAGAGTGAGGCTCTCCTAGAGTTTACTATCAGCTATGCTGATGGCAGGAAGAAAAAAAGTTTCTCTATGGTGTTTAAATGAAAGTTTGGTTTTGGAGTCATTAAAATATACAAGCCATTTCTTCCTTCCGTTAACCACTAATTGTCAGCTTTAGTTTGTCGAATCTATTGGACTTGGATGGGTGTAAATTTTGATGAAGTTCTTTGCATTTCTGTAGCACCACTCTACAAGGTCCGACATAAGGCAATCTGTTTCATTTCAAGACCCACAGGGTTCATTCACTTGAATTCATTTTTAATCTCTGATCTGAGAAAATGGTTTTATACAGATGATAGTTTAGACATTTCTGAATGAGTTTGATGCAATACATAATGTCTCTTATATTCAACTATAAAACCTGGAACTTTTTATTCTATATATATATATATATATATATATATATATATATATTTTTTATAGACCTGTTGTCCCAAGTGGTTAAATCTGGACCTCAGCTGCTTTTAAATTCGGTGAAGAAATTGGCTGAAATGTTTGACCATCTTCCTTCTCTGCCGCCATCTACTGCTACCAGCTTGTTGGAAATTCTCCAACCGATCCTCAAATTCAGCATTACCTTACGTGATGCTTTGATGTTGCTTCTTCGAAAGTCCATGTTTTCCAAGTAAGAAATTGATATCTTGGTGACACTACAAAACAAAACACTATGAAAGTATAAAAATACATTTTATATAAAAATTACCAACAATACGTATTTATAGTAAACTTACTAACAATACATTTTGTAGTAGAATTACCAAAAATACATTTTATCTGTAGTTGAACTCATCAACAAAATCAACCAACATGTGTAACTCTCTAAGCAATGTTTGATCAGTTCTTATATGGTTACTGAAACTAAGCCATATAACTGGCAATTGGAAATGGGGGAGTAGAGTTCTAATTCTACTTAGATTTGTTATTTTCACTTACATGCAAATACCTCTGGTGAAAGTATAAATCCACATGTTCTGCCCCCTGCCAGGGGCTAAATAGTAGGAATTGTATTAGTAAATTATTATTGTTTCCAAAATATTCTTACAATCTAAAAAATATTTTCTGGCTTTAAATAACATGCAGAAGGTTGATAAGCCATAGAAAAACAAATCAATAAATCAGTTAATCGATTTTTTGTTGCTGTGTTCAGAAGTCGAATATCAAATAAATCTCTGAAATCTTTTATGGATTCATTATTGAATTTACCTCTGTTGTCAGTGAGGAACGGTTCAGGAACACTGAAATAGTCATTCCAGTTGGTAAATATAGCATCTATTATAAGATCTTCATTTGTGTTATTTATCACTGCTGCCATCTAGCCAGATCCACTAAAACTTGAAAAATAACCACCATGCCTAGATTTCAAGTTCATTGTCACAGTTTTATTAAGCAAAGATTCAAGATTTTTCTTTATACAGCTTGAACACATTACAAGACTCGGATATCTTTTTTACAGCTTCAGTTAACTCATTTTCACATCCGGCATCAATCAGCAGTTGCTTGGCCAACTTATTAAGAAAGAGTATTACAATTACTTTAGATGTGCAGTATGGTGCGATGGATAATGGCTTGGAATGAGAAATCAGAGAACCAAATTTGAATTCCAGTTGGGGTCATTACATTCAATTACGCGCAAATGAATCCATCTTTTCTCCCCCAGATAGAGGTTGAGTAGCAGGACAGACTGTGTCCTGTAGCCTTGGTTGGCAACCAGAAAGAAATGGCAGCTTCCTACTGGCAATCTTCTACCTCGTCAGTCATAAATTGATAGAGACATGATTGTTTAACCATGTATCATATATGGCATTTGACTTGACACTTACTTTTGTTAACTTGAAGGTCTGAGTTCAATCCTGGTAACATTCATTATTCAAATATTACTCCCTTGAATGAAGAGTTTTTTCTATATTCATGACCAGCAGATATCTTCCCGTCTATGGCCAAGTACTTTACAGAATAGATAAATCTATCAAACATTATCTACTTACTCCCTCTGCCAGATGTTAACACTGTTGTGTACATTAAATCTGCTCCATTTACCATTGCAATTTTTAACATAGGCGGTGACATCCTTGCACAAGGAATGTGAAGTAGTGTGCAGTAATTGCAATTGTTAATTATAATTGGCAAAAAGCTCAACAAACAGAATTGCCTAAGTTCTCAATAAACAATTCAAAAAGGAAGAAAAAAAAAAGGCAAAATAAAACTAAACAAACAATATATATTCAAGTGAAGACTAGGCAAAGCAACAGTAAGACGGAAAATATTTCATAAAGTAAAAATTATGTTCACATGCAAAAGGGATACAGTCAAGTGATTGTAGTGTTCTGACTTCAAGACAAGAAGGAACAAAAATATGGGAGATGAAACTGACCATTTTTATTAGTAGAGGAACAAATCTGCTAGATGTTATGTAAACATGTTTATTTATTCATCAATTCTGAGTTCTTTTCTGAAAAATTTTTTTTCTTCAAAACTTTAAAATAAAATATTTTATTTTTTATAACTCGGATAAGCTCAAAGTATTTTTGGATTACTTGTAAAATCCAAATTACCTAGATCGCCCTTTTCAGCCTTTCACATTAAACCTATAAGATTAACCCCACTCTAACTGGGGACTGATTTTAAATTTCACCTGCTTGTAAAATCCATACTAGTAAAAATGTTCCAGTTTAAATTAAATGCTGCTCAGGCCATATGACAACAAGATAGTCAACGCATTATGAGTTTGGTTTTGATTTATAAAATATAGGTTTATGTACACCAGAAAAGAAAGGATTAATCATTAAGAAGACAGGATGTATGGTTGTTAGCAAGAAGTACAGCCCAAAATGTGAGCTACAAATTGGAGATGGCAAAATCATGCAGGTACAGACATGTAACTATTTGGGAAGTATTTTAACAGATGATGGAAAATGTGACACCAAAATCCAAAAGTCTGTTGGAAGAATGAAAGGTGTTTTCAAAAAGATAAGCAAAGTATTAAGAAACAGGAAAATTTCATTAGAAACATAGAAAATATAGCCAAACTGCTATGTAATATCAATCCTCTTATATGGCTGTGAATGCTTCAAAATTTCCTCACAGATGATGTATAGACATGAGGCAGCAGAGATGGTTCTACAGGAGGATGCTTAGAATACCATGGAAGGATCATGTAAGCAATGAGGAAGTTTTAACAAACATGTACAGAAGTAGACAGTTGAAATTTCTGTTTCACATAATGAGGAAAGAGGGCTTAGGAAATGTGACAAAGTACATACGAAAGCCAAGTGGAGAAGAAAGGATTAATTGTCAATTGCTTGAAAACAGAATGTATGGTTAATCTCAAGAAGTGAGCTAAAAATTGGAGATGACAAAAGCATGCAAGTACAGAAATTTAACTATTTGGGAAGTATTTAAACAGATAATGGAAAATGTGACACCAAAATCCAAAGGTCTGTTGTAAGAATGAAAGGTGCTTTCTAAAAGCTAAGCAAAGTATTAAGAAACAGGAAAATTTCATTAGAAACAAAGAAGAGATTGCTGAACTACTATATCATATTAAACCTGTTATGTGTCTGTGAATGCTCATAGATGAAGTGTAGACATGAAACAACAGAGATGTAATTCTGTAGGAGGGTGCTTAGAATACCATGGATAGCATGTAAGCAATAGGGAAGTTTTAAAGAAAATATAACAAAAAGGGCATTTTTACAAAAATATATTGAATTTTTTGGTTCACATAATGAGGAAAGAGGGTTTAGGGAATCTAATGCTCGCAGTACATACTAAATGCAAGAGGCGCAAGACTTATTACCTCATTACATTGAAACACTGGTTTTCATATGATCACCAAAGTTAAGTGACGTCAAGCCTGGTCAGTACTTAGATGGGTGACTGCTTGGGAATACCAGGTATTGTAAGGTTCGATGTCCAGGTGGTGCAATGGATAATGGCTCAGAATTGTTAATCAGAAAGTCGAGTTCCAATTCCATTTGGGTTCATTATATTCACTTATACACAAATACCGTTGGGAAAGGTATGAATCAAACTTTTTTCCCCTCCAACTGTGAATTAATTAATAAGACTTGTATCACTAAATCATTATTATCTCAAAAAAAAAAATTCTTACAATTTAAAAACATTTCCTGTCATTAAATAACCTGCAATGAGTTGATAAGACATAGAAAATGAATGAGTGAATCAATCAAGAGGAGCAAAGGGAAATAGTGAGAATCTGACTTGACAAACATGTCCAAATGGGTGGCAGAACAGGAGGGGGGAGGATAGTAAAGGAATAAATATTATTTAGAGCAGCAAAAGAGAAAACCATGATCACTTACATCGTGAAAGGACACACTACATATGAGGTATGTCTGAAAAGTAATAGCACTTGTCCATGCTTTAATATGAAAGGCATTGTCTAGTGAGTTTTTATTACAAGGCCAGACGATTGATTAGCAAGTTTACAAAGAGATTCCATGATGTTTGCTTTCTCAGTGTGCAAGAAGAGACGAGAATTGTAAAAGGACAAATCATAGACATTTCACTACAACAATGCACTTGCTTACAATGCTCTGAGCATCCAGCAGTTTCTGGCCGAGAAGAACATCACCTTACTAGAGCAACTTCCCTATTCACCTGATCTTGCAGTCTGTAGCATTTTTCTTTTCCCCCCAATCTCAAGGGGGATCATCAAGGGGACGTGTTTTGAAGGCATGGAGGCCATCAAGAGGGGGTTGTAACAATGGAACTGAGGAGCATCCAAGAAGAATCCTTCCAACAGTACATGGAAGCTTGACAGAGAAGGATAGAATGTACATTAGAACCGAGGAGTGTTACTTTGAAGGGGAAATCATATAGTTTGGAATTGAAATACACTCAATTCTCTTTTTGCATGGAGAATATGTTCCAGAGACTACCATGCAAAATAAAAATATACAGTGTACATATGAAAATTAGAGATAGGTTCCATCCAAATATATTTAATAAAAAAATGTTAATTTTCATATATAAATAAATTTAATTTTTTATTTATACATACACACACGCACACACACACACACAGATATATATATATATATATATATATATATATATATATATATATATATATATATAATCATTCAGTGTGATTATGAGACCGTAAATGTGCCCACTTTCTTTTTTTTTTTTTTTCCGGTGGCACAAAATCACTCTCGTCACTGGAAATATTTAATGGTGATATATCTTCATGTGTATCTTGAATAAAATTAACATCTTGTGTTTCTTTTGTTTCAAATATGAATTTAGTTATCAGGTGCTGAGATTTCATTTTTGTTAGTTCTTTATATGATTCTTCATAAGGTGCCATAATCATTTTCAAATCACATTGGAATTGCACAGCTCGTTCAACGTTGTTATCATTTGTAAGAAAAGGATTTCCAAGTTTATTGGTCATTTTGGAGGCCTTCGAGAATTGTACTTGCAGATAGTGGAATCACTTCTTCATCATCACTACTATAAACTAATATAGTCATATACATTCTCTGAAATACTATGTATATACAGTGCATAGGTCCCACCCACAACAGAGAATAGGGGATCACTATATGGAAAAAATAGATGTGATTCTATTTTACTTTGCTAAATTGTTATTTAATCATGTTACATAGAGTTTCGACATTTTGTAAATTATGATTGATTTATGTTATTTAATCGTTTACTTGCCGCTTGCAATAAATTTGGTGCTCACACAAGGACGGATGTTTAAACTGTTAAATTAAAAAAATAGAACAAAAAAATAATTGTTTTTTTTTTTATTGGACCATGTAATTTCAAAATAATATGAAAAGAATACATGCAAAAAGAGAATTGAGTGTAAATTGTTTATGACACCAGTCCTGTTACTTTTCAAACAGACCTTGTAAGAGAAAAATGTACACCAGACTGGTTTGTAGCTGTTTAAGAAGGGATGCTGATTTGTGAAAAGGTTGTTAAACTTTTTCAGTTATTTTTATGTTTGTTTTATTTTTAATCAGAACTTTTATATATATATATATATATATATATATATATATATATATATATATTTTTTTTTTAGACATCTCAATTTCCGCAAAGTTAGTGCCAAGGGTTATCTCATGATTCTGAAACACTTTAAAATTATTGGCAGTCTTCCATCCAGTCAGTCCAGTCAGACATTTTCACTTAGTCAGGTAAGTTGACTTCTATTTTAAAATGTGTGTATACCTAATTTATTCTCTTGTGGGCCAGTGTTAATGTTGCGCTTAACCCTTTCCATACATGAAACAGTCAGCATTCACTGACTGAACGATTAATGTTACTGTTGGTTAAAATTTATAAAATCTGTCTGTTAAAACAGTTTTTCATGAAAATATCTTTCTTGGATCCTGTGTTATTGTTCTTTCTATAGAGGAGACGGGAGTTTCCTTCCAAACCTTTTGTTTTTAGTAGTGTGGAAAGTCAACACCAACTATTTCATTATTTTCTCTTCAAGAGATGCAGTTCTTTTATTTAGTAAACCACTTTGCTTGGGATTCTGTAGCACCAATTTGTAAAATCTGATAACGGATAGTCTTCTTTAGAGGATTCAAACATTTGTTCATGAATATGGTGATATATTGTGAATTTAATCCCACATCCAGCTCATACAAACTTAAATTTAGTGAAAACAGGACAAGCAATAATTAAGTAGTACTATATAAGAACAAGAAAAGGTATCACCATTTTCTATCTTCTTGAATCCTGTTTATCTTTTGTCCTTTCCTCAATCCTCCCTATACTCAGTCTTTTCTCTCACTTTCACTCTCTGTAACCCTCTGTGTACTAGTGGCATTTCTGCCTTGCTTGGAGTGAAATGATTAAAAAAAAAATATTCCAGAGACATGCCAAGAACAATAAATAAATAAATAAAGGATTCATTTGAAAATTTCCTGTAGGTTATCTAGATTGACAAATTCCTGAAGAAGACTGGAGGGCACAATAGCTGAAACATTGTGATAATAAAAACAAATATGAAGGCATTAGTCCAAATATAAATAATAATAACTTTAGTTAAAATAAAATTTAAAAAATAGTTGTACCTCTAGTTATTTGTGTATAATACATGCCCCTAAATTTGTCTTTGAAATTTTTAAAAAATACCAAAAAAAAACCCTTGTATATAATATACACTGACTTTCAGAATTTGTAGCTACTAAAATGAACATTTTTGGTGGGATTATGTCAACTAAAAATAAAAATTAATACAGTTTACATTGGTTGGATTAGGAACAAATCGGAAATTTTTATAAATTTGACATGTTTCAATATTAATTTGGCTTCAGTAGAAATTATAGGAGTGGAATGAGTTATATTTCAGTTTTTAAATTCTATGTTTGTTTTGTTTTTGTTGGCAGTGTAGATGTCGTGTGTACACTGGCATTAATTTTTATATCTTTATCAATTTTCAAATTCTCTTTTACTTTGTTCTCATTGGTTGTGTCAACAGCACATATGTAGTAGCATTAGTGTTTATATTTGTATTAATTTTTATATTTGATGTTTGTTTTGTTTTCATTGTGTGAACGTTATATGTATATCATGTGACATCTGTATGTTTGAACTTTTAAATATTAGGTTAAGTGTGTATTAAAAATTTGCTATAATATGATGAATGTTAGAAATTAAATTAGTAACGTTGAGTTGTCATCTGTAAATCTGGATTGATTGGATGTATGATAGTATCCAAAATAAAAGTAAAAATGATGAGACAAAGGAGAATATTTTTAACCTAAGACGTGTATCGTTGGTGAAAAGCTTATGTTCTCTTTGGCTCTGAAATAAAATGCATTGAGTGTGTACTAATCTTGCAGCTCTCAACAATGAATCTAAGACCAGCACTATATGTTATTTCACTGAACATTGCAAAAACAATAATAGCTCATTATGGAATACAAGTTGATGGAGAGAAGTACAGGGACCTACTTGGAGTTGGCTGGTTTAAAACTCACAGACCTTAACGATCCTAATATGTGTGTATATGTATGCATGTGCATATATATTGTATATGTGTGTGTGTGCATGTTTTGCATATGTGTATATGTGAGCAAGAAAACAAAAAAACAGGCATCCCAATGTAACCCACAATATCAGAAAAATAACAATGTGCCCCACCCCCACAAGCTATATACCTCGACTATCATGGGTGTTATGTTCCAGAATCACCTGAAGTAGGTGAAAATCCAAGAAGTAGAAACAAGATTAGCTAAAGTGATTCATCAGAGTATTGAAATATATATTTTTTAATATTTTTATATATTAAAGATTTTATAAAGCCTCTACACACTCTTATAAACACTTTCTACACTCTCAAACACTTTTTAAACATTTTAAAATCCTTCTTGATGTAACGAAAACTGGATTCATTGATACTGTAATGGCGGCCAACAGCTGCATAGCTTCTCCCTTCCTTCAGCTTATTGAGAAGTTTCATCTTCTCAGTTATAGTAAGCATCTTCTCAGCTATAGTAAGCATCTTTCGCTGACACTTAGATTCACTGCTATAGAAGGCTTAGAAGGTGCAGAACATGTAGGGCCTGAAATAACTGAACGACATGCGATGATGAAAGCTAGGATGCTAGAAACTAAGGCTGCAGTCACTAAGCCAATCAGTGACCGGGATATTGAACAGTATGCTCTCATTGGTTGTGCCTCCTCTATCAGCCAATAGTGTGGCATATACAAAATCATCTAAGTCAAATTTTGATTGGCTACAGAAACCAGCGATGTACTGAAGGAACTTCAATATTAATCTACATTGAATGATTTTTAAAAATCCGCAATGCACTGAGACCGTGAAAGGTGAACCACAATATAGTGGAGGATTACTGTATAATAAAAAACAACGAAGAAAAAAGGACTATTATGTGCATGTGTGTGTATGTATTATATGGTGGCCCAGTGGATAAAAATATTGGTTGAATCCAGTGACCTTACTCAAAGATTTGTGAGTTCAATACCTGGCTACAGCAGAGGAAAACAAAAAAAATAACTTGGAGAGTTGAGTTAAAAGGGAGATAACTGATACTGAGAGATTCAGAAGAGGCATGGCATGTGGAACTAGAACAATGTACCCCATTGGATGAAATAAAAGGTTTGGTTTGAAATTTCAATTACTTGAAGATGGATGGACCGTACAATGGTCAAAATGTTGTGAATATGGCAACAGTTAGAACTGTGTAAATAATTACAATACGTCATTTCAGAAACATAGATGGGGATACATATATGTGTTAAAAATATCCTTTGTGATATGTTTATATATGTGTTATGTGTGTGCAAGTATGTATTGGTGGGCATGTATATGTATACATGTATATCGTGAAAATGGGCTCCAACACATATATATGCCTGTATGTGTGGGCACACATGTGTAGGAATATCTATGTATGTGTATATGGTTGTATGTGTATATATGTGTATACAAACAGATATAGATAAAACAAACAATCACAGAGAAATACAGACTCTCAAATGTAAAAGCTAGAACCCATAAGTCAGAACAATTAATGCGACTTATGATAAGTCAGAGATCCCCAAAACACTCCAACATATAGTTTTGTCTTTCTTCTTTTAGTTAGACTGATGATGCCAAAGAGAACGTAAGCTAAGCTTTCTCTGGCGAAACGTGTCTTTGATTAAAAATGTTCCATTTTGTCTGATCATCTGTAAATGTTATGATCTTGCATTCTTTAAGTATATGTTTTTATTATGCTTTGAAATACAAACGTTAGTGATTTTAAACTCTTTATGTTTAACAAAGTTTTAGACCAGGGTATCAACTGAACAAAAAATGGTGTGTGATTGGAAATATTTGTGGGTAATATAAAATTTTGAGTATTAAAAAAGTATTTCAACATATGCCACCTTCCAAAAAATATTTAAAAGAGATATGCCAAGAACCTGTATAAAAAAAATATAAAAATAAAAACTTTAGACTAATTGGGAATAACTGGGTCGCATTCCTATATAAGATATAAATATCCCCACAAACAACAAATCTTTTCAATAAGTAAATCAAAAACAGAACTGTGGTTCTACAGAAGGATACTGAGGAAACCAAACATGAGCAGCAATGAAGTTTTAGAGTAAATGAAAACAAAAAGGAAATTTATGCTAACATCAGAAAGAGACAGTTTAAATTTCTGGGGTGCATAATAAGGAAAGGGGGTTTGGAAAATCTGATACTCACAGAAAAGATTGAAAGCAAGAGAGACAGGGGAAAACAACACATAACCTAGTGAGCTTGTATGGTGGAACAGGGGAACATGTAAGTAACAACAAAGTTTTAGAGAAAATGGAAACAAAAAGGAAACTTATACTTAACACTAGGAAGAGACAGTTTAAATTTCTAGGGCACATAATGAGGAAAAAGGACTTGAAAAATTTGATACTTACATGACAGATACAAGGCAAGGGAAACACAAAAAATCAATACATAATCAACCTAGTAGGCTTGAGTAAATGGTTGGCAGAATGGAGTTTGGGAGAAATAACAAAAAGACAAAATTTATTAAGAGCTACAAATGACAGAAAATTGTGGAGAATAATAATTATGTTTTTGAGTAGCCTGATATTTTAAAGTTTGAATAAATATTGAAATGATATACATTGGTGGAAATAAGTATAAGTTTGAATAAATATTGAAATGATATATTACTTTGGTATCAAAAAAATATGTCAGACTAAACATTTGAAACCTGTAGCGGAACTGAAAGGCAGCAGTCTGTGGGTTCTGCTGAACTGACTACAGTTTGCTGTTCTAAGAGGCAATGAGTGGCATGCGTAATATATAAGCAGAATAATGGACGCTTATGCAAATGTAACAGACACTGGCAAAATGAAATACTGGATGAACGAGGAAAGAAAAGAATGGCCTACCTTGGAAACGTCCACGTTCGTCATGTAAAGTCCGGTTGCTCGACAATGAAAAAAGAATCAAAATGGCAGCGCTCATGTTTTATGACAGGTGGTCTCTGACGACTAACACAAAATTTCGTTGGCTAGTGATTCGTATGTAAATTATGGTCGGTCCTCAGCTGTATGGAGAGGGGGGCGTTCTTCTTGGCGAGAAGCGAAAAGCTGGGTGTGTGACCCAATTTTGCCGTCTCTACGTAGCCTGTTGGATTGTTATGTTGGACAGTTGTTGAACTGGATTTTGGCTACAAGTGTTGCAGTTGAGAGACAAATCTGTTGCAGACTTATTCCTACCGGAAGTTGACACTCATTATTTGTTTTCTTTTGATTTTTCTTTTCTTTACCAACACAAAACCAGAACAAAATTTTGATGGAAGAGAATCTTCGTAGTTTTTAAAGAAAATAGAACCTGTTAATCCTTTAAGTATTTTGATTGAATGTATGAACAAAGGATTTAAAGAAAAAATGGTGAAACAAAGCATGTTAATTTTTTTTTCTTTTTTTAATCATTTCACTGCAAGCAAGGAGGTTATAGAGTGTGAGAGAATATGTGAAAAAGAAACAAAAAAATCACTATTGAGGAGAGAGAACAATAAAAGAACAAGAATTAAGAAGACAGACAACATTAAGATTGACATTGCATTGAAATTTTTGAAGATTAAAGTTGACTGGGAAGCAAGAATCCAGAAAAGAGTTCCACAAATTAAAATTAATAATCATGATTTTTTTTTTTTTGTTTCTTTTTAAAATCATTTTGTAAAGAAAGCAAAATGTGTTTTATCCCCTTTCAGCTTCAAGTTGATGTACAGTCTCGGGTGAATTACAATCCTGTAAGTAACAGCACTCTGTGTTTGGAAGTTATTCGTAATCTACGGCGCTGTCTCTCTCAGCAGGCAGATGTTCGTTTCATCTTATATTCTGTAAGTAAAAATCATTTGTTCTTATAATGGTTCATGTATTTTTTAGCACCTTTAAAAAATTAGAAAATTTACCCAATTCAGAAGACATTTTGTAACCTGCCATTGCATCATCACTTGTCTTTTTAACATCTTTAATAATTTTTGCTCCTTAAAATTACTGCCTAAAATAAAATTTCCCTGTTTCCATTGTATATCATTAAAAATTAACAAATAATGCCATGCCCATTACATCGTTTCTACCTGAAGTAATCATGTTCAATTTTTTCTTTATATGAACAAGCAAGACCTGTGTAATTAACAGGAATTAAATACAGGGTGTTTCAAAAAATTTGATATCCTTTGAGATGTAAATATCACAAAAAGTACATGATTAAGGCAAATGAAATTAAAAAGTATTAATGTTGAAGATCATAAGATTTATTCTTCCAAATCTGAATGAGAAATTCAAAAGCATGTGGATTATGTGAACACACAAAACGCCTTTTCTCTTCTAGTAAATAGCATTTTTATACCTGTAAAGAAAAAGATTAAAGATTAAAGAACATAAAAATACAAATAAGAAAAACACAAAAACATAAAACAAACATTAAAAATAAACATTAAATGCTATTAAAAAATTTGAAGTCATTTGAAGGAGATCTAACAAAGTTATTAGATTGCGAAATGATATCAAATTTTTTGAAACACCCTGTATATTCTTTAATACTGTACACTGTACTTTTCAACTCCTGATCATTCCTAGATAATTTTTTTTTTTTTTTAATCATTTCACCCCAAGCGAGGCAACAGAGCCACTAACACACAGTGGTGTTACTGAGCATAAAAAAAATAGAAGAAAAACATTACTAAGGAGCAAAAACAATAAAAGAGGGCAGGATATAATGATTGACATTGCATTTAAATTTTTGAAAATCAAAGTCAACTAGAAAGCAAGAAGCTAGAAGAGAGTTCCACAAGCAAGAAGTGCAAGAAAAGAAACTGTTAGCATAGAAGTTATGGTTATATCTACAGTTAGGATAGACGTATGGTTACATCTACACATTTCAATTGTAAAATGATGATCTCTTGTCGCAAGTCTAGTAATGTGCTTAAATTCATAGTCTAGGTATCATAGAAGGAAGTTCATTATAACAATTACCATAAAAGTATTTATAGGCACAAGGAAGCTACGTTACATCATTGGGAAAGAAAAGTGACATAGTCTCTCTTAAAAATACTGAAATGTCCTCAACAGATTGTTAGGTCATGAAATATGATTTAACTCCTCACTACAAACAAAACTGCCATCCTCTATGATGACACCCCTCCAATCCCTCTCTGTGTCACTCTCTTTTTGTTTTTTTCACCCCCCCCTCTCTCTCTGTTTTACTCTCTATATCCTACCCTCTTCCTTTTTCCCTCTCAGATACTTAACAGTCTAGATTTAATAGGATTAACATGACACATACCATATATAGGTAGGTACAAGTGTATTAAAATGTATATAGTAGTTTTTATGATGAACGTGCCCATTGTAAAAATTGTTTATCTACCTATGTATTTTGACTTACTTAGCTGAACTTAGATCCCTTACCAATTCCACTTTAACATTTAGCACTCTGCCTCATTTAAAAACATTACTCCCCTTTTACTGCATATGGAATCCCCTCAAAGTATAGTGTTTTATATATTAGTTCTATATATTTGAAATTGCAGTAGCCTGGCTCTCAATTTCAGTCAGGATTATTTTAGGTGTTACCATAGAAGGATATGACTACACAACCAAGAAATTCAAATTCAACTTGTGCTAACATTTTGCTTAGAAAACATATTCACTCATAGAGTGCTAAAGGTTAAGCAGCACAAGGAGGCAGCCAGGACAAGCTATATATAAAAAATATGGATACTTGATGCATTTTTGCTATTATTGCCTGTATAGTATGATAGTGCATGGATACTTTTAACTAACATATGTTGTAAAATAATCATGGATTAGTGAAGTTGGTTATCTTTTGTTTTATTTTGTCTTGTTAATGGGACCTAGACTATAATAACTACATCCTCTGCAGAAGGGTAAGGCTTTTTGCCTCCACTCAGGGGACTAATCACTAGGTTGATGCTTTTGGACTTGGATATAAATGACCAGTGTCTACCTACAGGCTTAAGCATAAGCATGCCCTCTGTCTTCCTCCAGGCTCAAGCACAAGTATGACCTGTTTCTCTCTATGCTCATGTGTGAGCACTCCCTATGTCTTCCGTCAGGCTCAAGTGTTAGCATACCCTATGTTTTCGTTTGTGCTCAAATGTGATCAAATCCTGTCTTCTTACAAGCTCAGCCACAAGTGCACCCATTGTTTCTCTCTGGAGTCAAGCATGAGTGTGCCCTCTGTCTTCCTGTGTGCTCGAGCATGATCATACCGTATATCTATCCTCAGGGAGAAGAATAATAATTCAAAAGAAAGAAGACAGATTACTGTAACAAGGATTGGTATATTTTTAAATTCATTAACCAACCAACGAACCAACTTTTTTTTATTCCATCCATTAACACTTTCAACTCTTGAACCAATTCCAAAGAGGATGCTTCCCTGATCACTACAATCTTAACCTGTTTAAGTCTAGTGTCAACCGTTACTGTCCCCACATATCCCCATAAACCATGTTCTTACTCTGTAGCCATCTACCTCAAGTGGCTCTTGGGCCTTGTATAAGGTGAAGATGTTTGTAAAAAAAAAAAACAAAAGGTTCAAATGAAATAAAACAATAATCTCACTGAATTTAGTGGTTTCTGCTTGCAGTACCAGCTGTATGAATTAGTCTGACAGTTACAAGGATGCTTTTCTTATCTCAAATTAAGGAGGTGCTGTGCTAACAATTACAAGAATGTTAATGTTGTATCTATATAAGTAACATTTTGTGTGTTTATGTGATAGAAAATGTAATAATCTTTTTATTTCTATTGAAAGGGACTTTATAGTGTCCTTAATAAGAACAGCAAACTTCAGGAACCTATTCTTGATCTGCTTTTAAATCAGGTAAGGTCGTGTTTTTTCTTTTTTTTTTATATTCTTTAAACTCTTATGACATATTACAATATTTATAAGAGTTAAAGTGTCATTTTTGATCATGAATATATGTGGAATTACAGAAACAATATTTACTTTTCTCAAACACTTTAGGCTAGATTAATTTGTGTTGAAACTGTTTCATATAGATTCATTGTAAATAAGGAGCATGTGTATATAAAACATTAAATTAATAACACCATGATAAAAGACTTTACAAACTTGGACATGGTAGGTAATTGAATGACAAAATAAAAAGACATGACACATAGAAGAAGTTTGAAGGGTATGGCTGGAAAATCATGAAATGACTATCAAAATAACTGAAATCTATACAATAAATGTGGATGTCAGTGAGTCACTGTATCAGACTTTTTCAACTTTACTCCTAGACGCCATAACCCAACATATCATACTGTTTTGGAATTAGGCCAAATCTGTGAGCAAATTAAAAATATTCTGGGACAGATCTGGACCTGCAATCATGAAATCTTAGATTCCCAAGTTTTCATTACTGCAATTGCTTTCTACAATTTCTTTTACATGATTTTTTGTGACAAATTTTTTTGTACGATAACAATTTTTATAACTTGGAAACAAATTTGGAAATAATCAAAATTAATTTTGAAATCCATTTAAAGTCACCCATGAAATAAAAATAAGTGTTTGTACAAAAAGTAAGAACCTACGTACATCAAATTGTGTTGAAATTAAGTGGTGGCAGAAGAATTATCGTTGAACTTTTAAAAAGTAAGCTTATATATTAATGCAATACTTAAATGCAGCAATCAGTTTTGAGTTCTTTTGTAGTTTATTATTGCCTATCACATCTACTCCTCCCTACCTATTGTGATGAAGGTCCATTCAAGAGCCCTCCATAGGAGCTAGCTTAAATGCCGCCTGATAGGGCAGCTTTTAAACCGGTATATAATATAGTGTTGTGTAGACATATCTGCTTTATGGTTTCATATTTTCTCAATATCATCTCAATCAATATTCTATGTTGCTATATATATTTAACATTGGGAGCCTTTTTTCATATCTATAAATATCTGATTATTTCACCAAGCACTTTGTAAGTGTTATACTTAGTAACACTTGTCCCTCATAGTTCCTAGCAATAAATACCGTCTCATGAAAGTGTAAACATACAATATGTAGGCTTACTTGATACAGTTCAAAAGCATCTCCGAGTCCTTGTGAGTGTCAAATTATTTTCCACCTTCCAACCTCTCTCTGACAGGCAGGATATGGCAAGCCTCTCACTGCTCTATCGCTACTTTCATGAAAAGTGATTGGACGAAATTACATTCTTTGGTTCTGCTAACCCTAACCTTCATAGATAGGACCCACCATGCCACTTACATTGTAGCAAACCACTCATCTTCTCTCTGTATTCCAACAGTGAGAAGTAAGTTCCACTCAGATTCTTCCTGCTAACCACTGTTTTGTGGAAACTGGCTCCTAAGAGAATGTTTCTCCAATCACTAAAATCTTAGCCTGTTCAAGTCTAAGGTTAACTGTTATCTTTCCATCCTATCCATATAAACTCCCTATTAATGTAATCCTCTATCTTGAGTGCCCCCCCACCAGTGAACTTCACTGTAAAAAAAAACAAAAAACATCAGGTTGAAACAGTGGTTCCTGTATTATCACCCAAGTTAAACAATATTAAACTTGGTCAGTACCTTGATGGCTGACCACTCGGGAATACCAGGTGCTGTAAGCTTGGATGTGTGGTTGGAGTAATGGATAATGGCTCAGAATTGTTAATCAGAGAGCTGAGTTCCAATTCCAGTTGTGTTTGTTATATTCAATTTTGCACAAATACTCTTGGGAAAAGTCTGAATCCACTTCTTCCTTCCACAACTATAGATTAATTAGACTTGTATCACTAAATCATTATTTTATTAACTAACAAAAAAAAATTCTTACAATCTAAAAAGTATATATTTTCTAGCTTTAAATAACCTGCAAAGGTTTGATAAGCTATAGAAAATGAATCAATGAAAAAAAAAACATTAGGTCCCTCACCTGGCCAATGACTAGTCCATGTTATGTCTCTGTTCTTTATATTGGTCTACACTGAAAACTGTTAGTGAAAGATGAAAACAAATACTGTGTCAAGAAATGACAGCTCAAACCCTGTTTATAATATAGTGATTTTCTAAGTTTAGCTTAGATGTGGTACATGACTGAAAATATGGTGCATCCAGTGTGGATTGAACTCACTACTCAGTCGTAATTGATCTAGCAAGACAAGCTTGCTAACCATTACAGCATGTCGAGGTGCCCGAAATTAATTTCTAGGCATATCTTAGATGTGGCACAAGGCCAAAAGTATAGGGCACCCAGTGAGCATCAAACTCACTACTCAGTCGTAATTGTTCCAGCAAGACAAGCTTGCTAACCATTACACCATGTCGAGGTGCCCACCCTTTTTCTAATATACAGGGTATGATAGGCAAATTTTATATTTCTAGTTTCGCACATGCATGTTGTTTTTGATTTTGTCAACCGCACAATATAGTAGGGTCAGTTGGGCATCATCTGTGAGAAAAAGTGCACCATAATGCAATTCACTCTGCCTGAAAGTTGAAAACAGCATGCTGTATTGCTTGGCACTCATTCCGGAAGCTCCAATACAAACATTTCAGAGTGTTTGGGAGGACCGTGCAGAAGATTCGGAAAGAGTTGGATGAGTCTAATGGTGATTACGAAGCTGTTTGGAGTAATCACTAGTGATGGTGACTTTATTCCTCCCTTCATCTTCCCACAGGGCCTCAGACTCAACACAGGTTTACATCAAGTGCCTCGAGGAGGTAGTGCTTCCTTGGGTGAAGAATGTGGCTGCTATGTCTGGCAATAGCACTCTGCGTCATGCCACACAAGCAGAACCTAATCATGACTGTCAGACAATTTCTGTAACTACATCACCCCTTACCTTTGGCCACCTAACTCCCCAGACTGCAACCCCATTGATTATTATATAGGTGGGGGGGGCGTAGTTGAGTGAGAAACCAACAAAACTTGTAACACCAAAGTTGAACTGAAAGCAAAGATTATGGCAGCATTCACTGTCGAGAAGAGATGCAGAAAATTCTGGAGGCTGTGGTTGAAGCCAATGGTGATTTTATTGAATAAATTTACTCTTTAGTATTTCAAGATATTTTTGTGTAATTTTGGTAAATAATATCTGTGATGTCAGTGTTATTTTCATTTTTGTGTAATTTAGATGACAATTTATCCATCGCACCCTGTATTTAGTTATTTTATTCAGAACTTTGCTTGCTCAGTTTGGCTGGGTATGTAGGTGACATCTGGGACAATCTCTGTCATATCAGTCTAACAGCTCTTCTGTCCACCAATTCTCTGCCCCATCACAACATGTGGCTGGCAATACGAATGGGTGGCATTGGAACTAAATGAGGAACAGTCTACTCTTTACTTATAAAACAGAAATAGTGATTGCAATATGTTACTACATAAAATTATCAATTTTTATTTTAGTTCAAGAAGTACTATGAAGCAGCCGAGGATGTCAACCCTCCAATTCAGTTACAGAAGTGTCTTATAAACCAAGGTTCACAGGTTTACCTTGGGGAACCTCTGGTAAGTATTTGCTAATTTTTTATTTTTTTTGTTAGCAATAAGAATATTTGATTTGGTTCTAAAATGTCTTCATATAAAGGAGTTAGAACACTAATATATAAATGAAAGTATGTGTGCTGGGAGAAGTGTGTAAGGTCCAAAATAGAGTACTTTGAAGGAGATTCAGGTGCCATTATCCTAAGTAGGCTATTTTTTTGTTAATATTACATCTAATTGTCAGTTCCAATCCTTGTAGGAATGACTGCAAAAACATTTTGCACCCCAAATTTATAGACAAATCATACTGATGCATGCTGGGATTTTTTCCTAGCCAATATTCTTGGTCTTGTCTGTCTTTTTATTGTTCTTTCTTGTCTTGAAGTCAGAAGGCTACAATCACTTTTTTCTATCATTTTTGTGTGTTAACATCATTCTTACCTCACAAACTTTTTGCCTTGTTACTGTTTCTTTGCCTACTTTTGTCTTGCATATATTGTTTGCTTAGTATTATTTTTGCCCTGTTTTTTCTTTCCTTTGTTATTGTTAATTGGAATTGTGTCAATTCTGTTTGTTCGGCATTTCTGCCAATTACACTTAACCATGGCCAATTACTCTCTATATATTAATATTGCATAATTCTATTCTAATGTTGTACTGACTAATGAAAATCATGAAACTGAGTCTCTCATATGTAAAATTACTTTTTTTATGCTTTGTTTTCTATGTATAGATTCCCTTGAATACATTGTGTGAGACTTACTAATAATATAAGAGAAATTGAAGGTGAACCAATCATAACTGATATTAGTTTTCCCACCAAAACTCAATAGATTTTAATTAGCAGCAAAAGCCTTGTCACACTTGCAGAGCGATAAATTGTAAAATTATTTTAAAATAATATAGAACTTTATTAAATTTTTGATGAGTATTGACTTCCTTTTATGCAACTTCTCTGAAGATACTTCTGTAATCACTATGTTTTTAACCTCAGTTTTGGTTTGGTTTGGTTTATTTTATAGCAACCTCAATGGCTTATTTAATGCCAACAAAATTTTTATTGCTGATATATATATATTTTTTTTTTTAAATGTATTTCTGGTAATATTTTTTCTTCAAAAATGTATTGCTGGTAATATCTTTTTTTTTTTCCAAAAATGTATTGCTGGTAATATCTTTTTTTTTTTCCAAAAATGTATTGCTGGTAATATCTTTTTTTTTTTCCAAAAATGTATTGCTGGTAACAATTTTTTTTACAAAGTATTTCTGGTATTAAAACCTATTTTTACACTTTCATAGTGTTTTGACTCCAGTTTGGGGGTTAACTATTTGCCCATAACTGGGACCCTAACAGGTGCTACCACCCTGGGTCAGGGTGGACCTGGGAATACTAGCAATTAAGAGGTGGTTCCATGCTCCTCAAAACCTCCTGATCAGAGGCCTTACTGTTGGATGTAGTTTATTGTCAAACCCAGGATGGGTTTGACCACAACTGTTATTTATGCTTCATATCCTCATCATCTACACTTCTTACTTCCTCCCTTTATGCTCTGGCAACAACCTCCTTCAGTAACCCTCTACCTTGAGTGACTCTTGAGTCTTGTATTGGTGGATCTCAGTAAAAGCTCTCTTAATTTTATCTTTGCTAGTATTTATGTTAGCTACCTTGTAAACCCTTGTCAGCCTGCACAAACAATTCTACCCTAACATGTTCTTAATTTACTCTATATTTGGACTGTTGTCCTCATCTTTGTTTTTTTTTTATTACAACGTTGTAACCTCCAGCTTTCCTCAGGTGTATATTGATCTGGGTAATCTATAGGGAATTCTGAACTGAATCCTTTATTTAATCTATGGTGGGTAGACTCTTCTCCTTTCACTGTTTTTTGCTGCTGGTTGTCATATTTTGACAGCCAGCACTGGGGCATCCTAGGTGAGATTTAAAGCTCTAAGTTTACTCCAGTGAATTGTCCTACAAGACCATGGCCTAGTGGGTAAAAGTGCAGGTTTGTGAATTTGGTGCCATAATTGTGAATTCAATGCTTAGGTCAGGCACTGTGTACTTGTAGGCAAAGAAAATGGACAAGCAATAACGTAAACCCTAGACAATATCCCTAGACATAAACGAGAACAGTCTACCCTTTATTTAATCTACAGGGATAGTTCAATTTGGAACTCCCTGAAGATTTCCCAGATCGATATACACCTGAATAGTTGAAACGTGATGAAAAAACAAAGATGAATACAATAGGCTGAATATAAATCGTGTAAATAAATATAACTCATCATCCCAGAAATTGTTGTTTGACACTAATGTTCTTTTCTTTCTTATAGGCGCATCTTCTCTGCTGCATTGTGCAGTGCTCACTCCGAGGCCGCAGCATTCACAATGAACAAGATGAGAGTGATGAGGAAAATGAGGAAGTGGATACTAGCAGTTTGAATGAATTGGAAAAGATACTTGCCTCCATCACTCAGAGAATGATCAAAAGTGAACTTGAAGATTTCGAATTGGTCAGTAGGAACTATCTCAATTTTTAACTTTTAATTTTCTTAACAAGCTGAAAAGCTATTTCTGAGGAAATTTTTAACTGATTTGGTCTTTCTTAGCAAATTACAAAATGAGTTATTTTGAATCTTCTAGATCTATTTGCATTAATGCAGGTGCCCACCCCCCAGGTCTCTATCCTTGGGATTACGTTGTTTTTAATTTTTATCAATGACTTTCCTGATGTCATCAGTGTTGTGGGTGGTATATTGACTTACAAACAGATATTGAATGATGGAAGACAACAACAAACAAAACGAAGACTTGAATAAAAATAGATATTGCCAAGTTTATTTTTGTTAAAGAAAAATACATAAACAAAAATAATGTTAGTGTGGACTAAGCAAGCTCATATAAAGGATGAGAAATAGTGTTGTCCTAAGAAGGACAGTTTCATGGTTGCTAGAGAGCATTGTCCTGAAAATGACAGTTTACTGCATAGTATTGGCAAGAATGACTGGAGTGGCAGAAGGCTGAAGATGGCTGGAGCGACAGCCAATGGCAAGCTGGAAATGATGATGGCTGGCTAGCTGAAGCTGCTGCTAATGGCTGGGAGCTATGGGCAGGCGGTCGGCTGCCGTTGGAACAGATACTACACTTTGATCCTAGTCATCGGGACGGCGGAACACCACTCTTTACTCATACTTCCCCACTGAAATGGGATGCAACACAAAGTCAGTATACGTGCGAGTACACTCTGGTCACTGGTCAAAATATTGATCAATTTTTACGCAACCCGCTCTTGCGCAGAATTGGACACAACGCTAGACTTAGCTGGTTATGGAACAGATACTACAATATGATCATAGCATCTGACCACAAAATTAGTAAATTATGAAAGTTATTTTAATCTCAAGTAACACTAATTGACTTTGCTAATCACTGCTAAATAATTTTTTTTTCTTTTATGTGATTTTTCAGGATAAATCTGCTGATTTCTCTACGAAAAACAGTGTTGGTGTGAAAAACACTATAATTTCTCTTTTATTGTTGGGAATTTATGAAAGTTTGATGGAATATACATTTTTCAGTGGGAATTTTAGGTGAGTTTTTAATTTCTTTAAATTCATTTTCTTATTTTGTACAAAGTAAACAGAATCTAGTTTATTTTCTTGTTAATAGAAATTAACCTCAACTACAATGAATAGCATGTGCAAGAGAAAATAATGACAAAGAAAAATTAAATAAAAAGCTTAATTGCAGTACCTTGTCAGTCGTCTTTTATGAAATTTGTATAAAATTGTGGAGGCACGGTGGAGTAATGGATATTGGCTCCGATTGAGGAATCGGAGAGCCAAGTTCAAATTCCAGCCAAATCTATTACATTCACTTACGTGTTAATACCCTTGGGAAAGCTATGAATCCTCTACTTCTCTCCCCCCCCAGCTATGGATAAATAGCAGGACAGACCGGGTTCTATAGCCTTGGATGACAACTGATCTACTGCAGAAAGAAATGGCAACTTACTGTAGGAAAAAAATCTGCCATGTCAATCATGTATCGAAAGATACATGATCGCCTAAGCGTGTATCAAGCCTGGCGCAAAACTGACAGTATAAAAGTGTAATTGCTGCCCAACTACACAATTATATATATTTCTTTTAAAACTGTTTTTGATATATAAAAATTAATAAAAAAACTATATATCATTATCCCATATATATATATATATATATGGGAAAATTGTATGACAAAAAGTAGAAAAGGTTTACTTGTGACATGTTTTGTCCTTTCATCAGACTAAATTTGTTATGCTGGTTATATATTTCTTTGTCTTTTTTTTGTATTATAAAGTTCAGGCCATTACCTTGTTTCCAATAAGACAGAACAAAAAGCAAAATAATATATGCAGTTCCTCTTGCAAATCTTTAACTCCTTGACTCTACTTTTCTTTCTGTCTTTCCATCCATATGAATAACTCATAAAAAAAAGGCCTGCACTTCTCTCCATACACTTTATTATTCCTCTAATCCTTCTCCCACAATGCATTTAATTTCCCCACTGCCATCTGTTTCTTTCATTTTCACCTTTCACAGATACCTGTTGCAGGGGAATCAAAGGTAAATTTATATAACTTGGTTCTTCTCCACAAATTATGAGAAAATGAATCTGACATCAGACATGGTCACCTACATCCAGAAGGGAGATGGCAAAAAAAAATATGTGTTGACATTTGTTATTTCAAAATAAATTTTCTTAAGTCATGGTTCTATAATCCTTTGACTCGTATTCATGTAATAGATTTTTGGTGGATCACAGGTATGTGGCATCGTGTAACTTGTTTTCTTTTTAATAAACTTAGAAATTCGGTTTCATAAAAATGACTTATTCAAATATTTGTTTTTTTAACAATTTTCTAAAATCTGCAAATAATTAAACTGCAAAATTTTAACATAATTTTATTGTTTTTTGTTTTTTAGTGAAACAAGTTGTGAACAAATCCAACAGCTTTTTAACAATCATCAGAAACTGGTGACAATTTTAAAGAGCAAAATCAAAACTCCAAGTACAAAAGCAGGGACTAGTTTGCTTTCTCTTCACTTCACAACAGAAATACTTCATGCTCTGTTCATGTAAGTACATGATTGTTATTTACTAATCTTTTATTTTTTTAATCGGTATCACCCCATGCAAGGCAGTAAATCCACTAAGACACAACGGGTTGCAGTGTGTGGAAGAATTAGGAATAGAAATATTAATAATGAGCAGGAAGAGAAAAGAGTAATCTGTGGTGGGGGCGATATCACCTCTAAAATAATAATAACTAGCGGTAGAGCCCAGCATTGCCCAGGGATGTAATAGTAAGAGATAGATCAAGTATCGACCATCATAAAGACTGAAAAATAAAATTGACAAAGATTATTGTTTAAGGTTGACGGACGCGCATGTCTTAATTAGTTTTTGTTTTTTTTGTTTTTTTGTTTTTTTTTACGAATTGGTCAAACCCAGACTCAAACAAAAACATTGTTTTCAATCGTTATGAGTCTATCGATTGAATAGAATTTTATTATAAACAATTGTCTTGTAAATGGAATTTTTAAAGCATTCTGAATGTAAGAATAAAGAAAAAGTGTGCAAGACAATAAGAAACACTACCTGCCAAAAAAAAGTGAAGTTTTGTTGAAATCGGTTGAAAAATGTAGGAAATTCGATCCCATATATAAACGAACACACACACACACAAACAACCTGGGTTTTATGATAAGTATAACTCGATATGAGTTGTCCCCCTTCCATTCTGGTGATAGAATCGTGTTTTAAAGTTTTTTCAAATTGATTTTGTGCGAAAACAATAGTGTTTTTCCAATTTTTGGCGCTGTCAGAACCACCGCAAGGTAATTTTACGCAGTCCTGTGAAGTTTTGTTGAAATCGGTTGAAAAATGTAGGAAATCCGATCCAATATATAAACATACAGACACACACACACACACAATGTGTGTTTTATAAAAAGTAAGATGATAATAAAGGAGAATATGCTGTAAAACAAAAAAGGCATTTTTCAAAAGAACCAAGATGTTAAAAATGCTGTAAAGTCTTTGAAATGTAAATGTTACAGAAAGTTAATTACTTACAATATAATACATATTATTTATAATACATCTTCTTTCTTGCCATCAATTTTGACAGCACAGGTACACTAGTAATAATAATAATAACAGTGAAACAACAAATCACTTTTTCTGATTTACACAGATTTTAATTTAAACATGTCACTTATTACTATTGTAATATTGTGTCATCTTATGTTCATGTTCAATGATTTTTGTGTTTACATTTCTATATTGATTGATTTATGATTTGTTTGATCCCATTCATATCAACTTAAAATAAGAATTTATTTATAGTTTTCATTGTTTTGTAAGACAAAATTTACACGTATGATTACACTTTACATCATATTTAGAACAAATGCATGGGCATATTCATGCCAAAAACTGATTTCTTTTATTGTTTATTTTAATTATTTCACCGCAAGCATGGTAATAAAGCCACTAACATGTAAGGGGTTACTGAATGTGAAAGAATATAAAAAAACATTAAAAGGAGAGAGAACAATAAAAGAATAGGAATTTAGAAAAAAAGGTAATGAATAACATTGCGTTTAAATTTTTGAAGATCAAACTTAACTGGAAATCAAGAAACTGGAAGAGAGTTCCACAAGTGAGAAGTGTGAGAAAAACTGTTAGAATAGAATTTATTGTTATATATAGCCATTTCAAAAGTAAAATGATGGAAACTTGCCGCCAATCCAGTACTGTGCTTAAATTCATAGAGTCTAAGTACCATAGAGAAGCAGTCATCAGAACAATTACCATGAAAATATTTATAGAAAAGGAACAAGGAAGATATATTATGGTGATGGGAAAGTGTCTGAACACTCCAGTGACCAGTGGTTATTTCTCTGCCATGGCGTGAGACAGAAGTGGACATCAATACCAATAGACGACAGTGAAGATGACATTGTTTTGTGGAGGAAGAGGAACCAAATGTCTTTGGAAACGCTGACGATCCCAAAGATGGCTAAGATTCTACTCTGCTGATAACAATGAAGAAACTATCATGCCGTCCATCTTTGACACCTAACAGATGCGAAGCTGACCAGCATTTGCCGGGTTAGGGTAGGGATTTTGATGAACTCATTGTTGCACATTAGTTGGGACCATAGATTTTCTTTCAATCACACCCTCCTGAATATGGGGATGTACGTGAGTCGAATAAAATAACTTAATGTTTCATTCCCATGTATAATAGGCACCCATAAATTTTAGGTTTACAAATCTGGAAAATGTGTGTATTATGTATAAATAATTATGTGAAATGATGGGACCTTACTGCCAATCTAGTACTGCAGTTAAATTCATATCATAGAGGAGTGCTTATCAGAAGCATTTATAGAAAAGGAACAGTGAAGCTATATTAGGGTGTAGGGGAAGTGACTGAAGCCAAGGAGAAAAAAAATGTTAAACAAATATACATCCAAATGACTAATGGTTTTTTGTGGCGTAAAACAAGTGTCCATTAATGCTAATGGACGACAGTGACATCTTTTTAAAGGAAAAGGAATAAAATAATAATTTGATTTGATTTTTATGGCTTGTCAAGCCTTTGTGGGTTATTTAATTATTTAAAGCTGAAACCTATGGGGAATTGTAAAAAGAGTGAATATTGCATTAACACTTTTTATAATAACAATGTTTTTTCTACACATGAGTCTTACTACTGTATAATAAATGACAACTTTTTAGAATTTGTAGCTGCTAAATCTAAACTAAATTCAGCATTTGTTCAATTATTATTCTGTTGACTAAGATAAGAATCCTATTATAATTTTGTTTATCCCTCATTTTGTTGGTTTGCACACTGCTACACCCTGCCAATACCTCATAAATAATGGACTATTCCATTTTGATCACATTAAATGAGGGAGAAAAAACACTACTTGGTTTCAGTGAGAAAATGGATGAAAGAAGGAAGGGAAGATAGAATCAGATTAAGCTGATTAGAACAGATACTACACTTTGATCTTAGTCAAAAGGCCGAGTTGATGGTAACTGCGATAAAACAACATTTTTCAGGAGGATAGCATCAAATAACAGAAATCAAGTAAGGCAATCAGCAAAAATTCAGTTACCATAAACAGAATAACATCACCTGCTGAATTATTTTCAAATTATTATTATGAGAAATGTTCATAAGACGAGGATTTACCTAGATAATATAGTTTTCATTGAAAGATGCAAAGCAGAGCTATGTTCACATAAAAATGCAACACGCTTGCTCTCAAAAATAAGCCGATATTAGAACCAAAATTATAAACAAACATACATTCCAATGCCAAGTGGTTATTTCTCTGTAGTGGCATAAAACAGAAGTGGACATTCATACTAATTGACGACAGCAAAGATGACATCCATTTGTGGAGGAAGAGAAACAAAATGTCTCCATGAATGACGATGATGACATTGGTTTGATTTTTATGGATTATCAACCCTTTGTGCGTTATTTAAAGCCAAAACATATTTTGGATTGTCAGAATAAGTCTTTTTTATTTCTTTTTTTTTTTTTTTTTTTTTGAGTGAATATTGCATTAATATTTTGGGGGGGAGAATATCAATGATTTTTTTTCTAGATACAAGTTTTACTATTTAACTCATAGCTGAGGGAGGTGATGGATTCATATCTTTTGCAAGGGTATTTGCATGTAAGTGAATGTAACAAACCTAACTGGAATTTGAACTCAGATTTCTGATTTCTCATTCCATCACTATTCATTACATCACCTACACATCCTTACATTTCTGAAGAGTCCTGTTTCTTTTAAGTAAAACCTAATTTTGTCATATTACTATTTTGAATCAAGATCATGCTTTTCTAACACACTCAATCTTGATATATTTTTCCCTTTATTTGGATCAGAGACACAAGCCATGAGAGTCTGGAAGCCTTGAAGCAGAATACAGATTTCATATGCTGCATTCTTGGTGTGTCTTTACAAAAAGTAACTTTTCTCCGTGATCGGGGTACATGTGATGGTGCTGACCTTTCCGAGAAAGACAAACTTATAGCATATTCCTGCAAACTTGGACGGTAAGTGTTATTAGGATTTTGCAAATTATAATAAATTATTTGTTGAGATTTATAATTTTGATTATAACTGAATATAAATTGTTTAACTTCATTCCAGTTAATATGAATTATTGTTGTAGTTAAGTTGTCTTGTGTTTCTATAAATAAATATTAAATTTGATATAGATTTCTGTAATTTGGATATTGAAATATTAAAAGATAAAGTAATTTCAAATACCATATATTTTCACATATAAGACAACCTTTAAATCACAAAAATCACCCTTGAAAATTGGGGTTTGTCTTATATACTACAATTATAAAAAAGAAACCTTAAATTCTGAGTGATATTTGTCAGTAGGCTAAACTTGGCCTCAGTGCAATAATCAATAGCATAGATGAAAAGATTCACATTATTAAATAAACTGATAATTTAAAGTAATAAAACCATTTCTGCCTTATATTTTACTGGCACAACTTCGTAATAAATTGCCTATTCGAAGAATAAATTCCATATCAATGAAATCAACTTGTATCCATGGAAGCTCAGCTAGGAAAATATAAACATTGAGTTATGATTGTGTTCACAGCAATGGAACATACTATTATTTTACATTATCATATTGTTATTAGCGGTATTTTGTGATTGTTGATGAAGTATAAGTAAATGGCCATTAGTACACCAGGCTGTTTGTAAATTTTTGGATATAGAAAAAAAAAAGGAAGAAGAAGAATCAGTATTTGCAAGAGATCATGTGATGAAATATAAATAAAAAATGATTTCCAATAACATCATTTTTATATAATCAATAAGCAGTCATCTTATACTACAGGTATAGGATAAATTCATGAAAATATGCTATATTTTTTTACATTGTCTCATCTAAAGGTTGCCTTATATATATACAGTATGTAAATTTTCTTTTTTTATGTTGGAATTTTGGGGATTAAAGATTTTCATTATTATCTGCCTCTCTATTCAGACCAAGTTGCTTTTTCATGTGTCAGCCATGGTTACATTCTGTCCGCCTTCAGATGTCTGCTGTAGTGGTAAACTCAAATTTTTAACAGATGCCTTTATTCAATTTAACTGATTAGATTCTTATCATTCTGCTTTCTATATGTAGGGAGATAACTCTTATCAGTTTATATACCTTTATGTTACTTGTCTGTTTCTTCCATTGAACCAGATTATACTACCCAGTCCAGGGATTAAACTCAGACAGGCTTTAAGCAATGCTTTAATTCACTTTAAACATGCTCTAATGGAGAAAATCAGGCATAATCCAAGAAGATCAATGAGAAAATTGATTAAGGGGACCAGAGCATCAGAGAGGACCATGTAGAAGTTATGTCGAAATGTTCTAGGGATGTTGCCGTACAAGATAAAAGATGGCTTCTTTTAACAGCCACAATGAAAAAGAGGCTTAAAAGAAGTAAGCAGTTGCTGAAACAGATTCATGATGGCACCCTGCAAAACATCATTTTGACTGATGAACAGACTTTTGATCATCAAAATAATTGTATTCTTTCAAGTCATCAGTCAGTTCCTGCCGCTTGAGGAAAATGCCTCAGAACCCAGAAACTAGCATCAGTTATACCTTGGGCAACCATTTCAGAAAAAGGAAAGTTTTCTCTTGTTTTTGTATCTTAAGGGATAAAGATTATCAAGGAAGTGTACATAGAAGACATCTTGGAAGGTGTACTCAAGTCATGGTGCAATGTCACTTATGGTGATGAAAATTGTACACTTTAATGATAGAGCAACGAGCCATTCTGCTCATGTAACACAGCAGAGCTGCAGAGACAATTGTCCTGGCTTTATCACTAAGGATGAATGGCTTCCTTCATCACCAGATATCAACACTCTTGACTATTGTTTGTGTGGAGTTTTTGAGACTGAGGGCTATTCTATTCTGTACCACAATATCAAAACTCTGAAGGCAAAATTGAAGAGAGTATGGGACATGTGGAAACTGTACTTGCTGACATCAATAACTTTCCCAAAAGACTTTGATGTTTGTTGAAGGCTAAAGGAAACCATATTGAATGAGATTTTCTAGTGTTATTTAACAGATTAATACTTACTTTGTATTAAAATTTTATACTGATATAATAAATTTTTCAAGAGTTATGAGCTTTTTCTTTTGTAATAGTATTTATACTGCACCCTTTAATATACTTTATTTGGTGTCATATAAAACTTACATTTAAATAAAGAATATAAAATTATTAGACTGCATCTAGTACACTGGTATATGACGTTGTATTGGACTGCACCTATTGATTCTCATGCCTGCAATTGATAGTGGTTTGTTGGTATCTCCCGTTGGCAGATCTTATAATGCCACTAAGACACCAGTGCTATTGGGAATGAAAGAGAATGAAAAGACTTTAGAAGGAACTGGAAACCCAATACTAAACAGGAATAAAAGAGATAAACCTCTACTGACTGTTCAAAAGATTGGGAAGGAGTGTTAATAGGATGATAGGTGAACATATCTATTCATATTGAGGAAAAAAAATAAATAGTAAATAAAATTAAAAAAATAAAAGTTTACATGGAGATGTTAGAAGGATAGAGTTGAAGTAAACTTTAGAAGGAACTGGAAACCCAATCCTAAACAGGAAACAAGAGATAAACCTCTACTCCTGTTCAAAAGACAGGGGAGAAGTGAGAATCGGATGAGGGGCAAACCTATCTACTCATCTGTTTAGGTTTTATTAAAATTTGAAAAATATTTTTTTAAAATGAAAAAAATTGTTAAAGGAGTATACAAGAATAACAATGTCAAGGGAAAAATTGCCATTTTAACACAGCATTTTTTTGTGGGTACAAATGTTAAACTTTACCAAATTTTGATTTGAATCCTAGGAGAGCCACTTGCTACTTATTTTATCTCTCAGTTTTTCCATGATTTTATTTCTACTCCAGGCCTATTGCATTACACTATTACATATTTTTCTTCTATATGCCATATCTCTTCAGGATATTTACATTCACGACTCTTCACAATTTTCTATCCTCTGTAAATTTTGTCTTTTTGCTATTTCTCCTAAACCCTGTTCTGCCAAAAATTTATACAAGCTTTAGGTTTCCTCTGTCCCTCTTGGCTTCAATATGTCCTGTGAGTGTCTAATTTTCTAAGCCCTCTTTCCTCATTATGTGCCCTAGAAATTTCAACTGTCTCTTTCTGATTCTAAGTAAATGTGTCCTTCTTGTTTCTATTTTCTCTAAAACTTGATTTCTTCTTTGCTAGCTAGACTTTAGACACATGTTGAGTCCATGGTATTCTTAGCATCCTTATGTAGAACCATATTTCTGTTGCTTCAAGTTTCCTCTTCATCTGTGAGGAGATTGTCCACTATTCACTGCCATATAGAACTGATATTACATCAGAGTTCAAATTTTCCTGTTTTTTATTACTTCGCTTAGCTTTTGGAAAGCATATTTCCCTATGCAAATGCGCCTTCAGATTTTGGTGTCACACTGTTAAAATGTTTCCTACATATTTAAATTTTTGTACTTGCTTGATTTTTGCATCTCCAATTTGTAATTTGCATGTTGGATTGTTTCTTTTGCTATCAGTCAGTTAAGTGCCATACATGATACATGCCTCTTTTGATTCATTACTGACTTGACAGAAAATTTTCCCACAGTAGGTTACTGTTTGTTTCTGTGGTAGACTGGTTGCCAATCAGAACTGTAGGCTGTCTTGGGTATGACGATAAACTATATTCATGTCCTGGGTAAGATGATAAACTACGTCCAGCAGCAAGGCCTCTGATCTGGAGGTTTTGAGGAGCTAGGAACCACCTCTTAATTGCTGATGTTCCCAGGTCCATCCTGACCCGGGATGGTAGCATCTGTTAGGGTCCCAGCTATGGGCAAATAGTTGACTCCACAACCTGACTCAAAACATTTTGAAAGTGTAAAGATAGATTTTAATACCAAAAATACTTTTTTAAAAAATTAGTATCAGCAATAAATATTTGAAAAAAGAAAATATTACCAGAAATAAAAATCTTATCAGCATTAAAAAAATCGATTAAGGTTAATATGCTGCAAAACAAGACAAACTATACATTTTTTAAAAAAATATTACCAGCTATACATTTCTGAAAATATTACCAGCTATACATTTCTGAAAATATTACCAGCTATACATTTCTGAAAATATTACCAGCTATACATTTTGAAAATATTACCAGCTATACATTTCTGAAAATATTACCAGCTATACATTTCTGAAAATATTACCAGCTATACATTTCTGAAAATATTACCAGCTATACATTTCTGAAAATATTACCAGCTATACATTTCTGAAAATATTACCAGCTATACATTTCTGAAAATATTACCAGCTATACATTTCTGAAAATATTACCAGCTATACATTTCTGAAAATATTACCAGCTATACATTTCTGAAAAAATTACCAGCTATGCATTTTTGAAAAAAAAAAAAAAAAGGAAATTTTGTCAGCATTAAATTACCCATTGTGGTTGATATGCCGTAAAACAAAACAAACCAAACCAAACCAAACCAGAACTGTAAGACCCAGTCTGACCTGCTATTTAACCTATATCTGGGGAGAGGAGATGGATTCATACCTTCCCCAAGAGTATTTGCGCATAAGTGAATGTAACAAACCTGACTCAAATATGAACTCTGCTCTCCGATTTCTCATTTCAACACGATATCTATTTCACCACAATGTACATTCATCTGCTATACTGATTTAATATTACTATAAACGTAATAAATTTGTGACTACACATGTATCCACTAAATGTAACTTTTATAGTTATCAAAAATATTGTTGGATTATTAACCTTTAGCACTCTGTAGGTGACTATTTTCACCAAGCAAAATGTTAGTCCTGCCAATGCAAATTGAATTTGAAATTCTTTGTTGTGTAGTCATATCCTTCTATGGCAACATCTAAAACAATCTTGACTGAAATTGAGAGCCAAGCTACTGCAATTTTAAATTTATAGAACTAATATATAAAACACTATATTTTGACAGGATTCTATATACAGTAAAAAGTCATATTTATAAATGAGGCAGAGTGCTGAATGTTAATAAAATCCATTAATTCCTTAGAAAATACTGATTTAAGCAAAAAGTTTAAACTCTTTATATTTTCAAGGTTTTGTCTGAAATACTACCAACGGATTGGTCCCAACAGTGACAAGAAAGAAAAAAAAGCTGTGTCGACGTTGTGTTTGGAAATATTGAATGTGGTAATCCAACTAATATATGCCAATAGCATGTCTGTTACCGTTCCATTGACCGAAAAACAAGAAAAGTGGTTAATTATGCTCTGTAAGTAAAATTACCTTTATCTTGGTTTTCCTTTTAAAAGAGAAGATAAAGTTATTCCCTTTGAAAAAATAAAACAAGTTATTTTCTTGGTTAGTTTTAAGGTAAGTAATTTCTTTTTCTCTCTGTAATCAACAGTGTGGTTTATACATATTGAAATACTCCTAAAGTATGAAAAAATTCCAAAGCTAGAATTGAATGTCATCACAGACAAACAAATATATGTATCTGTTTGGTATCAAAGATTTTTAGCCTTCCATCAGTGAAGAGACATTCAACAAAGCCATATATATAGATGGCCAGACTGTACAGAAATATAAATGATCAGCAGATAGAAAACATCAGGCAATGACGAAAGGTGGTATTATTTCACAATGAAGCTGCATAGATTAAGAAAGCTGATCATTTTAGCTTTGCGACCATGGGAGGGTTTTGATGGTGCACGACTATATGAAATGGTTGGTATCTACTATTGTAGAAATAATTTAGAAGAATAATGTCAAGTTATTGAAATTGTCAATAAGGGTGATATCAGATTATGGAAAAGAAACTGAATTACATCTAGCAATTTCAGCTGTAAAACAACTATACCTAGCCATCAATCTAGTACTGTGATTAAATTCATAAAGTCTAGCTACCAAAGAGGAAATATCATCAGAACAATTACCATGTAAATATTCATAGAAAAAGCACAGGGAGGCTACATTACAGCAGTGGAAAAATGACTGAAGCCAAGATGATATCAGGACTGATAACATATATTCTTTGGATTTTGTCAGGAATCTCTAGACACATAAGAAAAGCACCATACCAGATGTGACAGAAATATTTAATGCATGGATGAATGGTAGACTTCTAAATGTATAAGCTGCAGAAACTAATGCAACACAGTTAAATAGCTTTCCTAGCAGCAGCCGACCTAGCAATTGATTTAATATAATCTTTTGACTTCATGTCAGCAGAAAACATTAACCCTAGGTGCTGCAATAAGTCTTAGGTTTTATTCCAATTCTAATCATCACTTTTTAAAACAATAAACTTTGCCAAATAGTGAGGGTGGTTAACCTTCAACACTCTGTATGTGACTTCATCTGCTGTAGGAAAATGTTTATCTTGTCACTGAAGATGACTCTGATTCCTGAACAATAGTGTTTGAATTTCATAGTTGTGTTGTCATATCCTGCTATGGCAACAGAAAACAACTTTGAGTGAAATTAACAGTAAGGATACTGCAATTGAAAGTCCTTGGAAAAGAATGCAGTGGAAAGTGATATTAATAATGCAGTGTTCTAACATTTTTAAAAAAAAAGCAGTCATGGGAAAAATTATTCTTTTGGCACTATGTCTTATTTCAGGTACGTTTCTCCATGTTAGCCATTTTTTAACATACCTTTTAAATTAAATGAACTTTTAAAAGAAACATTACATTTTCATTTATTAAATTTTTTTGGTTTTGTTTTTGAGAAACTTTTTAAATTGAATGGCCTTTTATAAGAAACCCCATAATTTTTCATTCATTAAAATTTATTTATCTTAACACGACATTGAATGTACTGTGTACTCTGCCTGTAATTAAATTAATTAAATAAAATAAAATAAAGTTCTGTTTTGGGACATTCCTACTATAATTCTCTGGGTATGGACTCTTCCTCTAGGGGACATATTAATAAGCTGAATTTCTGTCTCAGCCAGTCCCTTTGATTTGCCTGGGGTGTTCCTCTCAGTGAAGAAAACACCTACTTTATACATTATAAAACTGATTTTTCTTTGTGTTTAATTTTTTGCAGTACAAGACACAGAAGTGAGTACATCCCAATTTACCGGTCTACAACAAGTGACAGAGAAACATGTCAAGATTTTTCAGGTATCTTTTGGAATATGTTTTGATGAAGTACTTCTGATACCTTGAACTTATTATAATTGAAATCCTCTTTCCTACAGGCTTTATTTTTCTGTTTTCTCTTTTTTCACTATATGTTAGTAGATTAAAAATTATCAATTATCTCTATCTATAAAAGGCAGGATGTGTGTGTGTAACGAATGCACGGCTGCAATTTTTGACGGATTTGCACCAGAATTTATATGCACATGCTCCAAGTTAGCGGAAGGCCAAGACCGACTTTGCATTTCCCAACTCCCATCGATAGTGGAAATAATCGATTTTTTCATGCTTCTACGGCAGTTTTCATGTAGTTTGCGGCCATTTTCTACTGGCCAGAGTGAGAGCCAATAGCTGGCTGCCACGAATAGGCAGGAAGATTCTATTGGCCAGCGTGAGAGCCAACAGCTGACTGACATGAATGTTAACTAGCATGCTAGCATACAAAAAAATTGATAGCTGCATTCGTCACAAGTGGGAAAAATTTTAAATCTGCATGTATTTGTTGTTAACATTCTTTTTCATTCGATTTTTCCAGTTACAAGTCCTTTTTTAAAGCTGATCGTTTTGTGTTCATTTTGTTTAGTTCTTTTTTTTTCAACAGATTTAATGTTTAGTATAGAGCTTAGAAAAATTTGCAGTGTGAGATAGGCAAGAAGTAAGGCATGTAGCAACATCGGCACGGCAAAGGGCACTCCTTTAAAGGCAAGGAAGGGCAAAAATATTTTAAGTCAAGTGATAGCGATTGCTGTATGAGTTGTACAATTTTTGAATCAAGCACGGGCAACGCCAGGCCATGCTAGTTATTAATAAAAATAATAATTGATAATTTTCAATTCTGTAGATAAGAATTGGTAACTAGACAAATTTAATATCTAAGATAAGGTATTGCAATTATTTACATTATTCAGACTGTTATCCTCATTTTTATTGCTATATTCACAACATCTGAGCCATTTTACACACTGGTTTTCTTCAGGTGATTGGAATTTCAAACTGAAGGAGTAGATTGTTCTAGTTCCATCTGTTATGTGTCTCAATTATCTCCCTTTAACTCTTCAAATTTTTGTTCACCACTGCAGTAACTAGGTATTGAACTCACAACTTTGGGTCAAGTCACTGTATCTAACCAATGCTTTTATCCACCAAGCCATACGTGTATGAATTTTTGGGACTTATAAACTTAAGAGGCATGTCACGTAGAACTAGAAAAATCTACCCCAGTGGATGAAATAAAGGGTTCAGTTCGAAATTTCAATTGCCTGAAGAAGGCTGGAGCATACAACCATCGAAATGTCATGAATATGGCAATAAATATGAACAACATTCTGAACAGTGTAAATAATTTAACTAGGCAAATTTAGCACACTTTTACTGCTGGAATGAGATAACTGTCGAACAATCACGTGGTCAAGATAAACACTCAGTTGTGGAGCAAGCTGAGTGAAGAATGATTCTAATTGAGGAAGAGAGTTATTTATGGTGCAATGGAGCATCTCATTATGCTAAAGTGGGATAGTCCATTGCTTGGGCTTTGATTGGCTGCTGGTACCTGAGTGGAAGTATTTCTATAAAATACCAGCTTAATTTCAGTTAGTTTGCAGGGTTTGTATTAAGTTACAACCTGCTTTATTTTTGTCTGCCAGCTGACGCTAGCTGGAACTCTTTTACGCCGGTAAGTGTCGCTTATTGTATTGTTATTCTACATCTCCTTCCCCCATCGCGTGTTGGTAGTGGCCTTTGGGGAGGGATTTGTTCCTTTAAACCTGGCTGGTTGTGTGGAAGTAGTCTGGACAATGCCCGAGGGTTTTTGTCCGTGTTATTGTAGACGGTTGAGCAGTGTTTGATGGTATTCCAGCGTCGAATGTTTGTGGCAATGGTGTAGGGATCTCAGGTAAGGCACTAGGTCTTGGAACTGGAATTGTTGGTGTATCCAGTTTCCTGAGAAATCGGCGATTTCGTAAGGTAATTCTACCTGATCCGTCAACTCTGATACGGTATTGGTGGTTGGGGAGGATTTCAATGACCTGACCTGTTGTGTCCCATCGACGGGTTGTTGGTCTTTGTAGTGCCACTATTTGTCCTTTTTGAAGGGGTTTAAAGTGTGTGCTGTTCTGTTGTATCTCTCTATGAGACGAGCGTTCCCCGGGACAGACTTATCTCACGATTTTGGGCTGCGGTTATCCACTTCAAGGTGGCTTATAGAGTGTGGGTGGGATGGTATGTAGTCACGTGTAGTCGGCGTGGAGTAGTAGTTGAGCAGGGATAGCCCAATGTTTTGAATAGGTGTATTCCTGTATTGGAGGATGGCTTTGCTGCATGGTTATTATCCAACGATCCTTGGGCTCCTGTGTTGCCATTTATGATTCTTTTTGGTTGTTTTGACAGAAGAGCTCTGCTCGACCATTGGATTGTGGGTAACCAGCAGATGATAACCTTTGTTTAACAGCCCAGTCTTGCAAAAATTGCTTGAATGGAAGAGATGTGAAGGTGGCCCACCATCACTGCTGAGTTCCTCAGGAGCGCCCGTAGGTTTGAAATATGTCTCGCAAATCAAAATAATCCTTGAGGCATTAGCTTCTCCGTGGCTCAAGTGGTATAGATTCAGCCAGCCCGTTAACCTGTCAGCGATGCTAAGTAACCATGGTTTCCAACATGGAAGATGTCCATGACGATTTGCTGAAATGGCCAATCAGGAGATGGGGTCAAATTGATTGGCTCTTTTGGTTGACTCGGGCAATTTTTTGAGCAGAACGTATAACCTGCTCTAATGTTACTTAATTGAAGTATTCATCCCGGGCCAATAAACAGATTCATTGGCATCGCGCCTTCATGCCAACTTCGCCTTTGATGTGCAGAATGTAGGCTATGTAATATTTTTATGCCCAGAGGTGGGGATAACAATTCTTTGATCTAAGAGCACTAACCCATCGTCAACACTTAGGGCGGTGCCTCACTTCCCAATATTCATGATTTCAGGTGCAGTGAGGATGCGCGTCTTTGGAATCCGCTTTTGTATTCAATTAATTTTTTTGTATTATGGGTCGCTGCGCCCCGCCGACGGATAACGCCTGGGTGAGATGAGCTCCAGGTTGTCATTTGCACCGAATGTTGCTAATAAGGTTGTTGATTTGACCCAGTCATCCATGTTGTCGGACTCTATGATGTCTGATTGAGAGGGTTCAGCAGTGAATACATTTAGGAGTGCCTGTGAGATGTCTGCTGGGTTACGAGAGACAGCATCGGAGGCTCTGTGCCATTTCCCAGGGCAGTACTGAATGGTGAATCTGTACCTGAGGGTTTTCTCCTTTAACCTGAATAATCGGGGTTTTGGATTTTACTAAGGTCTCTATCTCGAATAATCCTTTTAGTGGTTCATGATCTGTAACCACTATGAGATTCGGGCAACCCATTACAAAAATCCGACATTTTTCCAATGCCCATGCAATTGCTGCTGCTTCGCCTTCAATAGGTGCATATCTTCGTTCAGCATCAATGCAGAATCTGCTACCAGCAAATATCAGGCGCCAACCTTCAGGGCAGCAAACTGGGGCCTTTGTCAGTGGTGCATGAGCAATACTTGCAGAAGTAGGAAGCCCATTGCGTCTTTGCTCCAATCTGGGGCAAGGCAGGTTATTCTTTCTTTTGAAATGTTGCATGCCTTTTCGACTAAGTCAACTATGACCTTCTTTGACTGCTGAATGCATCCTCAAGGCTTTTATTCCATGTAAAGCGTGAGTCTCGCTTTTTCGAGATTACGAAATGGAAGCATGACTGGGCTTAGTGAGTATGCCCAAGCGACTTTGGTTGACCAGCCCAAACCATGATCTAGCATCGGTGAGTGTTTTTGGTATTGGGAAGCTCAATATTGCCTCCAGCATGGATTTAGAAGGGGTTACACCAGAAGATGTTATTTGGAGGCCCCCAAACTGCACCGTGTCTTGGCAAAATTGGAATTTTTCTCTATTTATTACGATGCCATTTTTTGCACAATGGAGGAGAAAATTGAAGGTGTGAAAAAAGGCTCCTTCGATGTCAGAGTCATAGAGTAGGGTGTCATCCACGATTTTTACTTTGCGGGGGATGTCTCAGTTAGTTTGCAGGGTTTGTATTAAGTTACAACCTGCTTTATTTTTGTCTGCCAGCTGGATGCTAGCTGGAACTCTTACGCCGGTAAGTGTCGTTTATTGTATTGTTATTCTACAATAACCTTACACATTATGAATTGCAGTCTTATTTTTTTTGTATTTTTAAGACTTCAGTTTTTATTGTGTAAGATTATCTAAATCTCATAGTAAAAGCTTGCTGAATTTGTCTAGTCGACAATAAAGTGTTATAATAAAATATATATAAAGTGTTTTGTCACATTGTTTGGATTATTGTATTACACTATTGTCGATTTAGAAGGGAAGTGACGTTTGCAGAGTCCTAGGTGCTGTTTGCTCATTTAAATTATTAATATCATTATTAATTCATGTAGTATTTCTGTCATCTTAATTTCACTTATTTTTTATTGCAATTCTGAGAGCATCATTCTTAGGTTCTCACTAAGCTGTGTGGATCAGAGATAATTTTAAGAAACATTTCTTTTTTTGATTGATTCATTTTTTATGGCTTATCAACCTTATTTAAAGCCAGAAAGTATAAAGTATTTTTAGATTGTAAGAATTTTTTTTTTTTTTTTTGAGATAATAATGATTTATTGATACATGTCTCACTAATTAACTCATAGCTGGGACAAGAAGAGATCGATTCATATGAAGGGTATTTTTTTGTGTAAGTGTATGTAATTAAACCAATTGGAATTGGTAATTGACTCTTCGATTAACAATTCCAAGCCATTATCCAATTACACCAACTGCACATTCAAACTTAAAGCACCTAGTATTTCCAAGCAGTCACTCATCCAGGTACTGACCAGGCTCAATGTTGCTTGATCATACAGGAACTGGTGTAAGAATCTTTTTAAATTGACTGAATTTTTAAAATGACACATTACATTTTATTCTAGTTCTAGGTGTTTGCTCAGTTAACGTGGTAATTTTATTATTACTACTTCATGTTGTATCCCTGTCATCTTAATTTCACTTATTTTTTATTGCAATTTTCAGACCATCATTCTATGCTTTCATTAAGCAGTGTTGATCAAAAATAACTTACAATACTTCATTTAAAATATTCAAATATGAACATAACTGCTAGTATGTTTAAATGAAAGGTAGTAACATATCAGGCAGTTAGGTAAGATAAGTAATGGCTATATGTTTAGATTTGAATATCTGCAGCTGGAAAGTTTTGTGGCCTAATTGACAAAGCAGCTGTTGCATTAAGACAAGCTTCTTGAGGAAAAAGGTTGTGAGTTTGTCTTACTAAGGCTGTATCTTTAATTTTCACCAGGCTTCAGACTAACTTTTTTTTTTTAACTATCCTGGACCTGTGCTGAAATACAAATCATACTGAAAAAGTTCTAAAGGAGAGTTGTTGGTAAATATAATAAAATTGCCATTAAAATGTGTAGGAAATAATTCTTTTGATTCATTCAATCTTTAATCATTTATTTGTTTTTAATGCAAGCAAGAGAAACAAAGGAAAGCATCACATAACTTGAAATTTAAAACCTGCCTGAAAAGGGATGGGCTCCGTCAGGCAATCTTGTCACAACCTACCACTGCTTCTATGGCTGAACTATATTTAGTGCCCTTATGATCCCAATAGGTTACAGAACTGTTGGGGCGCACCCACCTTCTAACTAGTAATGGACTGGTCCCTCTTATATAAGTCAGCTCTGGAGAGAGAGTGGGAGAGCGTCAGAGAGAGCGTCAGCGTTAGCAGTCCAGATAAGCTTACCCGGTACATACCATTGGACTATAGACTTTGGATAATGTTTCGTACTAACCAACCTTCGTTCTACTAATCACTCTATTGTTAATTGCTTTTATGAATATACCAGTATTTTTCTCTACAACTGTGGTTGTCTTGATTCATACACCGACACGCGGGAAACTCACAACATCTCAACAAGGACATAATGATGAACTTTCCTCATCTAGATTATTCTAATATTGTCTCGGATTTCTAATTTATTCCAGTTTTATTTCAGAACTGATGGATTGGTTTTCAAATATACCAATGTTGTTGGCTACAATTATTATCTTCATATTTCACAATTTTCCCTGTCAGTCTTCATAGAAAAATATTATCTCACTTTATTTATTAATGAAACATTAGTTCTTACAGTTAGATACCAATACTCTTCACATTTATAGATAAATAATAGAAATACCATAAATTGCAGCATACAAGTCAACCTTAAGATTTTTAGTTTACAATTTTGAGTTGGGCCTATACCTACCATATAGATTGACCCCCAAACATACAGTAGGCTACCAGTGGCCCAATATTTAGGCCCATCAGTAAATGAAATTAGGCTACAGTATAACCTGCACCCAAACTAGATAATGTCACACCACTTACCTGTATATTGAAACACTAACCATGATATCTTTCTATATGCGTTGTGTAGCAAACAACTTGTAGGTACCATATATTGTATTGGTATAACTTTGCAGGCATTTAAAATTTGTTAGGTTTATTGATAAACACATTAAAGTCAACATCAACTCCTATAAAATATTAATACTATAGATTACATATTACACCAGGTAGTTTTATTATGATACTGCTACGTATTGTATGCTACTGTAAAACACAGTATCACTCATCTGCCATTTGCATCAGCTATGTAAACAAATAACCAGTGAGGCCACCAACCTCATGCGGCGAACTGCAAAACTGTGGGTCCGTTATACTATCAACTCTCATCCTCTGAATAAATACTGAATTTGTGTTATTATTTTATATTTCTGTGTTAATATGCCAAATATGTTCCCCAAACACAATTTTTAGTGGGATATATGTCAGTCTGTTGGAGGTAAGTTGTGTACAGTAATTGTTAGTAGTGCTGTCTCACTTGTTTACAACTCGTTGGTAAAGGTTTGCATTTTATACCCGCCATATAAGTTGACCTCTAGTTTCAGAAATATTCTTTTTAAAGGCTTGAACACTCGACTTTTATGCCGCAATTTATGGTATCTAAATTTAAGTCCTTCAGCCTTCATTTTTCATTCACGTTTCCTTCAACAGTTTAAAAAGAAGTGCCTAAGTTTTTATTTAATTTTTTGTGTGTATGTGTGCATCATTTATTAAGATCCTGTGATTTGTTGAGGAGAAGAGAGCATTTTTATTTTATTTTAAATTAGTTACTTTTAGAATAAATATAATTGAATTTTGTATTTTCCTGTCATCGTCCTGTAAAATCTAATCAGTCATCATCGTCCCTAACACAGTTTTAATTTCAATCCCTGATTTCTACTCCACATTGCTTCACGACAACTATAGAGTAATGGGCTGAAATTTGCAATAAAATGCAACTGAAATAAAAGAAATCTATTGAAAAACTTCCTAATGTAAAAATCTTGTTTGGACCTGTAGAGTCACTTATCTCCCTTTGGTAGAGATAAGTCATATGGTCACATGATGGCCACTTCATGAGGTCACTTTATACAGTGACCCAAAGTGGCAGTTTTTCAGTTCGTGTACAACAACAAAAGGACAATTTTGATTTCTTCCAGCCTGGGCTGAAGCTAAATCTGTCTCCCCCAACAGTATACAAGCACATGGTGCCATTTCCCTTTAGGATATAGGTGAATCCGACCCGTCTAAATCTGGAGTACTAAGTGTCTCCAAATTATATGTCAGACCTTTCCTTTTAGTTCCTCCTTACACTTTGCCATGTAGATATATGTGATATATAGTTCTCCATGTGTGTATGTTATATATTGTTTGTTATGTGTGTATGTTATATATTGTTTGTTATATGTGTATGTTATATATTGTGTGTTATGTGTGTATGTTATATATTATACCTATGAACACTAATGGGTATGTCCCAATCCTCATAAATACATTGGACACTATTGTAAGAGTGTGTAATATACTGTTTAAGTAGTCCACCACTAACAGTGGTTTACCTACGCCAAGCTGCTGGTGAGTATAGTATTTTGTTGATGTTATAAAGATTACCATTTCATTTCCAACGTCCGTTTTGGTTATTCCTCATTCAGTAACCCTTCCTATTATAATGGGAGAAATGTAAAAGGGAGAATTATCCTTTCTTCTAATCGCTCTTGTTAAAAACCCATTTAACATTTCTTGTTTGATATTTTTTTTTTTTTTTATTCAGAGGATAGCCACGGATATTTTGTCTAGCACAAATGATAACAGGAACATGACAGAATTGGGTTTGCTCTTGGAGATAATAACTGTTTATTGCAATCACCTTCCACCTGGACAAGTTTATAACTCAGTTCTTCAATGGGTACAGAATGTGTGTGAAGATGAAAAAATAGGTAAGATCAGAGTGTTATATTAAGCGTATGGTGGCAGAACAAAGAAGAAACAATGGAGGTTTAAGGAAATAAACAATTGTATAAGCATAAAATACAAAAAATGATAAATCGGTATAAATGTCTTTCATAGAAAGAAGGAGAGAAGTGGTGTTGTAAAAGACATCTGCAGAGATATACGGTAGAAGAGAGAGGGTGAGTTGTGACTTACCACAGGGACAACCTTTGGTGAGTTGTCTTTTGGAGATGGGAGGTCACACTCCAACGAGCATTGTAAATCCAGGCTAAGATGTCGTCTGGCTGCTGGAAATGTCGCTTTGATTGGTTTTTATGCCCTTTCTTAGGGTCAAATTGGGTCTGATTTTTATTTTGTTTCTTTACGTGGAGTTGGTGCAATTGGGTGGAAATTCTCAATTGTATTGCTTTTTTTTTTTTGAGCGTGTGAGTAAAAATGGAAGGTATGTGTGGAGCCTATGTGCAGTTGAATGGAATTTTAGTTTAGTCTTGGGTTCCAGAGCGTTCACATCTGGCCAGTGCTGGAAATTAGTGTAGCATGAATCAGAAGAAGATTTGGTTTTAGGAAGAACGTAACAAGAGTTTCATTATTCAATTTTTATAAATACCAGAAAATAATTCTTCCATTATTCAAGGGGAAACTCTTGTCTCAATTTTCTTGTGACTCTTATTTCTAAGCATCTCTCAAAAGATATAATTAACATTTCCGCTGTTGTGGATCTACTTGTACATCTGGATGAAACTCACATCGCCTACTGTTGATATATGTATATCAGTCCTTTCCCAAGCCAACATAAATGACTATATGTTAAAAAATTAAATGAAAATAGTTAAATCCATAATGTTCTATTATTTAAGATATATAATACATAAATTAATCCCAAGCTAAAATAATATTAATTACAATATATAAAAAAAAAAAATTTACTCACTTTTGTTTATTAAACATTAAATCCTCTATAATTTACCTTGACTTTCAGTTAGTCAGATGTATATTTATGAGTATTCTTAAATTTAAAAATTTGGAAAAAGTAACTTTTTTTACTTTTGTTTATAAATACTTGTTGCAAAATAAAGTCCTTACATTTACCTTGATAGAGTCCATCAGAAGATGAACACGTTGACTAAGATAAGTTTTTCTTTTGTCTTTATTCATATACCGACATAATGTGGCTTCCCTCGGTCTTTTCTACAAATATTTTCATGGCAATTGTTCTGATGAGCTTTCTTCTCGGGTGCCTCAGATTAATGTGTTTTACGAGATTGGCATCTCGGGCCCCACCCTTTTACTGTTGAAATAATTAAATGCAACTGCCACTTCTACTCCAACATTTTCTTTTCTTGCACTTATTACCTTTTGAACTCTCTTCCAATTTCTTGCTTCACAGATGACTACAATCTTCAGAAAATTTCAATGCAACATCAATAGCCATCTTCTGTCTTCTTGAACACGGTTGCTTTATTGTTCTTTCCTTAGTCCTACCCACTAAAATATTCTCATTTAACAACAACTGAAATGAATAGCACATATAACTCAAAGAAAAAATTACTGGTATAATCAAGATTTTAACCTTCCACACTACTTCAAATAGGTTTTGGAATAGGTTTGGAAGGAAACTCCCATCAATACTGGAAAGAACGATAAAAGCTACTGGACTTGAGAAACCTGTTTTCTTAAAAAAAATGTTCTAAGAGAAAGATTTCATATATTTCAGGAGCAAATAGTACTGACTGCTTGGTCAATGAATGCCAAATATTTCCTTATAGGGAAACGGCTAATATTACCATTACAATTCTCTTTCCCTTCCTGTAAACCTATACGTTCTAGTGTTGTTATCACTTTGCTTGGGGTCAAACAATTAAAAAAAAGAATATATCACTTCTTTGAAGAGGAAGACCATATCTTGGTAGCTTTTTTTGTGTTTTTTTATTCAGAATTTATTATTTCTATCATTTTTACCCAAGCTAACACTCTGCTATGTGCTCGTAAGTGATTCTTAAGGCCAGCTTCACTGTTACAACCTTTCTTACACATGTGTTAAACATGAAGTTCGTCTGTGTTACCTATATTGGAAACTTAACTTTCCTTGTGTACAATCATGTGATGTTTAAGTCCCGCAACATACTTACAAACCTTGTCAAAAACTTGTACAAGTAACCTGCAGGCCCTTCTGGTGGGGTTTCATTCACAGGAGTTTGCACCTGACCTCTCTGGTGTTATCTCATGTGACTGGCTAAACCAGTGACAAAAGGTTGACTTTTCTACAAATATTGCAATTGATTTTCTAATAGCACTCTGGGACAGATTCTATTTCTCCCTAATGGCACACTTTTTGTTGGATTGCTCAATTCTCTTCTGCTCAAAATTGTTGCAGCATTCCCAGATCAACTTTCTCCAGAGATAGTTTCCAAGTCTTCAACATTCATGCCAAGTGTCTTTAGGTTCCATTTAACTACATCATTGAAACGTTTCTTGGCTCAATGGCTCAATTACCTTATACCAACTCACCATAAAAAAGTCTTTTAAGCAATATGCCATCCTCTATAAATGTCAGATAACCTATTCAGTGCATATTATTATGAAGTAGTAGTTTCTCTTTGTTTGCATACTAAAGGCCTTTTGTCTCTGGTGTACAAGACTGCCAACTGATGTCCAAGATTCATCTCAGGCACTTCTGGTGAAAATGTTCTAAGATCTTGATGTGCCTTCGATAGGTGGTTTATGCTTCAGAAGAATATAAAACAGTGGCTAGAACTTTGCTTTGTAGATGCTGATCTTTGTGCTTGAGGAGATGTTACGATCAGCTCATACTTTTCAAGTTTTCTGAACACTTGACTTGCTCATTCAATGAGGTAATTCTTTTTTGTATACAGTGAAGCATCCATAGAGTGTGCACTGCTTAAGTATACAAAAGTGTCCACTATGTCCAGCCTGGATCCACTTACAGAAATGTTAGGCTCTCTGTAAGGCAGCCTAGGTGGAGACATGTACATGACCTTTGTCTTTTTCAAACTCAAAAGCTGTATAAGTCCTCAGTATATACTGAGTGTAGTAGCAATATTGTTCAAATCATGTAACAGCATAATTGTCCATCCCACAAAATGTTTAATATCTAAAAAAAAATACTAAACTAATTGAGTTTCTTTTTTGAGGTTTTCAAATAAGATGTTCAGCCATCTTAACACCATTTGTTGTAATAATCACAGAAAAACCCTTTGAGTTATTCAGCTTGATAGAGAAAAAGTTAGAATTCCTTTTGTGTCAGCCCCCACTATGTCTTCCCAACTAAGGAAGGGTGAGAGAAAAACCTTCAGTAATGGTACCAGCATTCATACTCTGGCTTCCATCTTCAAAGTCCATTTAAAAACCATCAAGAGAACAGTAAATAAGTTTAAAAAAGAGGGAACAGTAGAAAGGAAAGTTGGATCAGGAGGTCACAATGGCAAGAGGGATCATCATTTCAACTTTGAGCTAAATACATTATTATTGTTCAAAGTAGAGTCTAATAGTTTTATAAAAGTCTTGGAGAATTCCTGTAAGATATCTTTAATCATTTCTATGATACAATGGTTCAAAGTTTAATCAAACAATTGGACAATTTTGCTGTTACACCCTGTGTGTGGGTGTGTGTGTGTGTATATATATATATATATATATATATATATATATATATATATTATTTATATATTTATATTTATATATATATTATATATATTTATTTATTTATATATATTTATTTATTTATATATATATATATATATATATATATATATATTTATTTATATTTATATATATATATATATAATATAATTATATGAAAAAATTAGGGTTTTCACAAAAAATCTGGGTGTACACCATACTTGAAGTAGGCTTATACATGAGAATAAACAGTACACAGAAAAAAAAACAACCACAACTTCAATCTAAAGAACGCTACACTTACTAGAAAAAATAACTTACTTAGATGGAAATTACTTGATAGTGCAGCTATTGAACTTTGCGGAAATGTTAACTTGCGCCCCGGATTTTTCAAATATCTCCTTTCCTAAAAGAATTCTTTTTTCAAACTACAATACATGACAATAAAATTTTTTGAAAATTAAAAGTAAATGGTTAAATCAAAGCCTTCTGTTATTTAAAATAAAGAATTTATCAAATTAAAATAATAAATAATAATTACATTAATAAGTAAATTAATATATATATATATATATATATATATATATATAATAAATTAATTGATTTAAAATATGTTTTTTTTTCCCGCTACACAGTTCTAACCATGTTTCAAAAATGGAAGCTAAAAGCCACGAATTTAATTTTGCAATTAAATTAAAGACATTAGTTCCATTTCATCCTCAAGCAAATTTTGGAGTAACTTTTAAAATTACTGGTTTTAAAAACACAGCTAAAATCCCGTTTCCATGGTTACAGATAAATCTACTTCAATTGGACAAGGGTTGTCTGGGTTTTCCTTATGTCTGTATTATTGTATCGGTTATTAGCTACATTTTGGTAAGGGGTAGGGATGTATTTTCAATGAGAACTGACATCCGTTGAATGCATGTCGTCTGGATTTTTTAAAATTTATTGTTAACGGCAAAAAAAAATTTCACATTTTTTTCCTATTTGTAAATTTAAAGATTTTCCATATGTTCAGATTAGGATACTTTTTTTTTTTTATTTAACTGACGATTTGAAATATTCTCATTTTAATTTTTATTATACTATATTTTTTTATGAACAGTTAAATGTATTAGAATCCCATATATTATGTAGGATTATTTTTTACAAGTATAAGTATGTATATTAGGGTAAATTTTTTTTTTTTAAGTAAAATTTATGACAATGACGCAAAAATAGTTACTTGATTTACTGATTTAGTAAACTTTTATTTTTTTATATATATAAACCTAGTAATATATTGTTTCTCATGTAAGTACAAAGGACATGGGTCATTCATAAGCTTATATCTTCTGGCATTTCATATTAATTTTATTTTACTATAAAAAAAAAAAAATGTCTATTGGAATAACAGTGAAAATATTTTAAAGTTGTATTTAAAATTGTAGTTAAAACGAATTCTAACCTAAGCATCTTTTAAAAATTGCAGTTAAATAAAATGTATGCTAACCTAAACACCTCTAACAAAAAGTACTACCGAAATATTTTAATGAATCCAATAAAACACCTACCACAAAAATGAAATTATAACGAAAATCTAGATGATGTAGGCCTGTGAAAAGACCCATGTCCTTTGTACATACATATGAAAATACTTTATTACTTAGTTTATATATATTTAAAATAAATAAATAAATTAATTAATAAATAAAGTTTACTAAATCTGAGAAATGAATTAGATATTTTTCCAGTAAGTGCCATAAATATTAATTAAATAATATTTAAATATAAAAGTTTAAAAATCGTAATATACATATACTTTGATATGGAAAAATAATTTTACTTACTATAAGTAATTTCAAATACATTTCCTTCTGTTATAAAGTAATATAGTCTATTAAAAATAACAATGAAAATATTTTAAAGTTGTAATTAAAATTGTAGTTAAATAAAATGAATTTTAACCTAAACTTCTTTTACTTAGTACTACACACACTTAAAAGAATCCAATAAAACACCTATAGTAAAAAAAAATTAATATGAAATTCCAGAAGATGTAAGCTTATGAACGACCCATGTCCTTTGTACTTACATGAGAAACAATATATTACTAGGTTTATATATAAAAAATAAAAAGTTTACTAAATCAGTAAATTAAGTAACTATTTTTTTATCATTGTCATAAAATTTACTTAAAAAAAATGTAAATTTAATATACATACTTATACTTGTTGTAAAAATAATCCTACATAATATAAGGGATTCTAATACATTTAACTGTTCATAAAAAAAATATCGTATAATAAAAATTAAAAATGAGAATATTTCAAATTGTAGTTAAATAAAAGTATCCTAATCTGAACACCCCCGAAAATCTTTAAATTTACAAATAGGAAAAAAATGCCGTAAGAATTTTTTTGCTGTTAACAATAAATTTAAAAAAATCCAGACGACATGCATTCAACGGATGTCAGTTCTCATTGAAAAATACATCCCTACCCCTTACCAAAATGTAGCTAATAACCGATACAATGATACAAACATAAGGAAAACCCAGACAACCCTTGTCCAATTGAAGTAGATTTATCTGTAACCATGGAAACGGGATTTAAAACCCAATAATTTTAAAAGTTACTCCAAAATTCGCTTGAGGATGAAATGGAACTAATGTCTTTAATTTAATTGCAAAATTAAATTCATGGCTTTTAGCTTCCATTTTTGAAACGTGGTTAGAACTGTGTAGCGGAAAAAAAAACGTATTTTAAATCAATTAATTTATAATATTAATGCTCTGTAAATTTACATTGAGCACTATTTTGTAAAAATAAAAATATCTATAAGAACACTGGATTATATATCTTACTGTTCTTTCTTTTTATTTAAATATATATATATATATATATATATAAGAAAATTTTAAAAAATGATCACTTTTGTTTATCAGGCATGAAATTACATCACTTTGCATTTTCCATAGCTTACCTTGGATTTCGCAGTTAGTCTTATGAATATTTTTATCATTCTTAAATTTAAAAATGTTATTTTTACTTTTCTTTATTACTACATGTTGCAAAATAAGATCTTTACATTTACCATGATAAAAATCATCAGAGGAAGAAACTCGGTAAAAAAAAATTTTTGTTCTGTCTTTTTAAAAAGATATTTTATTTATATCTGAATTCTTACATGCCCTCACATATACATATGCTGATAAAGTGTTAGATATTTTGTTTTATTGTCTTTGTTTTTTTCAGAGCATATTGCTGTCTGTAAACTGCTTCTTAGTCTTTTGTTAAAGATGACTCGTAAAATTGGCAGCACAATGAACCTAGTAAAGGAGATGTGTCGTGATATACACAGTCAATTGGAGGATATTGACAAGGTAGGTAACTCTGTTTTTAGCACAATTTTTTATAGGAGTTGATCAAGACACAGAATAATGTAAGCAACAATTTCATTATGGAAATTGTTTTTCCTCAACTTGAGTTTGTATTACTTTTCAAATAAACGTGCAGTAATAAAATGCTTGATTTATAGTAACAAGACTTATGTAATATTCTGAAGAAATGTGGCATTTGTAATGAAAGAGGATTACAAATTATAAAGAATAAAACCATATTTCTTTTCCTTTCAACTACAAGATGCCTTAGTAACAAAACAGTCTTCTTACTCCAGGTAATTGCCAATTCATTAGAAAACTGTCAAGGAATTTAAATAAAAGATTATGTGAACACATAAGGGATCTTTTACAGCACAACACGTTCAATGCATTAGTTTTTCACCATAATTAGTCTGACTATAATTTAAATCAAGTTACTAAGACAAAAGTGTATAGAAAGTGCCTTAATCACTAGATCATCCACAGTAAATTTTTGCATTCAGATTCTTACAACATCTCATCATCTTTGGCAGATCTTTTATCATCACATTGTGGGATACTTAACAAAAGTGATAAAAATATAAACAAAAAGAAAAAATAACCAAATGAAATTGGCCAGACTATATATCTAAGCAATCATTTTTTTTAATTTTTTTTTACTCAAACCTAATCTGTTATTCTTTTTCTTAATCTTTTAATATCTGAAAACATGTGCCAAATTTGGTATTTTTCAGGAATTGGAAGTGGAAGACAGTAGCCATTATGGCTTAATATCTTCAACCACATCCTGTGCAGTATTGACAATTCTTTTGTCACATATTTCTTCAGAACTTGATGAAGCCTCTTGGGTCATTGAACATATCAAGGGAGAATTACAGAGTCCAAAGGATGTTGATATAAGTAAGAAAGTTGATAGCTTTTTATTGTCTTATATATGTTATTACTTGATGAGTTTTCCCTGTAAAAACCTGCTACACAAACCACATTAGCACCTAATGTAGTGAGGCTATGACCCTTACAACCCAGTAAAGGAAAAACTGACTGGTCACATTCAATACAACAAAAATGAAACTAGTGATCATCACCAAGTGAACCCTGAATTTTTGTCTATTGCAGTGAACAGGTGTACTCTCAGGAGACCCTGTCCCTTGAGTACCTATTAAGACTTAAGCTCACCCAAGACCTCAAGTGGAGATCGTACATATTATCCATCACGAAAGAGGCTGGACAAAATAATCAATTCCCTGTATGGCACCAATATGTACCTAATTCTTACTATCCTGTACTTTTACAAGAGCCAGATCAAGCCGTAAATGGAGTATTACTGCCATACATAGGCCAGAGCTACCCTATCTTCGGTTTTCAGTCTTGATAGAGTTCAAAAGTGTCCTGTGAGTAATGAATTGTTTTCCACCTTACAACCACTTTCTTACAGATGAAATGTTGAAAGCCTCTCACTACTTCCATGGAAAGTTTTCAGATGGACTACATTCCTTAGTTCCACCAGTCCTAAATTTCACAGCTAAGACCTGCTATGCACATTGTGACAAACAACCCTCATTTCTTTTGTATTTCATTGGTGAGATGTAAGGTCCACTTGAACAGTTTCTTCCCATGAACCACTATTTTATGAAACCAACTCCCAAGAGGATGCTTCTCTGATCACTACAATCTTAACCTGTTTAAGTCTAGGATTAACCATTATCCCCACTCTGACTTTTATCTCTTACCCTGTAGGCTTAAGGCTATATAGAAGCATTCCTATTTTCCCTCTTGGGTGGGTGTTTCTATATTTGGCTTACGGCCTCATCACATTGAAGCACCAGTTTCTGTACAAATGCTGAATCTAAGTAATGTTGAGCCTGGTCCAGTACAAAGATGGTTTACCACTTGGGAATACCAGGTGCTGTAAGCTTGGATGTGTAGATGGTGTAATGGATAATGACTGAATCATTAATCACAGAGCCGAGTTCCAATTCCTTTTGTATTTGTTATATTCACTTATGTGCAAATTCCCTTGGGAAAAGAATACACTTTTTCTCTGCCCAGCGATGGGTTAATTCATTAGAATTGTATCACTAAACCATTTTTAACTCCAAAAAGAAATTCTTATAATCTAAAAAAAATTTTTTTCTGGCTTTAAGTAACCTGCAAAAGATTGATAAGCTGCAAAAAATGAATCCATCAAATTGTGATAGGACATTTTAATTCACCAAGACAATATATGTATATGTTAACACTTCTAATTAAGATCAAGGATCATGCTTTGTGTGCTACAGGTAATTCTTATTATGATATTGTTATTGCAATCACTTTCACTTTGACTTATACTTCTTTTCAACTTTAGGTGCCAGTCTCCATTTACCCACCCAGCAGACAACAGTTCTCCAGTCATTATCCACAGTGTTTGCTTCTTTAGTAGCTGGCTTCCATGAACTTGCACAGACAGCTTTGCCAAATTGGTCAATTGTGGAACTTCTTCTGAAACAACTCACCAACTTCTACAACACTGTTTCAGGATTCATTAAATATGTAAGCAGTTACACAAATTCAAATTGGATTCTGTTAGTGATGAATCATATGAAGTGAAATGTGTTTACATGTTATTTTCATCATCGGATATGATTAAATTTTAATATTATGAGTTACTGACTTTGTTCAGTGGTTTGTTAGATACAGTTGGCAAAAAAAGTTTTTATTTATTTGAAACATTTTAAAGAATCAGTGGATTTTAATCTGCCATTTTTATTACTTCAGATGTTATTATAGTGGATGCTTGTTTATATATATATATATATATATATATATATATATATATATTATATTGAAACAGATGTGTACAGGCTATAGCTGATAAGTAATAAACATAGTTTAAAATAAAAATCAGAGGTCTATTTCACACATTAGTATCCACTTTAATAATGTTTAAAAAGTAATATAAGAGAAAACAAAATCTTTAACAATTTTGTCAAATCTATCATATATATATATATACATATATATATATATATATATATATATATATATATGGTGCACTGGATAAATTACACAAAAATGAAATTATCACTGACAGCTTATTTTAACAAATATTTATCAAAATTACACAAAAATATCTTGAAATACTAAAGAAATAACATTGCCATTGGCTTCAACCATGGCACCCAGGCAACTTTGGAATCTCCTGCAACTCTTCTGGACAATCTTCTTGTTTAAGTTCGTGAATGGTGCCATAATCCTTGCTGTCGGGTCATCTTTGTTGTTACAAGGAGTTTTGTTGGTCTCTCACTCAACTGCACCTAACACATAATAATCAAACAGTCTGAGGAATTAGGTGGCCAGATGTAAAAGGTAATGTAGTCGCAGAAATTGTTTAACATCCATTACTGAGTTCTCCTGCTTGTGTGGCATGTGACAAAGTCCTGTTGCCAGACATAGGGTCTTCCAGCAGCACTACCTCTTCAAGGCACTTGATGTAGGCCTCCGTATTGAGTTTGATGCTCTCACCAACAAATTTGGCAGTTCTTTTCTTATCAGAATGATCAGAGTAAGTTTTCTGATCTGCCGTACCATCATAATCATCATTAGATTCATCCAACTCTTTCTGAATCCTCTGCACTGTCCTCAGACTGATACCCAAACACTCTGAAATGTTCATGTTGGAACATTTGGTGTGAATGCCAAGCAGTACAGCATGCCATTCACAAAATTCTAACAAAGTGAATTGCATCATGGTGCTCATTTCCTCACAGATGCTTCTCAACTGATCCTACTATACTGAGCAGTTGACAAAATCAAAAACAAACAATGCACATGCAAAAAAGTAAAAATGGTGACAATTTACTCATTGTACCCTATATATATATATATATCATAATGATGTCCACTCTGTATATGGTCTAAGAGCTAGTCGAAATAGAGGGTTACAAAGTAAAAGGTAAATGGGGATAATTTTTTTTTTGTTGAGGCAGGACCAGGATTAGTCCTGCACAATACAAGGTGGCTACTGCCTGACAAAGGTTCAGAGCAAGGTTACACATTGTGTAGTGATATCTAAATGACTACCAAGTTAGCATAGCCAATGCAAAAGCCTATATAAATGCCCAAGAAATACGGCTTAGAGCAGCTCTCAGTATGGGCTATAAATAACTACTATTTGACTAATAAAATATGAAAACACATTTCATAATGTATATATTTGAAAGGATTTTTTATCCAACATCAATTCTTATTTTGATAAACATTAGTGAGTTGCTATCCTTATTCTGATTTTATTAAACAGTGAAATTAATAACAACCTCAAACACGTGTACCCAGTAATAATGTTTATGGTTATATATATCTATATATATATATTAAGCAAAATCTTAGATGAAATTAAATATACCTTAAAAAAAATCTTTCTAAGAGAACCCTACTATACACTTTAGTGGTTCCAATCTCATTGGAATGACTGCTAAATACATTCCTTCCCCAAATTTATAGACAAATCTTACAGACAGTGACGGCCCTAGGGTTATTGCCACCCTAGGCAAACGGAACTGAACAAGTATAATTTTTTTAAATTTTCACAAGGAGAAAAACAGAAGATGTAGAATAGTGACTTTAGTGCAATATAAAACTTAATACAAGCTAAAGAAAACATTCATTACCTATCTAAAAAATTTGTCTAGCCTTTAGATCTGCAAATATTTTCATGGCACTTTCTACACCTTTCTTCTTTACAAAATCCTCTTCTATTGACAAAATTGACAAAGAATTTAATGTCTTGAGCCATGAATAGATGCATATTGGGATTCGTTCCTCTACTAATAAAAATGGTCAGTTTCATCTCCCATATTTTTGTTCCTTCTTGTCTTGAAGTCAGAAGGCTACAATCACTTGACTGTATCCCTTTTGCATGTGAACATAATTTTTACTTTATGAAATATTTTCCGTCTTACTGTTGCTTTGCCTAGTCTTCACTTGAATATATATTGTTTGTTTAGTTTTATTTTGCCTTTTTTTTTTCTTCCTTTTTGAATTGTTTATTGAGAACTTAGGCAATTCTGTTTGTTGAGCTTTTTGCCAATTATAATTAACAATTGCAGTTACTGCACACTACCTCACATTCCTTGTGTAAGGATTGCACCGCCTATGTTAAAAATTGCAATGGTAAATGGAGCAGATTTAATGTACGCAACAGTGTTAATTTTGAGTTTATTTTTATTTTATTACATCTTTTTGCATTATAGTAATCACCAGAAGTAAGCTTTAGTGGAAACAGTAAAGTGGTAGTTACCGGGTCAGATTGCATGTTTTTATTCCATTCACATATAATTGAATCTTTAGTATGTGTAAATATGCAAACAGGTAAAAAGATAAAAAATTGTGTTTATAAAATATTCAGATTTGTCCTAAAAAGAACAAAATCAGTTGATTATATGTTAACTAGCCCTATACCTACTCTGAGTTCTTAGTACAGTGAATTATGAATTCATAGCACCCTTGTTAGTTCCACTGTAATGGGATGACTGCTAAAAAAATCCGTGGCTAAATTTATCGACAAATTTCACAGATGTATGATGGATTTTCTTCATAACTAATAAAACGTCCACCATATTTTTTTATTTCTTGAAATCAGAACGCCATAATCACTTGATTGTATCACTTTTGCATGTGAACACAATTCTTACTTTGTGAATATTTTGCCTTCTTACTCTTGCTTTACCTAGTTTTACATATTGAATATATATTGTTTGCTTAGTATTATTTTGCCCTGTTCTTTTTCTTTTTTTTTTCTTATTGTTTATTGAGAACTTTGTCAATTCTGCTTGTTGAGAATTGCTCCGGAGTTATGAACTTAATGTCAATAACAGAATCCTGTTCTTCACTGTTTTGGTCAACTCGGTTGCAATTTCACTATTTTCATTATATGAAAATGATATGAAGATAGTATCAGCTGTTGGTACAGGAAGTGAAATTAGTGAGCAGAGTTCAAATATTGTGCTAATCTTGCATTAATTTTTACACAAATGCCCTTGGGTGGGGAAAACCAAAAACATTGACTCTTCTCCCACCAACAATGGGTTAAATAGCAAGATAGACCAAGCTATTTAGATTTGGGTGGCAATCAGTCTGAGAGAAGGAAAACTCTGAATTCAAAACTTGTGTGGAAGGTAATGAAAAACCACTCCACTATGTTTCCCACAAATTCATGGCAATTTGCTTTGCTTACTTGCTTATCCAGAGCTTTGATTATACTGCTGTGGGTTTCTCTAGTGACTGGGGTAGGCAGCAGTCGGCTAGCTCCCAAGGGAACTAGCCATATTAACTAGAAATGCCGTAATCGGTTTGTACATATGTATAATCAAAAACAGTCGTTTTTTTTATTTTATTTTTATTTTATTTTTTACACGGTTCGTTTGTCAGCCATTGTAAATAATACATACGAACCTTCAAAGGAAAGGAGGAAGGAAAGAGTTTTCGTTTCATTCTATATCTTATTCTACTTATTTCTCTTTATTTACTTATCTTTTTTTTTCTTTTTTTTTTTTTTTTTTTTGTTATTTATTTTCACTTTGGCGTAAATGTTGAATTTTTTTTTTTTCCGCATAACCATTATCCTGTTACCCCAGTTATTAATTATAAAATTAAGTTTATGTTTTTCATTAGAAACGAAACGAAACGAGAAGGGGGGTAAAAGAAAAAAAAAAAACAAACTATTGGTGAGAAATTTGTGATCAATCATGCTTTGCATAAAGTCAAATAGTTGGGGAGAAAGAAAAAGGAAAACAGAAAATAACGTCAATTGGAAGTCAAAACTCAGGAGATTTCTAATCAGTAATAAAGGACGAAAATGGGGGAAAAGACTATTGAAAATAGACCTCTTTTGAACGTTACGATGTTATGCAATTATTCTAGATGCTGTTGTCCACACATGGTGGATCTTCCACCAAACCACTATGGAAACTGTACTAGGACATCCGTTTGTTGAAGACTGCCACTGAAGCCTACTGCCACCTAGGTTGGGGCAAGATTTATTTTTACTATAAAAATCCATTTCCACACCTTCACAGTGCTTGACCCAAGTTTGGGGGTTAGCTATTTGCCCATAGCTGGGACCCTAACAAGTGCTACCACCCCAGGTGTTAGTGGACCTGGGAACAACAGAAATAAAAACCTCCAATCTCCCAAACAAATGCCTTGCTATCAGAGGCAGTTTATCATCATACCCAAGACTAACAATTCACAGATAATATAATGAATCTGTGGACAATCATTATCACCTATGTCCTGAAATATTAAAGACTCAGTGGCAAAAGCATGTCAGTACAGATGCAAAAGAGGCCCTGAGTTGCATGCAGACATGTCTGTTGAAGCTAGTTACATCCGGGTTTTCCCTGTTAGTAGCAGAACAGTTTGGCATGTCCAGACCCAGGCCTCTCTGCAACTTTCCCATGTCTGGGTCTTTGTCAGCTGTCTCATGTCAATAAAAGCACCGAGAAAACCAGCAGTTAGAAGTTGCCAGGTCTCGTTTTGCTACTGTCAGAGATTCAGTCTCTTTTGAAGATATTCCCTTGGTGCATTTTATCCCAGAAGTTGCATAGCGCCTGCCATGCTGTGGCTTCTGAGACAATGACCTTACTAGTCATTACTCAGTTTTATTTTATTTCCTCCCATCTCTTTCCATTCTCTTCCATTTAGCTGTTTCGACATTGAAAGAGTGAGACTGAGATGCCAACCTAGTAGCAAGCTTAAATTCATGCAGTTTAGAAACCAATGAAAGTAGCTCAGTTGCCATGAAAATACTTGTAGAAAAGACAGAGGGAAGCCATAGTACGTCTGTGAAAAGTGACTAGACAAAATGCCAGATCAGGACCAATCATATTGCATATCCGTCTCTATAGTAAAAAAGACAAAATTTACTAAGAAATACAAAAGAGAGGAAATTATAGAGAACCATGATCACTCATGTTCTGAATGTGGAACTTCACTTATTTCTCAAACATATTTTAGTGGAAAATAAAATCCCATTCTTATCTTGTTTATTATGTATTGTATTATTTCCTGTTGCCTCACTTCACATTTAATTATTTTGTTTCTTTATTCAAATAAATTATTCTTCTGTTTCAGTTTCTTCAAATGTACCTATTAAAAGCAGGTCACCTGGATCAGAGAGTTGAAAAATTGGTGAAGCTTATTGCATTGAGTCTTACACCTCAAGTATATATGTTTCTGACATATATACAGGTAAATATCCAAAATGTGCATTTTCACACTTACAAATAAGCAATAACATAACCGTAAAAAACATTTTTGATGAACTTGGACCTTCCTGCTCACAAAAAAATGGAGTGTCAAGAGGATGGTTTTTCCCTTGACATGGCTGTTATTTTAATTACTTTTACTCCCTTGGCAATGTTTATTGTTTTAAAAATTGATGATTAGAATTGGAATAAAGCCTAAACATATGATCAAAGTGAATTTATGCATTTTTTTTTTGTTCTTGAGAATTTAAAAGAAAAATATTAAACACTATTTATTTATTAGATTGTTTATTTACAGGAATAATTTATATTTACAACATTGTAAAAACTAATACAATTAAAACTAATTCAATGCAATATTTATCATTTTCCAATTTATAAAGAAATGAATAAGAGAACAATTTTTTATTCATAAATTTATAAACATTTACTAAATTATTAAAATATGTGAACCAACTATAAGGAAATCCTTATTATTTACCATTTTATAAAGTTCAAATCAACTGGCAACTAGCCAATGTTTTGCCAACAGTTACAATAAATTATTTTTGTTGTTAGTTACCAAGAATAAAAAAAATGTATAAATTCCCTTTCATATGTTTAGGTTTTATTACAATTCTAATCATTGCTTTTTAAAACAATAAACATTGCTGAGGACTGAGTAGTGAAAATAATAATGGTGTCAAGAAGAAAACTGTCCTTTTGACACATCATTTTTTTTGCGGGCTCAAAGTTTGCCATATTTTTTTGTATTGTCTTGTGCATAATAGAAATTTTGAATGAAAATCAAAGGCAAAAAAGTGGTTTTCAGAAATTTTTACTCAGCTTTAAAAAAACTCTTATTTAAAACAGCCTGATTGTAAATATACTCAGCACAATGGATAATAAAACACAAAGTAGGCAGGTGTAGACAATAATTCTTTACAGAAAGTATTTGATATGTCGGCAATATTTGTTCTTTGAGAATCAGTGTAATTGAATATCTTTTGTCTCAAAAACAGAAAATTCACTGAAATTGGTTAAAAAAAAAAATTAAAAAAGGCAATACACAAGATGTGTCATGTTTTGATAACATTAATGTCACAAAAAAGGCCTGACTATTGTCTGAATGATGGACTTGCATTGATTTTTTTCTGTTTGAAAAATGGGGGCAATAATTTCCATGCTCTGAGATTGTTGTTTCATATTCCTTAGTTTGTGGACACAAAGTATCCAGTTTGAAAACTTCAAATGATTTGAGAATAAAACAATACAAAATAAATATGTAAACAACTCCAACATAATTATATTGCTATATAAATAGTGAACACAGGTTTGGGTAACTTTAAATCATAAAATATTACAATAATTTATGTGGATTTAAAAATATTTAAAATACTATTTACCACCTTTCCCTGAAAATAAGTTTTAAAATGGAAATTAGCTGAAGAAACACGCAATGGCGAAACATCCAGTTCATTTCTATTCTTTGATATTAAAATTAAATATCCTAGTGAAATATATGTACGACATTGAGATTTTAATGAATAATATGATCCAGCTTTTCAAAAAAAATTACATTGGTATGGCTGTACTGTGGGGGTTGTATTATGCTGAAGGATGTAATTTATTCCTTGTTTTTAGCTTCAGAAACATGGGGTCATATTATACTCAAGATGTATTAAACACAAGAAAATATGTTAATTCAAAATATTTCAGCTGTTCTAATTTTTTTTGCTAAATTATAATTTTTTTAAGAGTAAAACTATTTTGCCTCTTGTCAAAGCCTCCTCTACAGAGGAATAAGAAACACTCACCCAATAGAATTGACTTTCTGGGTGAATGCTTGCAGGCAAAAGTGTGGAAGAAAATTATATATAAATTTTTATAGACCAGAACAGTGTTAGGAAAATTAATGACAAAGTGGAAAAAGTTTTTTGTGTGACTACTTCTATTCTTTAGGACATCATCTGATTAAAGTGATGCTTACATTAATTTAACTACACATGTGTACAAAGGGGAAGGTATGCTTAAATTTTAAACTTTTAAATTAAAATATATATATATATATATATATATATATAATCTCCGAATGTAATGAGAATGAAAATAATATAAATTCTAATGTTCACAGCATTAATTCAAAAGAGGGCTCAATACCAAGAGTAAAACAGTAATTATTTATTATAATTTTTACATACAGACAAAACAACTTACTCAGGCAAAGACGCATTTTTTTTCTGATGCAACACATGCATCTCAACTGGTGAGAACCAAAAATGATTACCATTTTTTGTTTTTAAACCAGTTGAGATGCACGTGCATTGAAAAAAAAGAAAATGCATCTTTGTCATGAGTAAGTTGTTTGGTCCGTATGTAAAAATTATTATATATATATTTTTTTTTTAATGTGTTTGGGTATATTGTTGAGACAATTTCACTTATTTACTTTTTGTTTTTATTTATACTTTTATCATTTTTGTTATTAAGTATTCCACACTTTGTGATAATAGATCTACCAAAAAAGGCAAAATGTGAGAACGTGAATGTAAATTTGTAAAACTCTACAAATATTTACCTATAGACTCAAATATATAACCTGACCAGTGCTTACCTATAGACTCAAATATAATGATTTTCCAAGCGTAGCTTAGATGTGGCACAAGGCCAGAAGTATGGGGCACCCAGTGAGGATTGAACTCACTACTCAGCAATTGTTCTAACAAGACATGCTTGCTAACCATTACACTGCCTCGAGGTGCCCCTATAGACTCAAATATATAACCCAACTAGTGCTTACCTATAGACTCAAGTATATAACCCGACCAGTGCTTACCTATAGACTCAAGTATATAACCCGACCAGTGCTTACCTATAGACTGAATACAGTTTTGGTTAATAATAATGTAATAGAGAATACTGTAGTTCAGTGTGGGAATGCTTACAAATTAAACTCTACGCCTTGTGACCCACTTTGTGACAACTCTTTTTATGAACTGATGTTTTCACCCATAGTGGATGAATGAGTTAATGTTCAATAATTAGTGTAGAGAAGGTCGGTCATCTTTTCACACAGCTGTTAAATAACCCAACAATAGTTAATATGTTATAAAATCTGCTAACTCAACCCAAAATTATATTGATATTCTAAGAGTTGTTCAAACAACTGAACTCATTTTTTGTGTTGCCTTTGTTGTTACAACAAAATTTGGACTGATATATTCCACAGCCTTCTTCAGGAGTATAATTTGTAAGGAAAGCAAGCTGATTATTTTATACAGAAATAGATGGCGAACTGAAGACAAATGGCTTACATACAGAATTATTTGATTAGCACACAGGCAATACGATTCTCAGCAGTCTGTGTAACATGGATGATTTCATATACATGAAGATGTTCTGTAATTGCCCCCTCTCCGCTGAGCATAGAACATTACAGATATTAATGTTGATATTGTTTTTAAAAACTCTTTTTTTATTTTTATTTCTATTTTTATGCTTGTAGCATGAAATAAAGGAACCAGTAAAAGCTCCCAAAAAAGACAAGAAAACTGTTCCAAATCCTTCTCGAACCAAAACGGTAAGGAAAGTTTTATCTTTAATTGTGCTGCTTATGTCTTTTTTCTTTTGAAGTAATGCAGGTAATTTAATGCAGAAAATTGATTCTTTTAATTTTGGTGATCAGAATTGACTTGTAACCTCCTGTGTAACAGTTAAGAGTAGAGAGACTGCACCAAAAAAAGAATGTCATTTTTTTTTTTAAATGCTTATTAAATATTTCATATACAGATAAAGATACGGACCGTAATTTCAATCCTAATATATTAATACGGCATAATTGACAATTGGAAAAATTACAATAAAACATGAAGCAGACAGTTGGCTGTATTTAGCCAAATTTGTTTGAATGAATACTTGCTATATTATATAGGTACTGCCAAAGATTTGCAAAATAGCATTACATGATGACAAAATGCTCCAAACTTAATGAAAACAAAGTTTTATTGTTAAAAATCTTTGTTATTATTAAGAGGAAAAACCAAATGATTTTTTGATTATTAAATTATATTATTTTATCCTTGTTAGAACATTCAAAATTTTGGTTAAAGATTTTGTTTTTCTTGCATCAGCAGTGGACATAAATTTGTTTAGGAAATTTTAACATCGTTTTTATGGTGAAAAACACATTGAGTTGAAAATTCTTGCAATAATCAAATAATTGTTGGGTTTTTAATGAAATTTTCAGGACCAATTCACAAATGAATAAAATTATTTTAGAAATGTTTCTTTTTTTAAAAAATCTTGATAAAAACTACTTTTTTACATCTGTTATCCCTCACTTATTTAATTTTAAGAAATTTTGAGAAATTAATTTTTCTATTGCTTAATGTTTATACTAGTTATATGCAAAACTTTTTGGAGAATTTAAATCATCAATTTTTTTTTTGTAAAATATGACTCCTCAGTTATTGAAAATCTACTCTGAATCGTAAAATAAAAAATGCAGTAACACTAAGACATTATTTAATTAGAAAGACTTTTAATTGCTTTTATGAATAAGATATATTATGGACACTATTGTCATTAGAAAAAAAATTTTTTTTTGATGAATAATGAATTTTTACAGAAATTGTTTTCATTTTTAAAAAATTTTAATTAGAATAATTTATAATGTTTTAAATTTTTTTAAATTCTGTATTAATTTGTACCGGTTATGTGATATTATTATTAAGCAAAATCTATATTTACTAATCATAAATGGAAAAGCTTACTACAATTCATCGACCCCCAGTATTTTAAGAATAATTTTGAATTTTTTTTTTGTGTGTATAAACATGCTGCTTTTTGTAAATACAAACATACATAAATGACATCAGAAAATAACTATAACTACTGTAAATTTAAATTTAACAGTAACTATAGTAAATTTAAAGCCAGAGTACCTAAAGTTTAATAAAACATTAGATTATGAAGAATATTTTCTTAAATTTTTAAGATTACTGGATAGTTAAAAATTATTTAAAAAAAAAGGTTCTCACATTATTTCTCAAGTAATTTTTACAAATATGTCCCTTGGAGAAAAAAAAATTAGAAAAACTTCAGGCTGTCAAGTTGTCAAAAAATTTGTCAGCACCTAATCAAAACATCTACCTCTCTGTTAAAAATGCATTTCTGTGATATTTTAAAGTGAAAGTAAGTTATATTTGTTTCAAATCAGATTAATTAAACATTAAATTAACTAATATTCCTCAGAGAAAGCTTCAGAAAAGTAATAAAAAAAATATATTATGGTAACAGATGACTAAAATCAGCTATTTTTAGCAATTAAAAAAAAAAAAACAAACCTTCCAGTCAATTTAAATTGGTTTTATAATGCAGCAAAGTATTTTTGCTTATTGGGAATATCAAGTTTAATCTATTAGCTTGAAAATAAATGTAAAATAAAAGCTTCAAATAAGATTTTTCATTTTAAAAAATTCATTTTAAACCTTAGGTATTACATTTCTTTGGAGGTACCTACTCATTAAATTTTATTTTTTATCAACTTTATTCTTCAAAATATTACTGTTGCTTCCCTAAAATGATAATTACTTATATTTTTTCTATTTTGGGTTCTTCATTTGTACCTGTGTTGTAGAGTAGTTTCACAGTGGAGGCTTGTATTTCACTAAGTTGGTCCTAAAAAGGTTTGACGTACAAAACATTAGGAACTTGTTATAATAGTTAATGATGCAGCAATCTAGTTGTGGCTGATACTTTAATGTCCAACATCGACTGACTCACCAACTCACTCAGCCCCTTCGCGACTGCTACTACTACTACTTATTATATGTGGGAGAGTCTATTAACAATAGAATAGGTATGTTCCAGTATAACAACCTGTTAAAAACTATTCTTTGGATAAAAAAGTTGCAAAATCGATGTCGTTTATAGCACTAATTTGAGGTTCACCTTTAATTTGTAAGAATTAAAAAAAAAAGAAATCTTTGTCCTAACTGTGTGAAAACAATACTTTTGCAGCAGATAACTAACATTAGAAAATATGGAAATTGTTGTACATATTGTTTCCATTAAAAAAAAAATAATGTTTATGAATGGAGTTAAATATACTTGTTTCTGCATTTTATTTTGTATTTCAGGCTTCCATAAAAAAACAGGTTAAAGTTATTCCAAAGCTTATCTTTGCAATTGAAACTTTTGAGAAATATTTAATGCAGCTTTCGCAAAAATCAAAGGTAAGAGAAGATTTAATTTTATTAAAATATAAAAAAAAAAAGACATTTTTTTAGAAATAAGCAAGATTTTAGCTTTACTTTTTACTGAAAAATAAAAAAGAATGTGTGCATATATATATATATATATATATATATAAAATTAAGAGATTTATTTTCAAATGTTATTTTCAGTGGATACTCATGTTTGAGTAGATGCTTGGTTTTATTTTATTTTTTTTAACTGTTTATTTTGTCTACCAGCCTATGTACTCACAAAAACTTAAAGAAATTATGTCTGCCAGCAGGAAAAAAAACAGAACAACTACTCAAATACTGGCATCCACTAAAAATAACATTTGAAGTAAAAAAAAAATAATATATATATATATATATATATATATATGTTTTTAATAATAATGTAAATAGTTATACTCGTTTGGAAAAACCTTAGTTATTTTGGCTTGTAATTGAACAAACCAATGCCCAAGAGAAAATAAGGGATAAAAAAAGAAAGAACTAAGACCATGAAATTGAGGCGAAAACAATCGTCCAGAATTCAAGATTAGAGTCCAAAGAAAAAAACCTCCAAAACAAGTAAAGTAAAAGTAACTACGTAAAGTGCTCAATACGCTAAGTAGAGCAAACCTAAATATGAACCTAAAGAGCCAGGAAAACCTACCTTGGTTTCACTTATACGGATCGTCAGTTGACACTGACGCTCTTTATAGGTGAAACCTAGATAGGTTTACCTGGCTCTTTAGGTTCATTTATATATATATATATATATATATATATATATATATATATATATATATATATATATATATATATATAGCTCTAGTTATCTAAAGAATGCTTTTTGCAGAAATGCTGACCTGAAAAATATGTTAAATTCTTGTAATTACTTTTTTTATATTTATATTATCTGTTTCTCTCTCTCTCTCTCTCTCTATATATATATATATATATATATATATATATATATATATATATATATATATATATATAAACTATGAGTTTAAGTGCATTACTAGATATGTGGCAAGATCTCATCATTTTACAGACAAAATGGCTACATGTAACTATGTTCTATTCTAACAGTTTCTTTTTTCATACCTCTCACTTGTGGAAATCTTTTCTGGCTTTTTGCTTTCCAGTCAAGTTTGATCTTCAAAAATTTAAATGCAATGTCAATCATTATCTTCTGTCCGCTTAAATTCTGTTCTTTTATTGTTCTCGCTCCTTAATAATATTTTTTTTATATTCTTAATATGTTAGTGGCTCTGTTGGGAGAAATGATTAAAAAAAATAAAGACAAAAGGAAAACTTTTTTTTACTTACACATTTCATCCTTTGAAGGACTTTATTAAGTAAATGTAGTGATTTATTTTGCAACTAAGCCTCTAAGAGTGAAAGAAACTGAGAAATTGTTATTTAGTAGAGAGAACAATAAAAGAACACGGTTCATATAGACAAGATGATAATTAACATTGCATTTAAATGTTTTAATATCAAAGTTGACAGGAAAGCAAGAAAACAGAAGAGAGTTCCACAAGAGAGAAGTGCAAGAGAAGAAACTGTTAGCATATATCTTATAGTCACATCTAGCATTTTCTACAATAAAATGATGAGACCTAGCTACCAATCTAGTACTGCACTTAAGTTTGTGAAGTCAAGGTATCAAAAAGGAAATCTTATTTAAACAATTATCATAATAATATTTATAAAAAAAAAAAGAGACACAGGGAAGCATAGTGGTTATTAGCAAGGAATGTGGGACTGGTGAGTTATTATTAAATAGCAGGGTACACAAGGCTCCCTAGCCTTGGTTGGCAGCAAGACAAGAAGGATAACTCTGAATTCAAAACCAATTGGGTGTAGAGCAAGCAAACCCACCTATTACTGAAATCGCACTAGCTGTATACTTTACAGCAGTGCTTCTCAAACTATCTGATGTGATGTACCAGTAGATTTTTGACCAGTGAGCGAAGCTTTTCAAGTCAGCTTTGGATGCCCCCCCAATCCCCACCGCTTTTTTTGAGATATACCCTATTTCAGGATCATTTTGAGACTGTGTACTAAACACGAAGATACATTGTTTTATTCATTCTAAGGCCAGTCATAACTAATGTAACAAGTCTTCCCAGTGTGCCAGGGACCAGTACCGTATTTGGGCCATAATTATATAATAATGAATCGAGAAAATATTATTTGTACATTTGTATTAGTATTATTCATTCATACCAGAAAAATATAATGAATATTATAAAAATTGCATAATTTTTAAGAATTTTATATTGATTTCATAGAAATATATAACCATGAAAATGGTCTTCAGGTGTTCCTAGGAGTGGTTCCTAAATATGTATGACAACATCGTCATGAGGATGTTCACGCACCACATCCTCATGACGATGTTGTCATACATATTTCAGTTCATGGTTTGCTGTTCATTATATCGCATTCATTAGTTGTATAGCAATGACTTTAACATAAGTGAGTAATTGAAAAATATAACCATAGTAAATATAAAACTAAAATGAAAATGAAAAAAAAAAAAATGCCACATATCCTGGTAGTCTCCTGTAGTGTGGAATGTAACTATTATTTCTTTGTTTTCTGGAAACTCTCTGTGTACTGGCAGACGATGGTTTGTGTACTTGCACTGGTATACATGCCACACTTTGAGTAGCATTGTTCGACAGACTGTCTACAGGTTCCAGAAGAAGACATATGTACTTATCAACTGGCAACTATTTGTATATACAATTTCTGTGTAATTTTTACAGAAAATAGTGAATGTTCATTCTTTATCTCATTCTTCAGATCAATCTAATGGAACATGTGAAACCGAGTGTAGCAAGGGACTTCCGTATTAATGGTGCTGTGGTACGAGCTGCTCTTGAGGAGCAAGGTGCCTCTGCCTCCAGTGACAGTGAAGAAGAAGAAGAGGAGGAAAATAATGATCCACAAAATGAGAAGGAAAATGAAGATGAGCAAGTAGAGGGAGATGAAGAAGAGGTAAGGTTTTCTTAAGTGTTATATGTATAGAATGTCACAACTTTGTCTTTAATTGTTTCTGTCAGCGGTTCTCCAGTAAGATATAGAAGACATTGGTATATATTAGGTTGTTCAGAAAATAAATTCAGGTTTTAGAATAAACATTTTAATTGTGTTTGAATATATTATAATGTAACCCCTGTACCCATATCAACTTATGCACCACACCCTCTCCACCTGACTTTGTTTTCCTTCCTCTTTTGGGGTCAATGTGTTGTCTCGATAGGGTTGATTTGGGTTTCCAAAATCTTACAAAATTGGAATTGACAGTGATGTCTAGTGTGGGCCCCCACTGTGTGCATTGTGTATCACAGACAAGATTCTGTAATTCCTGTGTGGCCATGGTAACCTTTATCTCTTCATGTCCTAGACTACTTTGGGAATCAGGCTGGAATAAGAATTCCATCAATAAAATGCACAACACTGTTGATAACTGTAGCAACAGGTTTATTGAATATAAAGAAAAACTTGTTGAATAAAATGTCTCTATCATCTACTGCAATATCAAATTCTCTACTGCAGGATACTGATTTGAGAAATCTAGTCGTAAACAGTAAAGTAATAACCAGTGAGTTGACTCTCCCTCAGTTCTTCA